TAAATATTATCATGCTGATTCTGACTGCTCAAGCACGTGACTGCATTCTCGTGAGCCACGCGTATCATGCAAAAGTATGACAATTATTAAGATAATGATGACTTACTGTTTACAGCTGTTATTGGGAGTATGTTTGTTTCTTCCCTGGCGCAAACATAGCTGCGTTCTTTCAAAACGAGCCCTCCTGATGTCGTGACGCCATCCGAACCGTAACGATGTAATGATGAAATGGCCAAAGACAGTCACTCTGGATGAGTTCAGCTGCCACCGCCGGGAGTGTCTGACAGCTACGTACATTGTGCAAAATAAATTATTTTGGTTTTATGCTGCCTTGCCGTATTCCTTTGATCGCATCAACCAGTTCGCTCTTCCGACTCTCTTTCCAGCACTGCCTCTGCAACAACAAGAACAACATAAAAAAAATTGTAATTAAAAGCAGCAGGGCTCTCTTTTGAATGCATTCGCGGAGGCACTGCTTGTACGAGCAGAAAATCCGTTAATGATAAGGGGTTTCGAGGGGGGGGGATGTGATTATTCACAGGCGGCTGTTGAAACGCATCCTCCTCTTCTCAAGGCGGCACCTTCCATGGTAACCGAAATGTGAGGGGAATAATTAAAATAAACCCCACCAGGCCCAGGCGTTGAATGAAACATCGGGGGCAGTTTCCATGGACGTGGCAAATTAATTAGGGGGTTGTGGGGCGTTCATTCTTTCTGTAATGAAAGGGGCGACTTGTCGCACATCAGCTGGTGGCTCGTGGAACATGCTGGATTGCCCGCGCATGAACATTCAATCCTTTGTTATATCCATAATAGATATTTTTGGGTTAGATCGCGTAAATATAAATGTGTCGCACGCCGGTGTTTTGGAGAGTAAACCCACAACGTTTACAATTCGAGTACGACGTTTCGCCGGTAATTACAACCAGCATCATCAGGCGGACGGCCAGAGTTGTGGAGAAATCCTCCTGCTGTTTCGGTCTTAAATAGAGGGGTAGATCTGATGTCGTCACTTGTGAGCCAATCAGGTGCGAAGGCCAGAGGGGTGTAAGCGGGTTAATGTATGCATATCCTTCGTTATAATTCGCTCGAATATTAAACAAAAATAATTTCAACTAATTGTAAATGTGTACGACAATTATATGTTCGTTGTGTACTTCATAAATAAACTTATTTTGGGTGGAGCGGTGTCTTGTTTGGCACATTGCACTATTAAGACTCGATGACCTGAGTTAGATTCCAGGCCACGGCTAACACGAGTGGAGAGTGATATCTGAGACTGGTTGCTGGGCATTCCTGAACCCCTTCACCCCCCCCCCCCCCCCCCGCAAGGTGTTTAGGGAGGCCTTCATCTAGCAAAAACATTAAGTTAGTAGTGCATAAGTCTATAGCAGCCTGTGCTACTGGTGGTGCAGTGTTCCTCAGCAGCGCTTGGTTTAACCCTCTCATGCATCGTGTCCACTGTGGTTAGATTGCTGTGATATTTACGACGACCCGTAAAGTTAGATGTAACATTTGAAGGGTCTTGACTTAAAGCTTTCGTGACTGCAGGAATTCATATTCTTTGGGTCTTTCGGTAAAGTCACGTAGATAGGTTCAAAGAAAAATCCACGTGACTTTACCGAAAGACCCAAAGAATATTTGAAGGAGTCCCTTTGATGTTGAGCGGGATAACCTCGAGACTGCTTGCATGGTTTTTTCTCATTATCAGATTGTGGTCAAGGGCGGCCCGTCCATTTAGGCCAACTAGGCGGGTCGCCTTGGGCGTCAAATTAAGTGGGGCGCCAAATTCGAGGGGGGAAAAATACAAATTAAAAAAATACAATCAATTCCCGTGCGTGTACAGAGGAAATATGAATAATTCATTTCTCAACATTTATGATAATGTATTGGTTGGACAGACGGACGGACGGACAATCCGAATAATTATGCCTCTGTAAAAAAAACAAACCAGAACGCTTACAAAGACATTAAATGGAAACTAGGGGCAAGATGTTTCCCAGTTTCCCAAAAACCTCAGCCTAGATCTGCCCTTGGGGTTTGGGGCGCCGATTGCATTTGTTCGCCTAGGCCCTAGGGCACCAGTTGCTGGCAGCAGTTCCGGCCACCCCCTCGAGTGCCACGACCCCTTCAGCAAAGGTCACCGGCTTGCCCCGCGTATTATAGGCAAGGAACACCCTTCAGAACAACGTGTTACACATTTTTACTCGTTATGATTTTTCACATTTCGTCGTCTTTCGAGCACACATTGGCTTGGGCAGCGTGGCATAAATTAAATGACAGACACGGATTCCGCCCGCTCTGCAGGCTGCAATAGCGTGAACGTGCTCAACGTGGTTTGCTAAAAACACGTGACCACCACCATGGTGAACGAGAAAAATGATGTTTTGCTCGGTTCATAAATTGAAGTAAAATCTTCTGTTTCGCAAATGTTACGGACACGTCGACGTTTGCGATTGTGAGCATGGGAATGCATCGTTTACGGTGTCTGTACATGATGTCGAGATTGTATCGTGTTTTTGTACTGTTTGTTCTTGTAACGTTCTTACTCGCCCCTGCTGGACATCTGTGAAAAAGAGCTTTATAGCTTATTGGATTCCTCCAGTATAAATACAGATTCTGATTCTGTATTACTTTCCAACGATACTCACCTCAGGACGTAAAAACAAAGCCCTCTGATTGGTACTTAACGGGCCTGGATGGGGATTGGTTAGAGGCGGGGAAATGGATGAAGGGGATTGGAGGAGAAATTCAAAATGAAAAGGGCAGGAAACAGAGGATTATTGACAAGGAGGTCGGTTGGTATCCGTTAGAGAAAGTGGGAAGGTGATTGGCTGGAGGGAAAGTGGGTCAAGGAACCTTCGAGAAAGGGGCTTGAGGGATATATAAGGAGGGGGGAAACGCGAGAGCTCGAGACACTTGGAGTGAAGGGAATCTTTGAAGACTGTCTCGTGCTGGAAGAAATAAAGACTGCCATTAATGAAGACGACCGTGTCGGGTGTCACTACAATTATATGCAAGCGTCACCTCGAGGCCAATCGGATGAGCGAGGCAGGGGCAAGACCGACAGTACAAACGAAACTGGACAAAAGAGATGAAAAATTACTAATTCTCAAATGAAACCAATACAACCAAGTCTTAATGGTTCATGCAATCGCAAGCGGAGGAAGTTATTTTTTACAGACTTTAATATGTACACTGCTTCACAAGCGGCACCTGCACTGCTTTGAAATCCAACACTGATCAGCATGGTGAGGTTATAATAAACAAATACAAAGGTATGGTCACAATTTACAGAGCATGGAGATGCCCTCATTCAGCGGCGGATTGGGCCGTATGTGCCCATACCTGTGCTGGACGCTCAGTTATTATGACTTTCAGGCTTCTACATTCAATTTTAAAAAGCTATATTTCGATGACGGCCACCCCACACGCCATGTCGATTATTGGGGTTGTTTGACCATACTTCACCAAGCTGGTCAGCGTGAATTAGTAAAGAGGGAGTCTTGGATGAGTTCAGATTATATCTCGCCGGTCGCATTAGCCATCACGGGAATCACTCGAGTTGCAAGGCCCATCCTGCGATGTGCTGATACCTCCGCCTACGCTCTCTTCCATTTAAATTTTTTTTTCATATTTGCTGCTAATTGCAGGGTTCTACAATGCAATTTGGATTCGTGTTGCGGCTTCTAAATGCAACCACATCAAGACGCTGTGCAGAACACGGGGCATATTAATTTTAATGCAGAAGAAAGAGTCATTGTTAGATGAAACAAGGCGGGACCTGAGCCCGGACTCGAAATAGTCCACACGGAGTGGATATCACGGATGGCGGAGGGCAAGAGTTCCAGGCAATGGGGGCAGCGGAGGAGAATGAGCGACTCCCTACTTTGCGAATGTTACCTAGGGACCCCAAGATAAAGCCTTGATTGCTGGAGCACAGAGTGCCTGGAGGAGAGTAGAGTGAGATGGGAGTTGAAAGAGAGAGAGAGGTAGGGGACAACGTGTGGAGGAGTTGAGAGAGATGAGAAATGGAGACGTAGGTACGCTCATAGAGGACCTTCGAGATGGGGATTGCGATCTTGTAATCGATCCAGGATAGCAGCCAGTGGAGAGATCTGAGTATCGCGATGACGCGGTCACATTTACAAGCATGGACGTGAAGTCCGGCAGCGTAATTTTTGATTATCCTCAGTTTGGCGATGAGGGATTTGGGGGTGGGCCACAGAGGAGACAGTTTCAGTCGTCGAGTCAGGAAGAAATGTTAGGAGTTTTAGGGCAGATGTGGTGGTTCAGAAAAGGATACTTGAATCTACCTTTATCTGTAAAGAGCTCTCAGTGTTATTGCCTCATATGCATGGAAGTTTCTCCATGTACTCCGGTTTCCCCCCCCCCCCTCTCTCCATATTCATTGTTTTATTCTTATTTCAAACCTTCCCATGAGTAAACATTCCTGGAGACTGCGATGATTACATTTTTTTGGATAGATAACTTTCCAGATGCCTTAGAGACAGAATGTGCCCAAGAAGCCGCATGCGTGGAAATGGAGCGACGAAAGATAATTCCACGTGCAGAGGTGTGACATTGTGGCATCGCAGCAATGTGAGCGATGGCGACGACATGGACAGGTCTTCACCAGGCAGCCAATAGACGATGGCTAATGATGATGATGAAATGGACAGGTCTTCACCAGGCAGCCAGTAGACGATGGCTAATGATGATGAAATGGACAGGTCTTCACCAGGCAGCCAATAGACGATGGCTAATGATGATGATGATATGGACAGGTCTTCACCAGGCAGCCAAGAGACGATGGCTAATGATGATGATGAAATGGACAGGTCTTCACCAGGCAGCCAAGAGACGATGGCTAATGATGATATGGACAGGTCTTCACCAGGCAGCCAATGGACGATGGCTAATGATGATGACGATGAAATGCCCTTATTATGGTTGTTTGTAATTATGCTGCTGGGTTGTTACCTGTCCTGAATCCACAGCAATGCGCCGTATCTCCTGGCTGCATCCTTGGCTCGCTCCACGGCCGCCGAGGTGCTGGCCTCTGACCTGTCCTCGTGTCTCTGCCCCGCACAAATCAAGGAGGGCACTGAGGAACCACTGTGTAAGTGTGCACTCAATACATCCTTCGCCTCTTCACCATGCTAGATGTTACTGTCAGCTACAGAGAGTTTTCTCTTGATCCAAAACCCTCTGCATTCCCTGAATGTCCTTGCTCCATGTTCTGATTATGTACAGTGTATTGATTATGTACGGTGTATTATCAGGCCAATGGAATCTCTCTACCTGCCTGCATCGAGGTCTGCCTCTTGGTCTCTCGCATGTTAATTTACATCGATATACTTTCCATAACCATGTTAATGATGTGATCTATTTATTCAGCAACTCCTGACTGAGCCTCAAAACCGCTTGCGTTAAGATGTTTACTGGGCACAATTGGGGGGGCCCAAAGCATAACATATTTTTGGGTACCCCACCCATCCCCCCACTCCCCCTTTTAATGAGTCAAATATTCGTGAGATAACGGAAGCGATACAGACAAGAGATACATACGTAGTGAGATAAATGGAATGTTGTCAAATGCAGTGTAGAGTTTCCGTGAGATGATCAAAGAGATGTGCATACGAGAGAAGAGCGACATTAATTTTATATGTAAGTTGGCATGCTGTGTTTATGAAGATTTGAATTTGAGCTGATATTTAAGACACCCATATATTTTTCATGAATCAGGGCTGCTGAGCTGCTTGGAGGCCTAAGCTTTTGTTTCGTTTGATTATGCCCAGCATCGCCACTTGGTACAATAGTAATACAATTGGTTGTTTATCAAAAAAAGAAAGCCTTGATTTCCAGAGAATACTATCCCAGGGGTCGGCAACCCAAATAACAAGAAGAGACATTTTTTTTCGAATTCGGTAAAAAAATATTTCAAGAGACGCAATGCACTGCGGTGAATATGAGATGGTGGTGCTTAATAAACAACGGTGTCACGAAGCAGCTCCTTAAAGAGCCGCACGCGGCTCCAGAGCCGCAGGTCGCTGACCCCAGTACTAGAGGATAAGTTATCGGCACACGGATGGGTTCACACACTTGCAGTACTGCCATCTCCTGGATACCTCACAAACCGTTCTGATATGGGAGTTTCACAAAATCGTAGAATGCACTTCTTATCTCAAGTTTTGTATTGTCAGGTACTACATGCCATGTTTAAACATACAGATCATGATTATCAGGCTTGAAAAATCTACTGCTGGATGATATCCTCCACAAGCTATTGTCATTTCAAAATCTGAATATTTATTTATACTGACGGAATCCGATGAGCTATAAAGCTCTTTTTTTACAGATGTCCAGTAAAGGTGGGTCAGAAAGTTACAACAACAAACAGTACAAAACACGATAGGGGTGCAAAGTATAGTAAAGGTAAACACATCGCTAAAATATATATTTACGTTTATTTTACCAGGTAAGGCCCACTGAGCTATTACTTATTTTTCAGAAGCGACCTGGCCACAAATGATAGCTGAATGAACTGGCTTATCATCTGGAAATTTACAGCAGCCGAATAATCTAAACGCACGGTTCTAAAAATATATAACAGGCGTCAGGGTTGGTATCTCAGGGTTGGTATCGGTCCTGCAACGTAACAATCCATGAAGCGCTGCACGTGAGCAAAATTTGTCGCTCCGTTTCAGCAGCAGACGTACTCCTGGGCGCCGTCTCTCTCCCTTTGCTGCCGCTTTCCCTAATTGGACATCTGTGGAAAAAGAGAGCTTGATAGCTCATCGGATTCCTCCAGTATAAATACTTATTCTGATTCTAATTATTATAGAACACCGTCGATTGTCCCTCCTATCGACGTGTCCTCCCCAAGCGTGCTTATTTTTCTTACCAGTAAATGTGACGCCTTTATGAGCATTCATTTTCCCATCCACATGTTTCCTCTTTTTGTCTCGGGTGTCATTCAAGCATGCTTCTGTCATACAGAAACGTATTAGTAAACTGGGACATTGCTTGAATTTGTGACATCAAACCATTCTTATCTCATACTTAACATTTAATGAACATTGCATTCCCAAACCAGAGAGAGACGATTCTAAATTATGTTTACAATGTCACGTTGTGCATTTGACTCAATTTCATGGCTATTTGAATAATGGAGCCATTCCATTTGCCAGAAGCGCCGTTCGTCTGACCTTGTCGACACGCGTCAGCAAAGATGCCCAAATAATTTATGCGCTGCCAAAGCACACTGTGGGTAATGGAAAAAAATGGAAAAAGGTAAGGCATCTCTTTCATCGTTTATATAAAACAGCACTTGATCCACCACCGACGCGCAATTGCAGATCAATGTAAAGTGTAAAGGTGCAACCCGACACTTTTATACCCCCACTGCTGGCATAAAAGGGCCTTTGGTATTCAAATTTTGGCCTACTCTTCCACACAGACCTACACCTTTTGGAAGCGGTGGGATTACCCACACTTTACCCGACCACAGCACGCAAGCTGTGGTCGGGTAAAGTGCTGGCTGGATAGAAACGGGCGGGATTCAAGCAACCTTACCCAATGTTGCAGCTGCTGTGCTGCACGGTCAAACCAGTGACCTCTAAATTGCGAGTCCAAGTTTATAACCATTACGCCACGGCAGCTTCCTCCAGACAGATCAATGTAGCGTTTGTTTGAACAAGAAACACTTGCAAACTGTTTTGATCGCCATTGAATGTTGTCAGCAGTTTGTGCCCTCATAATGGAGGCGACCGAGTCACCTCACAATGCCATATTTATGGATTTTCTCTTGTAAGATAGTGTTCATGTTGAACTTGGAGACTTATTTTTTTATATGTGCCAGATGTTATAAGGGCCATGGACAGCATTGATGTACAAAAATAGTTAAACACTGCCTCGCCAAATTACTGGTAGCAGTCAGAAAAGTGTACTGCCCTTGAATTTTAAGAACTCTAATTAATTAATGTATAACTTTCAAGAAACAAATCATCTAACTTAAGACAGCGGGCGTGGAGGGGTGGTTAATGTGCAGGCAAGACCTCGGAGGTCACGTGTCGACTGTTGCAAGATTTATCTCCAATGAGGTCTACCACTTCGTAATGGCTGGCACACTTATGTTTTTTTTATTTTTTATTAATCCATTAATTCATGTTAGCTGCACTAATCGGGTACTAGAGGGGAGTATTTTGGACCTGGCCACACCACTGCATTCGGTCACCTGTTGTCTTTCAAGTAGTTGAACGCATGGTGATTAAAGTTTCGTGTCGACTACTGTGTGGTTAGATTTTGATTTAAAGCTGGGATTCATATTCTTGGTTCTTTCGGTAACGTCACTGTGTGGTTTCCCGCCAAAGGTTTTGGAAGTTCCTATTCGGTCCGCAGTAAGGTTTCCCACCCCCCCTCTCTTTCCGAACACCCCCTCAGTGTACGACTCGGTGAAGCTGGCGCGCCTGGTGTTCGCCAAGCTGCGCGAGGTGTGCGTGGCATGGCAGAAGGAGCCGCCTGCGCTCTCTCGCCAGCGCCGCAGCTTCCAGATCTCGCTGCACGCCATCAAGAACACGCGGCGCAAGATGGAGGACCGCCATGTCATCTTCCAGGATCTCAACGCCCTCTTCACCAGCGAGGTGCAGTCAGGGGGTTTACTTGGTCGTGGTTTTTTTTTTGCTTAAACAAACAATTGCTGAGTACAGGTTCAAAGGCAGTGGCCATCCTGTAGAGACTATGACCTGTAGAGACTATGGCCCCTGTCATGTAAATGTGGACTGTCTACAGGTCCCACTATGACCACCAATGTTCAGGTGTCCCAAAGTATTTAGAAAAGCACAGATATTGAGGCATTTACGTTTTTTTCTGGCCTGACTCGACATGGGCAACGGCTGGGGCTACCTGAGTAGTGGGCAGGGTCATGTCGCCCACATGCCCAGCCACCACATGCCCAAGCAGCTTCTGTTTAGCCGCATAGAGGGGGCTTAACTTAACGTGTATGACATGGGCTGGAGAAGAGATGGACTAATGCGGTACGGAAGGATGTGGAGCTGAGTGGACTTGTACCAGGGGTGTCAAGATCAGCTTCTATGAAGGAGGCTCGTGAAGGACGCTACTGGGCAGTTGGAGTCAGTCACCCTCCAGCAAAAACGGAGGGCAGAGGAGCGACGCTCACAACAACGAGTGGAGCGCCGGGCGGCTAAAACGCAGCAAGTTGTCATAGTAGGGGGTACAGCTGGTGCATTAGCCAGTCATCTCAGTCAGTCAACCCATGGCACCTGAGTCTGTCCCTTGACCTCCTGTCAGCGAGCCTTTGACACTTCACGTGGCCTCAAAGTGCACCTGGCCTGACACAGGGCCGTGGTAAGGTCACTGTCACTTAGTAGCAAATGGCGGGGATTGTGATTGGTAATGGGCCGGGATTGGATGATGAGTAGGCAGGGCGAACATCAGAGAGATGGAGGAGGCCGCTTCTCTCTGTGTGGGACGGGCTACTGATTGAGTGAATGTTGCTCTTTAAAGTGGAATGGCAGAGGGAAGGGGCCATCAGCTCACCACGTGTCCCATGTTGAGAGCCTCCCGGACATTTATTTGGTTAGCCTTCACGCACTCCGCTTCCGCACGTGAAGGCGTCCGCCCGCTCCGACCCCGCGCCACGCACCGGGTGCGCGACCGTGTGTGCATGCGCGCCGTGCCGTGTGTTGCAGGAGGAGGAGGACGACCAGGCGTACTTTGCGATATTCGACGGCCACGGAGGCGTCGACGCCGCCATCTACGCGGCAACGCACCTGCACGTGAGCCTGGCACGCGAGGGTTCGTTTCGCCGCGACCCCCTGGAGGCACTGCGCCGGGCGTTCTGCCAGACGGACCAACGCTTCGTGCTCAAGGCTCGCCAGGAGGTGTGTGGAGTTGGAGGAGTTGGAGGAGTAGGACGCCGCCGAGGCGTCTGGAGATGCAAGACGTGGTTTAGTAGCATGTGGGAGACATACACGGCCGGGCCGTAGCATCGTTTCATACGGCCCTGGGGCCACAATGGAGTGACCACCTCTTCCTGGTGTTATTCACAAGAGAAGGTGGTTCGCAATGGTGAATGTGGTTCAGAAATGGCCAGTGTAGTTCGCAATCGCCGGTATGGTTCACAAATGGCCAGTTTGATTCGTAATTGGCCAGTGTGGTTCCAAATGGCCAGTGTGGTTCACAAATGGCCAGTGTGGTTTACAATGGTCGGTGTGGTTCACAATAGCCAGTGTGGTTTTCAATGGTGAGTATTGTTCACAATTTTAGTTGCCAATTTTTTTGTTCACATAGCTGTGCTGAAAAATTCTCAAGCCTTCACAGGACATTAAAAGGTCTGGTTTTTGTCAGTTGCAGGATCATACGCCACTCAAGACAATACATTTATGGGTAGCTCTGCCCTCTGCTGATATCGTGAGATAGTCTTCTTTCCACGCTTATATCCTGGATTTTTGTACCTCAGAGGTGGCAATCTTTGGCCATACGAGGCCATGTATTTATAAGTGACCCACACTGCATCTTATGCCGCACTAATCTGGTACTAGAAGGGGATATTTTCATCCTGACAACACTGCGTTTATATCATTAGTCTGTGCGAGAGGCCTTTCCATTGAGGTGTGTTAACATTTGACACACCAAGCATTTGAACGTCATATTCGCTCGTCAGTAAATGTTCCCCACCTCTGATTTTGATGGTATCTAAACCACCAACGGTGGCGCAATGCTTAGCGCACTTTGCTGTGAACCCAGTGGCCTGAGTCACATTTCTGGCCACGGCCCAGCGTCAGTGTCGAGTGACATCAGAAACTATTCCTTGGTCCCACTTCACTAAACCCGCACTGAGCAGCGTGGTGAAGTATGGTCAAACAACCACCGTGACTGGCGTGGCCTTCATCCAGCAGTAGATGGGCAAGGGGCTGTAAATTGTTTAATTAAAATAATCCCTCCACCTGTCCGCTGTGGCGTTGGCAAGACACGTCGCATAGCTACTTGAGTGTCCCAAGTGTTTTTCCCACCATCTCGGCTGTGATTGTTCAGAGTGATTCTGTTACCTACTGTTGACGATCGCTCATCGAGGAATATGTTGCCAACGTTTCAACCGCACAGCTAAAAACTACATTTAAAAACAAAAAAGACAAGGAATTATTAATCGAAGAACATCCCGTTATTTACAGCCCTTTGGCAAAAAAAACCCGCCTTTCCACGTCGTGTCAGTCATTGGGGTCATTTGACCTTTCTTCAGGTCAGCGTGGGTTTTGGGGCGCAGGGTCAGTTCAGATTTCACTCGGCACCGTGGCCGGGAATCGAACTGGGGTCGATGATGTCATAGTGCAGTACACAAACCAAATGTGCTACAACTCCCACAATATTTTGCAATCCGTAATGTACAGGACAGTACTGTAACGGGGTTGTATTTTTACGTAAAAATGTACGAATTTTATTTTTTGTGAAAGCAAACAGAAATAGCGCACAGTAGTAAAAGCTAGAATTGAGATAACTATAAAGTATGATGACGACTAGGATTATTGGAGTGTAATTGACGTTCATCAGATGTAACATCCTGAATCAACTGATAAGCTATTCACCACCTTCCACGGTTCAGTGAATCGTCTTGAAATGTGGTTATAGTCAAACTCAGGTCGTGCAGAGTCTATAGTGGCTGCAGGGTTTCCGTGAACAAGTCATCACATTCATAAACCAGGAATAATTGTTTCAGATGTTGACTAAACTCACCATCATCCATCTCTGGTCGTTAAAAATAGGCACTAATTTGTGGAAAGTCAGAGGGGGGGGGGCGGGGGCATGAGAGGGACCCTCTGAAGAGGCCGAGGGGGCCTGAGAGGTGGGTGGGGGGATAATCTTGGGCTTTAAAAAAAAGCCTTTTCGTCAGCTCTGGAAACGTGGCCAATTATTCGCCAAAATTTTTTGGATGGTCGCGTGCCCGTTTTGCGCTCGTAAGTCGTTGTGACACTCGGCACGCGCGCCCCGTGCCCTGCCCGGCTTGCGGCTCTCCCGTCAGAACTGGCGCTGCGGCTCGACGGGCGTGGTGACCCTGATCCGGGGCAACGAACTGCACGTGGCGTGGCTCGGAGACTCGCAGGTGATCCTCGTGAGGAAGGGCAGCCCCGTGGAGCTCATGTCTCCGCACAAGCCCGACCGCGAGGTGAACTCGCTCTCACCACCGCGCTCCGGTTTTTTCACGCTGAAGTTCTTCCCCGGAGGTCTGTGACAAACAAACAAATAAAAAAAAACGAGAGCTTCGTAGCGCATCGGATTTCTCCAGGACGAATCGCGCAGATACGCACGGTGACGTCATCGCGCAGATATGCAGGTGGGAGCGAGGCGCTCAGCCTGACAGGAATCCACGCAGGTCATCAAGCTATAAAATGTTTTTTTTAGAATATAGTGCGATGAAGAAAAGTTGGGGATAAAGATGGGTTTTTTTTAAATGTGTGCTGCCGCATCATTGCCAGCGCAGCCCCTGTGTGTGTGGGTTGTTTATCTGCTACTGTTGTATCTTACTAGATTCGAAGCTTTAGTGACTGCAGGAATTACTCTTTGGTTCTTTCGGTAAAGTCACGTAGAAATAAAATAAATTAAATTAAATAATAATAGAATACGACGTTTCGATTGCAACACAAGCAATCGTGATCAGGTACTTAATGAATGAGAAAACAAACATAGTAAACTTGGAAATACAATGCAATACAACACAGAGAGTCGGCCAACACAACAGTCAACACCCCACCTGGTTGATTGACGTTCTTCCAAAGATTGCTAAATTTGAGAGACAAAACACAGACACGGAGACACACAAGCAAAGAGAGACTCACACAGAGACAAACAGACGCCTTACCTCCCCCTACATAAAAAAAAAACATAATCTATAATTTTTCATATTCTTGGTTCTTTCAGTAAAGTCACGTAGAAGGGAAACAATAAAATAATTAAAAAAATATTGTTTGATATTTTATTGTTTCCCTTCTACGTGACTTTACCGAAAGAACCAAGAATATGAATCCCTGCAGTCACGAAAGCTTTAAATCAAAACTCAAACACCTTTATTATGAATATACTATTGGTCGCGAAAGCCTACGTGTTAAAAATACTTCAGCATACATAGTGGCACGAGGCAGAGGAAAGCAGAAACAAATGACGAAATGTGCAGTGGACACCTTAAGGGCTTTCTTTCCCACGGATTGTGCTGATGATGATGATGACACAGCGTCTTGAGTTGATTAAGTAACTTTTTGTCTTCTGTTGTATACACTGGTGATAACGGGAAGAACTGTTCTGGCTTTGCATCGCCTATAGTGTCACACCCACAGGAGTTAAATTACACGGTTCACGAATGATGAAGATTGTGTTTTAACGTGAGACTCAGCAATGTATATTTGAACCTACTCTTTGAGTGAATCTAAGCAACCTCTGGGTTGCAATTTTTGTGGAAATCCAAATTCAAAATGCATAGCTATCAACCCCTTATCAGTGCCTACCTTATTACAGACCAATTCAGACCTTATTGGTCACCCCGTGCCCCTTATAAATCTCAACCTTTATCCTACAAAGTCCCATCACAAGGGAGAAACACAAATAAATAGAGCTTTTTTTGCCCGTATTGAAACGGCTGTACGCTGTATGGACCTGAAAACTCAATTTCCCTGTACAAGAGTACGGATATGGAAATGTAGATTTTCTAGTTTTGTGGTATGAAGAGTGGTGTACAGCCTGAACGAGAACCCTTGTGGAGTGCTCGCAGTACGATGATGTTGCGGTGTGACGTTGCGGTGCGACGTGATGTTGTGACGTGGTGGTGGTGCGTGCGTGTGTGCCCAAATGCTGCAGGATGAGAAGAAGAGGATAGAGGCCCTCGGAGGCTGCGTCATTTGGTTTGGAGCCTGGAGGGTGAACGGGACGCTGTCCGTGTCGAGGGCAATCGGTGGGTCACGTGGTCACGTAGTTCAGCATATCGATCGTTTGAGGTGGCCGCCGGGTGGCTCAAAGGTTGTAGCGCTGAGCAGCCACCACCGACATCCTAGATTTGAATTTAGTTAGCCAAGATTAGTGACTTGATTGGTCTCAGTCCAGTCACCAATGTCTGCACACAAAACTAACGGCACATTGTGCTTTATTTAGCTAAATGCCAGCTCTGACAAATAAAACAAAATATCAGTTGATTTTGTCCAAGAGACGAACATTACTGTCAGCCGTCAGGACTTGTTGTGAAGGTCGTCACTTGAAGAAATTTCAGATATCCGCTTCCATGTGGACTATTCTCTGACAAAAAGGGTGACACTACCAGGCGAAAGTTCCAAGTGGATTATTGGTCTCATAACCTGACCCCATTGGGGTTAAAGGTTGGGGAAACGAAACAAATACAAAAAATATAACACGTTCAATAAAAAAAAATAAACACAAAGATCCCCCGGTATCGACTCGGTAGAACACTTGTTGGAACAAGTGCTGTTAGCGAGGACTTATGACGGCCGGCACAGCACACGAGAGGGTGGGTGGCCAGCACCACGCCCGGCCACCTTTATCTCCCCAGTGGCGATGTTTTTTACACACTGCACCAGCCACTCATTTGAGGCTGAGTCGACCTAGGGGAGGCCCAGGACTGGTTCAGATAATCATCGCTGGTGTTGGCCGTGACCGATAATCCAACTCGGGTTCATGGGTTCGTAGAGTAGCACGCTAACTGCCGCACTACCGCTCCCCACACATTCAATTCACACACACACACGCGCACACGTTGTTGTTCGTCTTGCCTGGCGTCGCACAGCACACGGCGTAAGTCACCCGTACGCCTCGTGTTCCACCGCTCGCGTCTCCACCTGCATCCCCGCCACCGCCGCAGGCGACATGGAGCACAAGCCGTACGTGTCGTGCGACGCCGACTGTGCCACGTTCCCGCTGGACGGCAGCGAGGACTACCTGCTGCTGGCGTGCGACGGCTTCTACGACACGGTGCAGCCCGACGAGGCGGCGCGCATCGTGGGGGAGCACCTGCGCGAGAACGACGGGGACCCCGCCATGCTGGCGCACCGCCTTGTGGCGTCGGCGCGCGACGCGGGCTCCAGCGACAACATCACGGTCCTCGTCGTCTTCCTGAGAGACGCGCGCGACGTCATGCAGGTGGCGGTGACGGCGGCACACGGGACACGGCACACATGACGCGGGGCATGTGCCACGGTACACGGGAGACGTGACACGGGACGTGTGACAAGGGACACGGCACACGGGACACGGGACACGTGACACGGGACACAGGACACGGGACACGGGACACGGCACACGGGACACGGCACACGGGACACGGGACATGGGACACCACCGGGTTGCGCCGCCTGCATCGCCGTTTTCCCCGCATCGTATTGACATACTGGGCTGAAGATTCGGGGGCGGGAATGGGAGAATAAATATATCTTATAATAATACTTAAATTTTATACAGCGTCATTCATGATAATAGCATCACATAACGCTTTACATTCATTATGTATAGGGATCAAATCGCATGTACAGTACAGCCACGACCAAAGCAAGTGAAAATCCTTCTACCCAAGCAAAATAAAAAAAATGAGTAAACTTAATTAAGTAATGGCACCAAAACAAATAGAACAAACAACAAAAAAAGTTATGAACAACAGAGAAATTAGTCTTTTAGGTCACATCCCAGACGACGGTCCCAACTTCCCAAGCAAGTCAGGAAAACTTCACAGGAGGGGCGGTGGTGGCTTTCCAAAAAAAAGTTAAGACGAATTGATGACAACGGCATAGGGAGGGGCTCCTCTTCCAGCAGTGGATTGACAAAGGGTTGAAAAATAATATCATTTTATTTAGATTTCTAATATGTGTATGCGAACATTAGCAATCAGCAAATGTACAAGGCAAATATCTCCCAGTATAGCATTATTATTAAAGCCATAACAGACCTTTTGGGCAAGTGCTCTTAGCAGGCATCTATAAAGGCTAGTCAATTATACACCGCACCAAGTATTCATTTGAGGCTGAGTCAACCTGGGGGAGGCCCATGACCGGTGCAGATAATCATCACTCGTGTTGGCCGTGACCAGGAATCGAACTCGGTTGACGGGTTCGTAGCGCAGCACATGCTAACCATTACAATTCCACCGCCCACAATATATATCCACACACACATGCAAGTTAATACACTAAAAGAGCCAGACTAAGATGACTTAAGAATGCTAAGTTGGCAGTCGTGCACAAGCAAAAATAACAAAACAACATTATCAGGTGCCGAACCACCTCAACTGTTTTTTTTTTATAATCAAGGGGGCGTGTATATATATTTTCCTCGTATGTCCTGTATTGTGAATTATGCATTTGTTAAGGCGAAAATTATGGTTTTTTCTGATTACTAAAAGATGATACAGTTATATTGGACCTCATGAAAGCTAACGGTAAAGGTGCCACCCTGCAATTACTTGCTCATGCGCCACTGCTCATGGAATGGGCTTCCACTAAAAGTATTCACACTTTACCCCACCAGACACGACCTGCTGATCGACTGTAGTGAACCCATTTAACTCTGTTTATATGACAGAGGTGGGCGGGGGGGAGATTTAAGATACTTGCACCATTGTTTCAATATACAGAGTGCCCCGAGCATAAAATGCATGCATATACTTAATCCCATCTATAAAAGTGTTTTTTTTGGTACAGGATAGTACCTCTGTGAAAAATAAAATTATTTCCTGAAGCTCAGAAATGGAACAGCGTGCGATCATAGACCTTATAAATGTGTAGAGGGGTAGTATGGGAACGTAACGTCATATGCGCTGTGCGGTGCGATGCGATGACGTCATGTCACCTCTGGATACTTAAGGCGAGCCCCGTGACGAAAGCGGGGTCGTTGTGAGAGCTTGGGATGGAGTGCGGTTGAAGAGCCAGCCAGGGGTAGAGCTCAGGGAGTCTGGAGAGAAGCCGGCGGTAGTCGTGGAAGGTGCTGCTCTCCCCGGGCGGTCGGTGTTGGCTGAACCCCCGATCTGACTCGAGAGAGAGAGAGAGCCCAAGAGATAGCCGAGCTGGGGACAGACAGACCCGAGGGTCCACGTGAAGGATCCAGTGTAGGGCACCTACCTCTGGTGGAAATTGTCACCAACCCTTGTTAATAAACCAGCGCAAGCCCTTACTCATTTACAACACTACATATAATACAATAAATCGTAGTATCACCATATAATAAAATAAGAATTCACATTTGCAAGGCGCATTTCATCCACGACTCACATTCGTGGTTGTGAATCGATCCCTCTAAACTCTCCGTGATCTTCCAGACCAGGGGCTGGTGACCTGCAGCTCCAGGGCCACATGCGGCTCTTCGAGAACTGCTTTGTGATGTTATTTATGAAGGACCACCGTCTCGTATTCACCGCTTGCATTGCGGCTCTTGCAATATTGAGTTGTTTTTTTACCGAATTCGAAATACATGTCTCTTGTTATTTTGGGTTGCCGACCGCTGGGATAGTATGTTGAGTGGGTTTCCTCTGGGCATCAAGGCTTTCTTTGATGAACACGAATGTTATTACTATTGTACTGTTGAGCTCTGTGCTGCTGCTCCAATCTGCAGGAGGACACGGGAGGAGCCGACGGAGAGAGAGACCGGGCCGTTCCACCTGGTGGTGGTGGCGGCGGCAGCGGCGAAGACGATGGCGGTAATGGCCAAGGCGGCGGCGGGGAGGGAGGAGGAGGAGGTGGTGGAGGTGGAGGGGACAGCGGCGGTGGGGGCAGCAACGACGGCAACGGCGGAGCGGGCGGCGGGGCCGGCGGAGGGACGCACGGGGATTCTGACGGGCGCAACGGCGAAGGGGACTGTGCCAGGGATCCGTGCGATGGCGGAGGAGGCGGGGAAGCGCGTCAGGGGAACGGCTCGGAGTTTGGGCCGGAGAACCGCGAGGACTCCTTGACGGAGCGCACGTTTCTGGCGCTGCGCTCCCCGGTGTGGATCGGCGAGCCGCAGCGAGGGATGGATTTCCCCGCGAGGATCGGCGATGACGCCAACGGCGCAGGTGCCTCGGGTCGTGATGTCCGCCCGCGTGCACGTGGGTCCGGAGTAACCGGCTGGAACAGTGTCGCCGACGGAGCAGAGGGTGATCGTCCCTGCATCGCAGGTGTTCCCGACCGCTTTTTGTGCGGTGCTCGTGTCGTCGATTCCCACGGTGAGATGAGCAATGTCGGCGAAGGCTTGCGTGTCAACGTCACTGCGAGCGGTGAAATGAAACCTAAAGTCGGTACCAGCGGCCAGAACGATATGTACGCAAGTCCTGGCGGTGCAATCGCAAGCAGCAACACGGTCGCAGCTGACGAATCGGGCATTGCAGTTGGATGTTCAAACTGGCCCCTGGCTGATCTGGTAGGAGACACCAAGGCATCTATGTCGGCGGATGAGATAGGTGAGCTGAAGCCGCTCAGCTGTAGCCTCGTCGCGCCCAGTGCCACGCAGGGTCATAATGCAGCAGATCGTGGCGGCCTTTATCAAGTCCAGGCAGCTCCCGGGCAAGCTGAAGTCGACAACCGTGACACTGACGAGAGCAGCACGGATATGAACTGTGAAAAAAAAGGGCGCAGCCTGCCCGACACGACGACAACGACGACTCGACACAAATGCAGTCGCGCGGGTAACGGCGGCGACGTGCTAGCGCCGTACAAACCAGCCGGGGCCATCGCCAAAGTGAAAGCACGTGGTTGGGACAGCTCCTTGTCAGAAGACTTTCGACTCAAGAATGGCGGCGGAGGCGACCGACGCTCAGCTGGGCCTGCCACGCACCCTCCGTCTCGCGAAGGAGACGCCACGCAATCGTGGGGAAGGCCAAAGCCTGTGAAGGAGTCCCTGCAGCTCTGCCGCAGACGCGGCGCCGGAGATAGGACAGGCGACCAGAGCACGTTCATGGCTGTGGCCTGTTAAGTGTGTTTGTCGACAAACAGTAAATGACCTTGATTGTGACCGGTGTGGTTTGACGTTAATTATCTGCACTAATTGTTCAATGTGTGGTGTAGAGGAGACCAATTTTGCATGCTTGTCTGTGGTTGCACAAACTGATCGTGTGTGGGACAAAAGGTCACATGCTGGCACCGATTTACGTGGGTTTGTGATGAAATCCGTGCAGTGGATATCAGGTACCTGTCATCTTTCATGTTGGTTGAGTGGGGATAACTTCAGGACCACCGAGGCGCAACCTGTAGTTCGTGCCAAGCCATTCTGGTGTGGGCGTGGGTAAGTAAAAATGTGTCGTTAATCCCGTCACCACCCGACATAGCCAATTAGTAAGGTTTGTCACGTAAACAAAACGTGCCAATTCGTTACTGATTCAGCACACCGGTGTGTTGGAGAGTAAACCCAAAACATTTACAATTCTTTACTCTCCAACACACCGGTGTGCTGAACCAGTAACGAATTAGCACGTTTTGTTTACCTGACAAACCTTACTAATTGGCTGTGTCGGGTGGTGGAGGGTTTAATGACACATTTATATTTACATGATCTGACCCCAAAAAAAACCTCCATTACGGCTGCTGCTGATGTCACACGTTCCAGTGTACGGACTGATGCAACGTGCAAAGAAAATTATTGATCTGGCCCCGCTTGGCCCAGACTCACGATTCGGATGTCTTGTTGGACAAGCCAACAACAGTTTGGATCTGACGCGGCACCATAAACAGCAATTGGAAAACAAACCCACCTGTAACCACGAAAACCTCCACGCTGGCCCGGCTCGGCTGCGCCAATGGAAAAGTGGAGTATACATGCCACATCAATGTGGGTAACAGCACAGCATAGATTCTCTGTTTCATTCCGAGAGATATCACACACGCACCCACATAACTAGTACACAGTATATAGGTTCTGTGTGTGCAATCCAATGTTTTTTTTTCCCCTGCCGTTCTTGGAAATGAGAAAACAATTCTTAGATTTTTTTTAAGGATAGGTATTTCTTTTGGCACGTGGAGATGGTCCTGTATTTCGAGTCTAACATACTACCTAAGCTGCGTTTTACTGTACAGTGTAATTTACCCTTCCTGCTTTTTGTAATAGAACTCTTGAGCCAGTCAATAGTTACGTATTCCCAAGTGGATCTTCTTGCAGTGCCTGTAACGTCGACCCTTTTTTTTTGGTTCGTTTGCTCTACTATTGTAAACGATGGTGTGACCGTAGCTGCCAAGACAACTTCCATCAGCAGTCAAAGCGCCTCCACGTTTTGGCTAGTAGAGAAATAGAAATGCGGGTTATCGTGTGTGTGTGCGTGCGCGTGTGCAGTGCTTAGGGAGGCTTCCTCCGCGTGAGATAGTGAAATAAAAATGCGTTTTAGAGTACTCTCTGCTGTTGACTTACAAACTTGAATAGTGCAAGCCGATCGTTTTCGTGACATTTGTACAGTATTGAATGTATCTTGACAGTTCATCTGATTTCAACGTTTTCGAACGGGTCAATTGTTTTCACGCGAGATATGTTAACACTAAAATATAACGCCAAGAAAAACGTGGGGATCGTCAAGCGAGTGTTTTAAAACGCAACCGACGCTCGCACAGCAAGCGGGACGCGCGCTCTTCCACTCGTCGCATGGAACGGCGAGCGCGTGCCACCGTGTAGGAAGGACCGCGGAGTATCGTGGGAGAAACCCCCCCCCCCCCCCACCAAAATCTCTCGACTCGGTCGTGCTCAAATTCAATAGCGGCGTGACGATGCATCGACCTGTATCGATTAGCGCGCGGTGTTGTGCGTTTCGCCGCATTGGTATGTTCGCTTTTCGTTCAAGTTCAGCTCTCCAACAAAGTGCGCCAACCTATTCACGTTTTTCCTCTCGTTCTCTCATTCATTCTCATTCTCTCATTAAATTTTCTAATTCTCGTTCGCCTCTGTTTGATCCCCCGTTGCACCTTCAATGAATGCTCTCTGGGATATATTTTAAAAGTTTTGTTCCACTAACAGAGCGAATATCTTAAATTCGGATATCTTCAATATTCGTTGTTAATGGAACAAACAAAAATGATCTTCAATATTTGTACTCGGCTTTTTGTACTTGCTGTTTGTTTTACTCACCTGAATGTATGTTTACATACTTCAATCAGTACATGTTGTAATGGTTTAGATTACTGCATCAACTTCCACAGTCAAATGTCTTTTCATATTCAACAAAGTTACGCATCACGGTATTTAATGAGTTGGTTCTGTTCCATAAACCGTTCGATATTGCAGTGACACATTTGGCAGCTGAAGGGAAAGCCTTTATTTGGTGAATTGGGAGTTTTTCGGTCCACTGAAATTTAAGTATATAACCAAATGTGCATGTAATTGCCACCTAATATTTTAATGTTATTAACACTTAATACTTGTTAACAAAACATGTAATAATTAATAACATGTCAATCATCCACACAGAGTCCATTTAATCACCAAAAATAGTGAAATAAATGCGTTTGGATAATAAGTTAAATATATTTAACAGTGCATACAATCTTGATTTGAAGCTTTCGTGACTGCAGGAATCCATACTCTTTGGTTCTTTCGGTAAAGTCACGTAGGTATAAAATAAAATAAATCACGACGTTTCGATTGCAACACAAGCGATCATCATCAGGTGTGAAAACCCACAGCAAGAACTTTTTTTTTAGCTCCCACTTCAGCTAAAAAAAATGTCTTGCTGTGGTTTTCCCACCTGATGATGATTGCTTGTGTTGAAATCGAAACGTCGTGATTTGTTTTATTTTATACCTACGTGACTTTACCGAAAGAACCAAAGAGTATAGTGCATACAATATATATTTAATTTACTAACAAAGTTCATGTCCAGGCTATGTGGTAGACTGATAGGTTCAGTGAACCCGTGTCATTTGACATCACGTGGGATGATCACAGCTCCCCGAATCCTTCCAGGCACAGCTTGATGAGCATGTGAGCAGTGTTTACTTTTGGGATGCCTTCCTAGCACGAGCGCAAATCTGGCTTCACCAAGTCCCAACTTAAATATTTTTTTACTGTGTGCATATATAAATAGTTGATGGTGGAGCCATCTGCACTGAACTGGCCTCAAACGTCGGTCACCAATTTGTTCCCAATGATTGTCGTAAACAATTTATTTCTACGCGATAATAGGGCACGTACACAAAATTAATTAAATATATTCAACAGTGAAACATTGTTTTCGCGGATCCCAAAACAGTGATGCGCCGATGCTTGTCGATTAAATAATGGACTGAGTAACGAAGGCTACTTGAATATGGATAGGCACTGCTAATTCCAAGCGCCTCACACGCCCTACTTGATGTTAACATTATGGAAAGCAATAAAAGGCACAGTCGGTCATTTAAGTGGTATCCAACATGCTTCAACATTCATGATAGATACCCCCCAACAATGGCAATATTTAGCAATGAAGGCTTACATTATAAGCCCTTGAAATTACTGTCCGTCTCACCGGTAAAGCATTCCATCATTTGTAATGAAAGCAAATACCTTGGAAGTTCATATGCAACCATTCAACAATGCTTAAATACTGGGGCAGTGAAAGGTTATTTTTTTTTGACGAATGAGAGAAGGAAAATGAGTATTTTCTTACCTTAATATTTTACATTGGTCTAATTCGATGGTCATGTCCAAAACTTATTTACAGAATTAAGAGTAGACAATTGCACTTTGTTTCGTTTAAACTTTTGTTATGGCTGATAGTCATTTTAAATCCAAACCCCAGTGCATGATCGTAGAATGTCTACATTCATTTTATTCTGCCAGTCGCATTGCCAGGCTGCTAAAAGAGTTTGTTTTTCTTCAAACATTTTGCGGGCTGATTCATAACCATAACGGATTCCGGTTGTGGAGAAAATTCTGTCAACGGAAAACTATTTTCGAAAGCCAGTCTGGCTCTGTGAAATAGGCGGAGTACAAATCCACTCCACCAACACCAACCAACACCGCGTTCGTGGCGGGGGTGAGGAGAATTTGCCAAGGGTATCCAACGACACCATGGCAAAAAGCCACGTCCATGGACAGAGCCAAACGTAAGAAGTTTTTTTTTTGGGGGGGGGGGGGGTTAGTTCGCGTAAATATAAATGTGTCGTTAAACCCGCCACCACCCGACACAGCCAATCGGTAAGGTTCGTCACGTTAACAAAACGTGCCAATTCGTTACTAGTTCAGCACAGAGTAAACTCACACGTGTCGTGTGGTGGCGGGGTTTAATGACGCATTTATATCTACCCTATCTAACCCAGAAAGCCTCGACCTTGGATAATATTGGTCGCGAATGCTACCAACTGTGTGTTAAACAGCGCTAAACCCAATCAGGCTCTTTGCCTCTCCGTGTTAGTGGAGTGGCTTTTGGAAAGTGTGCAAAGTGGTCGTATTCAACAAGTGCCGAATGTCTCCACACGGCCCTCCTCCCTGTGATCATTGATCTCGCTAAAATTCGTTCGTGTATATACGCGGTAGAATCCCTTCGTCTGGTCGCAGAGAGGATGGCAGCTTGCATGACACGCTTCGTGAATTGGCTTAACGCAAATGCTGTGCCAGTAGTTAATAGCACGTAGTGGCTTTCAGTCTACCCAATTATTTTTTTCCTTTTGGTACTTTGGCAAAATGTGTCGATACAATTGAGCATTTTGTGATACCTAATTGTAACCAAAAATCTACAATTGAGAAGACTGGTAGTGAATGGCTTAACATCATGGCTGTCGGAAAAGCCATTTCATGGCCGTGACCATGACCACGAATAATAAAAAAGAAAAACGTTGTTATGATAACACTTGAAATGTATGTAAACAAAAAATGGCGAGTACTGTCACCAACCAGAAAGAATAACACGCGTGGAACAGTTGCTGTGCTGTGGACAATATAAACGCTGGGTCTTTCCTTTCATGAAGATAATGTGGCCCCGCTTAAGTTTGTGACCCCTCAAGGAGGCAGCGGACAGTGGCTTGGAGGATGGGTAGGTATCGCTATGGTAGGTTGGATGTGTAGGTATCGCTATGGTAGGTTGGATGTGAAGGTATCGCTATGGTAGGTTGGATGGGAAGGTATCACTATGGTAGGTTGGATGTGAAGATATCGCTATGGTAGGTTGGATGGGAAGATATCGCTATCGTAGGTAGGATGTGAAGGTATCGCTATGGTAGGTAGGATGGGAAGGTATCGCTATGGTAGGTAGGATGGGTAGGCGTTGCTATGGTCGGTAGAATGGGAAGGTGTCGCAATGGTAGGTAGGATGGGAAGGTATCGCTATGGTAGGTTCGATGGGAAGGTATCGCTATGGTAGGTATGATGGGAAGGTGTCGCTATGGGAGGTTGGATGGGAAGGTATCGCTATGGTAGGTTGGATGGGAAGGTATCGCTATGGTCGGTAGAATGGGAAGGTGTCGCAATGGTAGGTTGGATGGGAAGGTATCGCTATGGTAGGTACCGCTATGCTCAACAGTGGAGCTGCGCTGTGCAATCGATGACCACCGCCGATAAATCGGTTCCATTGCTCGACGAATTGGACACAGTGAACATAGTTCGCGAAAGAAAGGGATCCGGTTCCGTTCCCGCTGGACGGAGGGCGATGGACCTCAGGCTAAAGGGGACCTCGTCATTGACCTCGTCGTGCTGGGGGCCTGCAATTTTGAAAGAGGCGCGGAGCAAAATTTTCGGACGCAAAAAAAAAAGTCGATCGTAACTTTTCCAACGACTAAAATAAATCTCAGCCGTAATTCGCGGGATGAAAGGTACTGGTTTAACACGCGTGCGTGGGAGCTGCGCGCGTGTGAGACCAACAGCGCAAGCCGTGATCATCACTCCCCACGTCCCTTGCGTGCGGCTGCCACTTTGAAAGGTCTGTGACGCGCGTGGACGTGAAGTTTTTTTTTCTTTCTACTTACAGCGACAACAACAAAAAAAACAAACTCAGAAGCAGCTGCATCCAGTCTGCAGGCCCCGGGCCCGCCATAGCATCGTGATAGCATCGTGATAGCACCGCGACACACCCCAACACGCCCGGGGGTACGCAAAGCCTCGACCCCCCCCCCCCCTCCCCGGTAGCAATGAAGCGACTGCGATAGGATAGCCAACTCGCCCTCACCTTTATAGTTACACTGAATAAAGGTAATTTTGATGTATTATTGTACACGCTTGATGTGGCTTATTCCAGACTACACCTGATCGTTGAGCAGGTGATAGATTTTATTCCTTTATTATATTGCTTATGTTGTCATGAAGTCGCTTATTGCTGGCGTGGTGAACGTGTGAAATTGTGTGCGTGCATATTGCTTGAACAGCCACCTATTGTATGCAAGCTGTGGGCAATCTTGTATTCTGCAAAAACAACTAATAAAACTATTCACAAACCTAACGCATTTGGACATTTTATTGATCAACACCGGAAAAGAGTCCCCAGGTAAAATGATTTGACAATTAAAATTAGGATCACCGTCACGTGCCTTCCTTAAAATAATTTATTTGAAAATGCTTATCCTGCTCATTCTAATTGGCCTCGTGCCATCAAACGAAGAATGCATTTCAATATCTCACCAGTCTCCATCATGCTGCTCAGTGCAGGCTCGGGAACATCGCTGGTGTTGAGTTAAACTCGGGTTCGTTATTTAGTGCACAAGCCAGAGCGCCACCACTCCACGAGTCTTACTTAAACAACCAATATAAAACATCACGATTCAACATGCACCATAAAAACTTTGCACCACCCGACAGCCAAATAAACCAAGTTGTCATACGGGTGAAGGTGTTACACCCCTGCATCGTCAAGCGACGGAAAGAGAAAACAGAATATTCTTCTAAATTTCGATTTAAAGCTTTCGTGACTGCAAGGATTCATCTTCTTTGGTTCTTTCGGTAAAGTCACACAAGCGGCCTTCATCAGGTGAAGGAACGAGACTGTCTGGTAGGACAGCGCTTGTGTTGTGGCCGAAACGTCGTGAGAATATTATTGTTATTTTATTTTATCAATTTATTATTTTATTCTCATTCTACGTGACTTTAACGAAAGAACCAAAGAAGAAGAATATTCTTCATTATACTGTATTCAGGTATATTGTGTTGGCATCGACTTGAGGATCCAGACCAGTCAGTGGATTCAACTCGAGATCGGAGGTCGCGTGATATTGGGTGTACTCTCCCAACATTCCAGTTTTCGCTTGGGAAAAATATGCCGGGTGTGGTGGAGGGGTCACAGCTCTTAACTGGCATTATTGTACCTGCACGGCCAAAGGGAAACCAATAATATCGGTCGTTAAAGCATACGTATGAAATTCATCAAACATCATAACTGGGCAATATATTCTAGGGCAATATTTTCGATACGGAGGTAACCGAAAGACATTTTTATTTTTATTCATCTCTATGCCGACGTGTTCTGGTAACTGGCATTTCTCTGTGTAAAATATAAGGCACAAACATGTTATACAAGCAGTGAATATGCAAGCTTTGTATTTGTATATACTGCAATGCGGTATATATACATGCATCCAGCAGAACCAATGATATTTCCGTTGGCAACCCACACAGTGCAAACGTTCCAAGGTCCCCGAAAGCGAACTTCATCAGAAAAACATCCCGGCAACCCTGCAAATAAAAATCTGTTTTGAACCACGTGACAAAACCGCACTTCAGATGCGCCCATCCCCTCACGGATGGAGAATACAAAAATATCCTCCGATGCAACTGTGGTGATCAATCTCAAACCGTGTACAGGTTTCCCTCGCTCTTACACGGGCGCAGTCGATGCGTTCCAAGGGCGTAACAAAGCGAAAGCGCGCGGGGGAGACGGCTGCCTGCCGAATAGCGCACACGGTACACGCACACGGTACACACGCACACGGTACACACACGCACACAGTACACACACGCACACAGTACACACACAATATCGTCCCACGTCGGGGTCGCGTACGAGTGAATTCAAATCGCACATAGCCAATTTTCTGCTGGAGAACAGAACTTGAACGGCCTACTCTTTGAAAAACGACGTTCCGCGATCGCCCGCTGTGAAGCAGACGGTGCGTTTAACGGTTAATATACACCCACGGCATCGACCACGGCGGCCACTGCATCAGAACCGCGAATCTCTGCAACAAGCGGCGAACGCGCTACAGCTAGGCCAGGGGTCACCAGCCTGCGGCTCAGGAGCTGCTTCGTGACGTTCTTTATTGAGGACCACGGTCTCGTATTCACCACATGCAAGAAGAGCCATCTTTTTCGAACAAAAATGCTTGCCGACCCGTGCGCAAAAGGCCACGTCACCTCCTCAAGCCATTTTTATCCACTGATGACTGAAGGCATATCTAAAGCCGTTGACATCTGTAAGGACACCGTGTTGCCGTGACCGCAATCGTCGGCGTCGTCAGCGGCGCGTCCTCCTCGCTTGCGACCCCGCGCCGCCCTGAGCCGCGGCTTCGCGGCGCCCCATCGTCAGCTGCCGTCGCGCCTCGAATAGCAGCACGCTGGCCGCCACGCCCACATTGAGGCTCTCCACGCCGGCGGCCATCCCCACGTGCAGGCGGCGGCCGCCCGTGCCCTCGGCCAGGCGCAGGGCCTCAACGCCCAGCCCCTGCGCTTCTCCGCTCACGACCAGCGCCGTCTCGCGTGCGCCGTCTTCACCGCCGGGGCCAGAGCCGGCCCACGGCCGCGTGTAGGCGTGGGCTGGCATGGACGATAGTTTGCGCAGCATTTCTTTTTCTCTCTCGTCGTCGTCTTCGTCGTCGTCTTCGTCGTCGTAACCTTCATCGCCAGACATGTCGTGTACGTCCTCGTCGTCGAGTGCACTACGCATGGGGCAGCAGAAGAAAGGGCAATGCATTACGGGTATTCGTCGGCACAAAACATTATCAGGAGTACCAAGCAATTGGACGTGTAGTTGTGCACTCATCAATGTCGAATCTTAAGTACGTAAGATGCACGCCTCGAATTGTGCATGCGAGAACAGACGTGCTTCAGTTGGAATTGTGTGAAAATCGGTTCACGTCGTCCCTGGAGCCACGAGATGCCGCTATGCTCACCCCAACGTTAAACAGCATCGATTATATCGTTGAACCTAAATGTGGCCACGATTCGTCAGCTAGATAACCTGAAAAAGCCCACTTCTTACTGTTAGAAGGAGACGGTCTAAATTATGGTGGTGGAGCCAAGTGAAGCCCTCTCAATGAAAGCAACTACTGCTACAAATATTGCTTTTATAGCATGTTAAATAACGGCCAATATGACTCGTAATAAATTGCTTCCAAGTTAATTTATAGCCATTTTTTATTAAGATCTCCAGATGGTACCAAATTCCATGGTCCATACTTTTGATCTCTTGAGGCAGAAGCCACAACCGTGAGGTGAACCCAGTGGGCATAATTTACCAATTTCATTAACATGACCACGTCAACATAATTAAATTCAATCATACAACTTTTAATTAGATGCAAGTAAGAGCCAAATGAAATAAAAGTTATTATTGCAAGGGAAACATGGGTGCATTACAAATGTAAATTGTTACAAATCACTAGCTTTTTTGCCTGTCCAAGGACGGGTGCGTATTGCAGTAAATCTGAATTATTCAATAGAAAAATTGTTCAGCTCATGATTATTAATGAGGGGGGGGGTTGCCCCCATGTAGTGACATCACCCGCTAATGGTTATTGGGGAGGGTGGGGCATGTGGAGTGACGTCACCCCCTCGTGGTTCTTGAGGGGGGGTAAGGCATGTTGAGTGACATCACCCACTCATGGATATTGTGGAGGGGTGCGGCATGTGGAGTGACGTCACCCACTCATGATTATTAATGAGGGGAGGGGTGCGGCATGCGCGACCTTCTTGTGCGTTAGTGTAAATTTCCACGCGGGCATGAATATTAATGAAGGGGGGGGGGGTCCTCTTTTGCAGTGACGTCACGCACAAATTTAGCAGTGCTGCGTAGATGTATTTTTTACCGTCACTTTCTGTAAAGAAACGTCATATTTGAAGCGACTTTGCGTAATAAATAATTTAATTCAGCTCAACCTTCCTCTGCGTTAGTGTAAAACTTCACCCACTCATGAATATTAATGAGGGGGGAGGGTGGGCCTCATGTGGATTGACGTCACACGCGGGACAGACAGACATTTCTGGTTGGTTATAGTAAATAATAATGGCTAACATATTCTTAGTTATTTCGGTAAAGTCACGTTGAAGGGAAACAACAAAATAATAAAATATATATAAAACAATAAAAATTCTCACGACGTTTCGACCATAACACAAACGGTCGTCTTCAGGTGTGTTGGTTTGCATAAATTTATTTTTAAACGGTGCATTTATTTATTTATAAAAAAAAACGTTAGCACCACGCGCAGCGATTTGGCAGTTTATTTAGGACTAGTCCATCTATATTCTGAAAAGAGGAGGGGGGAGACCAATTTTTTTTATGTGTGCTGTCTGAAAGCCACTGTAAGCGTGAACAATCAATTAAGACCTGAAATGGTTTATCAAATCTTTCCAATGATTGCTAAGATAGAATCCATCTTCTCGGTTGAAATTGTCTCTGTGCTTGTATATGTGGATAGCCTCATGAACGAATCTCTCATGGTAGCCAGATGGCTTACAAAGAACCTCTGTCTTGGAAAAGTCAATGGCATGTGAGCCTACTGAATTATAACAATGATTTGCCACGGCCGAGGTGTTGGTCCTACCGTGTTTAAGGTCTACTTTGTGTTCACGAATGCGGTCCGAGACATGGCGTTTGGTTTCTCCAATGTAACTACTACCACAGAGGCAACTTAGTTTGTAGACACCAGGGTATTGTATGTCCGGAATCACATCTTTTACAGATGGAACCAGATCACGGATTTTATGTAATGTGTTGAAACGGACCTGGATCTTGTGTTTATTCAAGATTTTGGAGCTCTTTTTTGTGATCCCCGCAATGTAGGGTAAAGTGATGGTTTTGAAAGGCTCCTCAAGAGGGTTCTTCTTCATGGTTTGAGTGATAGCTTTGCAGATTGTATAGTCAGAGTAACCATTAGCCCTAAGAGCTTGGTGTACGTGCTTGAGTTCACTGCCTATGTGTTCCTGGTCGGATATGCATTGGGCTCTAACAAATGCACCGTTTAAAAATAAATTTATGCAAACCAACACACCTGAAGACGACCGTTTGTGTTATGGTCGAAACGTCGTGAGAATTTTTATTGTTTTATATATATTTTATTATTTTGTTGTTTCCCTTCAACGTGACTTTACCGAAAGAACTAAGAATATGAATTACTGCAGTCACGAAAGCTTTAAATCAAAATGGCTAACATGTTCAACGACAAATATTAAGCATGTTGAAATACAAATTGAAAGTAAACGAAACAAGCAAGAAAAATCACGAGTACGCATGGATTACGCAACACTTTTGAACGTTCAATTTTCTCCGGAAGTAATTTGCTGACCCAACCATACTGGACATCTGTGAGAAAAGAGCTTCATAGCTCATCGAATTCCTCTTGGAGTCCAAATAAAAATTCAGATTCTGTATATATTAGTCACGGAAGCCGATGGGCAGCTTTCAGGCCGAATTGCATTTTAAAATTATAAAATTAACAGCAGGGCCAGTCATTACCCCTCTCTGTTGTCTACTCGACATGTCTTTTGTTAGAAGCGGCAGTGTAAATGAAGACGTGGTGAGGGTTCTTATCCGCTCCTTGCTAGCTGGAAACCAGCCCCACTCACCTTAACGTGTGCCCAATGGGCCGGTTGTCAGCGACGTGCACCACGGTGTGCACTCCGAGGATCTCCGGCACATCCTTCCAGCGCAGGCAGGGCAGCAGCGGCACGCGGAAGTGAGCACCGGCCCCGGCTCGCAACACCTTCGGCTCCCACACGTCGACGCAGCCTGGCCGGGTCGCAGCGAGGGTGCACGAGTGAGAAGGCTCGTCGTCTGGTGTGCAGGAGGTCGTGGGTTCAAACCCGACCCTGCATATTTGGAGTTTGCATGTTCTCCCCGTGGTCGCGTGGATTTTTCTCCGGGATCCTCCGGTTTAGAAGATTTGGCTGTAATAAATTTGCCCATTATCAGCCATTTCGTTGAGCTATTATTTGTGGCCAGATCGCTTCTGAAAATGAGATAAAAGCTCATTGGGTCTTAACTCGTAAAGTAAAAAGTTGGTAGTTAACTAAAAACGATCAACTTTTTAGGGAGATCTAAACTTCTATGAGAGAACACAACACATTCGCCAACAATACAAATATATGGAATAGACGATCTCGGGCAATGGCTCAGATCAGTGTTCTTCACTAATTTTCAGAGGGGGGGGGGGGGCATTTTCACCGATAAGACATCAGTGCGAGGGCCGCCACACCATTTGAAACCATTGGAGTTTGACAACGTGATAATGGGGGTGTTGTCACATTTGTGTATTGTTGGGGGCTGCGCATTAGGGGCCACACGTCAGGGGCTGTACTAAAGGCCACCAGGGGCCGCCAGTGGCCCGCAGGCCTTGCAATAAAGAACACTGGGCCGTATGAGATCACCAAGGTCATAACCTACCCTTGATAAGAAGCACCTTGGAGCAGCCAACAGCAGCGGCCGAGCGGATAATGGTCCCCATGTTCCCAGGGTCACGGACGTTGTCACACACGAGCGAGATGGGAAGACACTCACTGCCTTCTGCCCTACTCCTCAGCTCCTTGTCAGATGCATAGTCAGGTCTCCTGAAGATGGCTGTAATGATGAATGCATACATACAAAAAATATGAACGTATAACCAGACGAGAGACAGCTTTACTTATATCAGACAGGTGGCCCAGCGGTAGAGTGAGCAAATGGCAATCAGACAGTTGCGAGTTAAATTTCCGGTTCGGGGTTGACTCAACCCATCATCCCTCCAAGGTGCATAAAATAAGTATCACTCTGTGGGAGAGCCAACAGTGGTTGTAAGTCAGGTTGATTGATGATCCACCGTTGGTGAGGAGCCTCCTTATCATTCTGTTATAGCCAACAACCATGGTTACAGTTCCTCTGAACTTCACGCACTGATTAATCCACTCATGTTGAGGACTCTGCCGTACTGTGTAGCTCCCAATCCCCCGGAGTTCCTCCACTTACCCAGTAAGCCCTGCGGGGTGACAAGGTCCGACCACAGCCTGATGTCCCTCATGCGCACGCGGATGAGGGCAGCTCTGGCGATGAGCTCGAGGGGCAGTTCCTGCAGCTGGGTTACGCTGTCGAAGAATATCGTCTGCAGAACTGCACCAGCTTCCAACGCGTCCCGAATGAGTCGCGTGCCCTCCAGCAAGATCTTGCCGTGCTTCTCCCGGTACTGGCGTGACTTGGCAATTGTCACCACCGTCCTGAATGGTAAATAAAGGGGGCGTACCGACGGGCCATGCACATGTACAGGCACGTTCGTTGATCCATCGCTAGATGCGGGTTTCCCGACACTGTGAGGATCGTGGGACGTTATTTGACCATACTTCGCCATGCTGGTCATTGCGGGTTGGTGAAGGCGGGGAGCACGGACGTGAGAGCAGAATTCCAGCTATGGATTTTTTTCTCCGTCCTCTCCTGCCCATAAAAGAACCCCACAGCACTGTCCCGGCTCAACCATGGTTAGCTTCCGAGATCTGACAAATTCAGGTGCATTCTGGGTTGTTTTGTTGAGGCAATGATGGGTTATAACTGCTGTTATTGTATGTATACACGAGGAGCATTAAAGGTCTGTGTGCTCTGACAACCGTATTACTTCTCTGCATGGTTTTACTTTATCCATCAATGACCCTGAGAATTTAATACCCAAACATGAGTACTGTACTCTGTTTTGCTCCTTAGATCACTCACAACACGTGTTACTTGTCACTAGAAAATCAGCAATCGACTGCTGATCTGTGGAAATAAGTGAGAGGCATTCGTAGCTAGGTCAGGAACTCTTTATTTTCTCTGCATTCTATAACTTTTCTCCAGATTATTTTACGTATGTATTTAAATGTAATCTCTGTGTTACTCCGATTTCTCAATACTTTCAATGAATACACCAACAATTTGATTTCAAAAGCATGTAAACAAGACTGTTAAACGATTTCTGCTTCAGCCCACGCACCGTTTCTTCAGAATCGAGATCATTTCTTGAACCCCCCCCCTCCCACTTCGTTCTCTAAAATCACACGGATGAGCGAATAAAGTGGACCACATCGTTGCTCTTTCAACCTTTCAAGCGTGCATCATCTCCTCTCCATGGCTTAACGATCAGATCACGCTTCTCGCGCTGTGCGTCGTGAGCACGATTTTAGTTGATTTGTTACAAGGGATGAGCCCGGTTTTGTCAGTTTGCACGGTTATTTTATTACCAGGGCGATGCGTGGTGCGTGAGCATAGGGGCATTGCAGGGGAACGAGTACAGGAGTATTGTACAACAACATACGAGGTATATTCTTGGTTCTTTCGGTAAAAGTCACGTGGAAAAAAAACGCCACTTTTTTTCAAAAATGTATTGCTGTGGTTTTCACACCTGATGATGATGATTGCTTGTGTTGCAGTCGAAACGTCGTGATTTATTTAATTTCATACCTACGTGACTTTACCGAAAGAACCAAGAATATGAATCCCTGTAGTCACGAAAGCTTTAAATAAAAAAAAACAAACGAGGTATTAAACGGTGGTAAATAAAACGCACACAAATATATATTAAAAAAACTAAACTGTGCACAGAGAATGAGAGCAAGAGGCGCGCCAGGAAAACAAGTTAAGTGCACGCACTTATGCGCTCGGATAGTATACACCGATCTTCTTCAAACGCATTGGGGTGTGATGATGGTCTGTTACTTTTAATCGTTTGGCAAGATGAGATTCTGCAATAAAGTTTGGATTGCTTTTGACAATCGTGACAACTCAAAGCAGGAGAAAAACATGCGAATTTTAAAACCTTACAAACAGCATACGTTTAACACGCGCACTCTTAAAACATGACACATTCAGGGAAATCATCGTGAAAATTAATTGCGGGTACAAAAATTTGCACATCATTAACCCAATGAGACAGTCACCAGATCTTGAACCCAGCATCTCAATACGTAACCTGGACAATGCCATGATGAACCTGGCAGTGACCCAGCCCCATGTAATTGACCCCAGAACGTCAATGACCCTGAGACAAGTGTCATTTCGCCCGACAAGGCCATTACGGACATCACCCCCCCCCCCCCGTCCGAGACAATGTCTCTCCTCCCGTTGCTCACCTGAGCCTCTTGTCGTCAGGACCCGCTCTCTCGAACCGCAGATCTCCCACGCCCAGCACCGCACCGCGCTCAGCCCTCCACGTGTCCCGACCACGCGCGGCTCCACGTGGCCCCAGCTGGTCGGGCGGAGTCGCGTCCTGCGGCCTCCCGAGGGGGGACTCCGGCTCCCTCGGCCTCCTCCAGCCCCTCGCCGTCCTCGCCGACAGTGACCGCCAGCGAGCGGCGGGCGGCGCGAGGAGGAAGCGGCAAGGCGCCAGGTTCCAGCACGCGGCGAGCGCGGGCGTCGTCACCGCCGTCATCATCACCACCACCACCACCAAAGATTTGCCCCGTTATAGCCTCAACAGACTGTTGGGGCAAATGCTGTTTGCGAGTAGCACCTATGAAGGCCGTGGCACGGCACACGAGGGGGGCAGTGGGTGGCCAACACTACGCCCGGCCGCCTTTGTCTCTCCCAGTGGCGGTGCTGTTTTGCACTGGTACTCAATTGAGGCTGAGTCGACCTGGGGGGGGGGGCAGATAATCGTCAGTGGTGTTCGCCGTGGGCGGGAATCAAACCCGGGTTCGTAGCGCAGCGCGCTAACCGCTACACCAACCACCACCACAACCACGACCACCACAACCCCGACCACCACAACCAGGACCCCCACCAACCTCGTCACCGTGAACTAACCCTGAGTTCGGGTGCTCACACGTGCTTCCGGTCACGTGGGGGCCTGCCAAGTCACGTGGGGGGGGCGTTGCCAGGGTAACCGCGAGTAACGCGACGAGTAACGCGCTACAACAGCTGTAGTGTAACGTGGATTACAATTGCGGCTTAGGGGACCATACCTGTCAACCCCTTATCAGGGCCCTACCTTAGGGGCCGTCCATAAATGACGTCACGCACCGGGGGGGGGGGGTTTGTCAGACATTTGTGACGATGTGTGACGAGGGGGGGTGGTTGAGAAATGTGACGTCACATCTAAATGCGCAACTTTAAATAAATATAGACTTGATTTAAAGCTTTCGTGACTGCAGTAATTCATATCCTTAGTTCTTTCGGTAAAGTCACAATGCAATAATGAAATATATAAATATATAATAATAAAATATATCAATATTTCATTATTTTATTGTTTCCCTTCAACGTGACTTTACCGAAAGAGCTAAGAATATAAATATAGACAACACGTTCTACTTAATTAAATAGACTTTTTAATCAATGTTTTCTCCTACAACATCAGAGTGCAGCGCCACATTAAATACGCACTACAATGACAATAGTTTAAAGCGATCTGAAGCATGTTTAATTTTTTTGTGGGGGGGGGGCAGAGCTTTGTGACGTCATATTTGAGGGGGGGGAGGGGCTGACTTTTTGTGACGTCGTGTGACGAAGGGGGAGGGGGGTCAAAAATCGTCCAAAATCGCGTGACGTCATTTATGGACGGCCCCTTACTACAGACCAATTCAAACCTTATAAATCTCAACGTTCATCCTACAAAGTCCCATCACAAGGGAGAAACACACTTTTTTTTAATTGAAACGGCTGTACGCCGTATGGACCTGAAAAATCAATTTCCCTGTACAAAATATACGGGTAAATCGTATGGATTGATATGTATGGGAGACGCCCATTCGAATAACTGGGTTTCACAGATGAAATATATATTTTTTTATCGAGTGATGCTCATTAGTCATTGAAGAACATACAATTAATAAGCAACGTCTCCTTCAAATGTTCACACACACAAAATAAAGTATTTTTACACCACCCGGAAACCACAAAGCCTTCTGGAAGTGCACGTCCCAGAATGTATGTTAGCCTGTCCTCCACAATGACGTCGACTATTTTATGTATATAATTTATGACCCATAGCTTTCATAGAGGTCCATTGCCTCTAAGATAATCAGTTCACCAGCATCGTGTGAGGCAATCGTGACTGCTGATGAGACACCACATGTCAAAACCGGGCCAAAGGTTGCTTGCATTGAACCAAAGCTGCTGAAATTATGCACCCCCAGGAGGCCTTGCAGTTCACGGGTTGTCAACAATACTTAAGATTAAATAAACCAATGTGGAATATGCCATTATTAAAGCGATAATTCTATCAGAGGTATGAGAATAGGTTTCACCCTTTCGGGCAATAAAACAGGTATCACGACGTTTCGGCCACAACAAAAGCGGCCTTCATCAGGTGACGGAACCAACCTGTCCAGCGGACAGCGTTGGAGTGTCCGCTGGACAGGTTGGTCCCTTTAATTGAAGGCAGCTTGTGTTGTGGCCGAAACGTCGTGATTTTTATTTTATTACCTACGTGACTTTACCGAATAGAACCAAAGAGTATGGATCCTTGCAGTCACGAAAGCTTCAAATCTAGAATAAAACAGGTGTTAAGATGTTAAAACACCAAACTTAAACCTTTTGCCAGTAATAATGCAGACATCATTCCTTGCAAAAGGTTCCAGTTTTTGCAAGGAAGAAAGGGTAAAAACCTATTCTTATATTTTGATACTGGCGAGGGAGGTCCCATGATCTATTGCAGGTGTTATGTGGCTATGCTTTAAAATCCTCACTGAACATTTACAACTTGAGAGTTGATGCGAGCACGGTTTCTGGGGGTTATGAGGGGGGCCACCACACCACAAAGATTGAGGACCACCAGGTGAAGGCGCTTATGTCTTTTATTGAAGAAGAGTGTTCATTGTCATGAAAACTGCATTACAATACAGTGACACTTTGAAGACAACGAACACAGGCCAGATTTAATTCCGCAACCGTACACCGCGCGCGCACAAACAAATGTGATGCCGTTCGCCGTTTATAAACGCAACGGCGGCAATCGCACGCGATCAGGAGGGCAGCCTGAACTTGCCCCAGAAACTACCGAAGTAGCGAATGTCATAGGGGCTTAACGTGAAACGCAGGCCCAGCATGTTGTTGTCCACGATGCGTTTGAACGTCCACGGGTTCTCGTTGTTTTCCATGCGCCACTCCTCCGTCTTCTGCATCTCCTGCAGCTGCTCGCTGCTCACCGCCTTGGCGGGGAAGGGGAGCTTGTTGGCCATCTCGACAAGCCAGCCCTCCGCCTCCGTGAACTCGGCACGGCCGCCCACCTCCACCACCAGCTGCCCGTACTTGACGGGCGTAACGTAGTGATCGATGGCGCCCTTGCCACCGCCCATGCGCTGGCCCAGGCCCTTGCGCGTGAGCGGCTTGTACGGAGCTCGAACACGCCAGCGCGCGAACATGTTCTTGCTGTCCATCTTACGGTTGATGGCGAGCCTCATCATCTCCATGTGGCCCCAGTGGAGGTACCCGCCTCCCAGAGCCTTAAAATGGAAGAAAAAGAACGATGTCAGAAATGCCTAAAAGTCAAAAGTGATATATTGTTTAAATGTGCATTGATGGCGGTGCTAATCTCCTGCTTTTAGCCTTGAGGCAGTGGTGGAAAGTCAACATTCCTGTGTTGGGAATGGGTCTTTCCATCGGATATCCACTGTTGACTTCCCCACAAAGTAATGCTTATTTTATCGGCCCTGGAGAGATAATGGACTGAGTTAACCCCCAACCGGGATTTGAACTCGCAAACTTGTGAATGCGAGCCGCTCGCTCTGCCGTGGAGTCATAAATATGTAAAGAATGAAACACAGTGGTCCAGAGTTTGCTTACTTAAAACAAATGGTGCTTCATTATTTTGTTTTGGAGAGCCAACAGGCTGATAAAGACTAAATTATGTATTTACTTATATGTGGAGACACAGAACAAAATTCTGCTTAGATGATCTATGTAGAATCAAAGGATTTTAGCAACCGTTTTGTATATCCATAAGAGGTTTTATTTTTATTACTGGTGAAACGTCGTACTCAGATTGTAAATGTTGTAGCTTTGCTCTCCAACACACCGGTACTAGTAACGAATTGGCATATTCTGTTTACGTGACAAACCTTATTAAATTGGCTGTGTCGGGTGGTGGCGGCGGCTTTAATGACACATTTATATATTAATGCGATCTCACCCAAAAAACCTGTATTATGGATATTGGTCGTGAAAGCCTTCGTGTTAAACTGTTTGTATTTATTATTTGGTTTGTTGTGACAGTTATTCCCTCTCCCTTTCACGATGTTCACAACTGTTTGGAGTTGTAGTAAAATTTTTCCACTGCATATTCTCATGCTTTGTACCAACCCAAATGTTCTTTATAAAAGGAACTCTTATCTCCATGACCTCTCTCTCTGCTATATATATGCTAACTCTTGCTGTACCTTGAGATGTGGTTGCATGTAGATGCTACATAAATCCACATTGTATTGCATTTAATTATTTGATGTGCAAGCATTTACACTGTCGCTGCACTGGTGGAATGTGTCTAAAACCCGCTGGTTCAAAGGATTAAATGGAACAGGCATTACACATAAAAAATGAAACGTTTTTCAAATAATAGCTGCTTTTATGGCCCATCAATCTACTGCTAGATGAAGACCCCACTGTGCTATCAGTGAGAAGGGGCTGTTTTTATCATACTTCTCCACGCTGGTCAATGGCACAGTACTGGTCCAGACATCACAGCACCACTGAAGTTATTCATGGCCAGGAATTTAACTCATAGTGAGTGCACTGCACTAACCACTTGCACCACCCCAGCAGTGGCGTAGCTATCCGGTGTACAGGCGGTGCAACTGCACCAGGGCCCACGGGTCGGAGTGGCTCAGGCACCGGGCTACAAGGCGGGAAGGGAATAATTGGACAGGGGGCCCCCCCTCCATTGAATTTCTCGCACCAGAGGTTGTGTGAAAGCCACCGACGCTAAAACTTACCACGATGCCAAATTTTCCGTTGGTGAACGAGGTGTTTCCTCTGGCGGGACCCCGAATATCCGACAACTGCTTGGTCCATTTTCGTGCTTTCTTGTAGTTGGGAACTTTGCTGACAAATTTAAGCTTGTTTTTCGTAGGAATGACCACATCTGGGAGAGAAAAAGATAACAAGATAACAAGAAGTAGACTTTACAATCGTGTACTAACTGCATCGGATTTCACGGTTGTGCTGTATAGGCTCTCTGATGTATGATGTTCAGTTTCTAAAGATCCTTCTGGCATGTGGAGTAAAACGATGGACATCATGCCAAAAAACACATTGTTCTACCCGGAAACATTCCAAGAGAGTTTTGTAATCCCACATTTACAAACCAGCAACATCACAACCCTTTTGGTTCCATTCTTGTTAAAAGCCATTTATCATGTAAAGAGTGGCAAGAGGCTGAGTGAATGGATGGTGTTTGCTGCAGGTTTGCCACTACTTATAACCTACAATCAGTATGCAGAACGTTGATATAAATGCTGGCTGAAATCACACTTTTTTACCATCAAATTTCTCAGGTTGCGGGAAGATTTTGAGTCCAGCTGTGAACACCGCAGGCACGCGGAAGGGTACACCTGCAGGACAAACGAGCAACGTGGTGTTAAGCACAATGGTGTTAACTCATTAACGAACCACTGAAGTGATTGCTTAATGCAGCAGTCAACGGTCCAGTGTTGACCCAGGGCTTAACTTTCAGCTGGGTATGTGATGCGGAAAAATATTCCTAACACCCAGCACACCACATCCAGTATACGACCTCTCGCTAAGACTAATAATTGCGTGCCAACTCCGCCAGTCTCCCGGCAAGCCGGAAAATATTCATCGAGTAATCAAGACCTGTGCTGAGCCATCTGAGTCAATTCCACATTCCCATGCCGGGGCAAGCAACCACACACACGTTATAATTTATGTTTGTTTTACCCAGGACAGCGAGAGTCCCATGACTCTTTTAGAAGAGGGTGCTGCCAAGTGATTGGAGTACATGGGGGGGGGGGAGCGATGATTTCTAAGTACTGTATATTGCGAAAGAGCAATTCACGGATAATTTTCCAAATTTGGTGACATTGGCACACCACGACGGCAGGCACACTCAGGCAATCGCCATCAATCCAACGAGATTGTCAAAGCGTGAGTGTCACGTTTGTGATCGTCGTGTGGATGTTACTCGCTCTGACCACGGCAATGTGGAAATGTCCACCGCCACCCGTCCACTCACCCAACCACTCGCCCACCCACTCGCTCACACAATCACCCACCCACCTACCTACCCACTCACCCACCAACCCACTCGCTCACCCACCTACCCACTCACCCATCCACCTACCCACCCACCTGCTCACTCACCCACCCGCCACACTCACCCACCTACCCACTCACTCACCCACCTACCCACTCACCCACCTACCCACTCACTCACCCATCCACCTACCCACCCACCTGCTCACTCACCCACCCACCACACTCACCCACCCACCTACTCACCCACCCACCTACCCACTCACCAACCTACCCGCTCGCTCGCCCACCTACCCGCTCACCCGCCCACCTACCCACTCACCCGCCCGCTCACCCGCCCGCCCGCTCACCCGCCCGCCCGCTCACCCGCCCGCCCGCTCACCCACCCGCCCGTTCACCCACCCGCCCGTTCACCCACCCGCCCGCTCACCCACCCGCCCGCTCACCCACCCGCCCGCTCACCCACCAACCTACCTACTCGCTCACCCACCCACCTACCCGCTCACCCACCCACCAACCTACCCACTCGCTCACCCACCCACCCACCCGTTCACCCACCTGCTCACCCACCTGCTCACCCACTCACCAACCTACCCACTCGCTCACCCACCCACCTATCCACTCACCCACCCACCTATCCACTCACCCACCCACCTATCCACTCACCCACCCGCCTACCCACTCACCCACCCGCCTACCCACTCACCCACCCGCCTACCCACTCACCCACCCGCCTACCCACTCACCCACCTGCTCACCCACTCACCAACCTACCCACTCGCTCACCCACCCACCTGCTCACCCACCCACCAACCTACCCACTCGCTCACCCACCCACCTACCCGCTCACCCACCCACCTACCCGCTCACCCACCCACCTACCCGCTCACCCACCCGCTCACCCACTCACCAACCTGTCCGCCTTCAGAGGTCGGTGGGGTCCCATTCAAATGACCCCCAACGCGCGCGCGGTCACCACTTCACACTTCCCAACACTAACGCGCGGCGCCGCATCGCGCTCGAGCAAGCGCGCCAATCACGTCGGAGGACTCCAAACCACGCCCTCGACGATGGCCAACCGGCGGCCGCCGATCCCTGGCTGTCGCCCAACAGCAGTGGGAGATGCAATGCGAGGCCCAAAGAGAGCCTGGGGCCTAGGGCCGGGTCACCTGCGGCACGCAGCGCGGAGCAGAAGCAGCCGCCGCCGCCTCCTCCTCTTCCTCCCGCGGTGAGGACGCCCAGGGCTCGGCCCAGCAACGCGGCCATACCCGCCCGCTCGGCCCCGACAGCGCGAACACGCACGAGCAGCGGCAGCCCGCAGTGTTCACGCGGAGACTCCTACGGGACACGCGCGACCGCCCCCCTGTGGGAAGAAGGGGAGCGGGGCTCCGTCCTCTCGCGCGGGTCAACACCCGCGGCCCGGCCCCTTCTGGTGACACCGAAGAGCGGTCGCAAGGTCCCGCGGGCCGCTGCGGCGCCCCCTGGTGGCCTTAAGTGCGGGCCCCGTGACATTAGGGAGCCGTCCATAAATGACGTCACGCACCTAGGTGGGGGGGCGGGGGTCCAGACATTTGTGACGATGTGTGACGAGGGGGGGGGGGTTGAGAAGTGTGACGTCACATCAAAATGCGCAACTTTAACTAAACATAGACAACACGTTCTACTAAATGAAATAGACTTTTTAATAAATGTTTTCTCCTACAACATCAGAGTGCAGCGCCACATTAAATACGCAACTACAATGACAATAGTTTAAAGCGATTTGAAGCATGCTTTATTTTCAAAATGGAAATATGGTTTTGGGGGGGGGGGGCAGAGCTTTGTGACGTCATATTTGAGGGGGGGTCTGACTTTTTGTGACGCCGTGTGACGAAGGGGGGGGGGGGGGTCAAAAATCGTCCAAAATCGCGTGACGTCATTTATGGACGGCCCCTTTCACACAGATGGTGAAAACACCCCCCCTCCCCGTCATCATCGTCCTGCTGCTGTCAAACCTCACAATGGTTTCAAATAGTTTGACGGCCCCCCTAACACTGCTGATGACTTATAGGCGAAATTGCACCCCCCCCCCCCTTCCTGTAAAAATGAATGAAAACACATTCATTGTGTATGTTGAACTTCTTTCCCACCGTACCTAGCCAACCGTGCTAATCGAAGGTTGCGGGGCGGGGGGTGGGGGGAAACCCAACAAACTAAAAAAAATTTAAAATATTATTTTTTGTTCCTCATATTCTCCGGGACGCTAATAGTAATAATGTAATGTTGTGCTTTGTATGATACCTTGCATCGAACTAGGAGCCATTCCGCACTCTAAAGCATTGATCTTCACTATTTTAGAGGGGGGGGGGGGGGGCACTTTCGCCGATAGGACATCATCAGTGTGAGGGCCGCTACACGATTTCAGAACCATTGGGGTTTGACAGCATTACGTTCAACATACAGTACATTAAAAGTATATCTTAATAAGTAATATTTAATAATAGGGGTTTTTCCCCTTTTTTTCTGGCAACAAAACTGAAACCTTTTTACAAGGATTCATATCTGCATTTCTTTTAAAGAAAGCCGTCCCTTGGTGTGGACCAATCAGTTTCAAGGACAATGCATATATTATCATAGTATGTTTTTTGTTTGCATTTTGACTGCAGGTATTGTGGTTAATGAAGACATGAATCCTTGTAAAAAGGTTTCAGTTTTGTTGCCTGAAAAAAGGGGAAAAACCCTATTATTACATTTTGGTACTGGCAAAGGAGGTCTAATGAAGTAATATTTAAAAAAACTTTTTTAAAAACACGCTTTTATGAAATGTACTCGTAATGGAAGAACTCCACGACTCCAGGAAGTGGCCCCGAAGCTTGCCACGACGTAAGGGGACCGTGGGCAATTACAGCCAACGTCAGTTGAGCGTGGACAATTTAATGATAGAATATAGTAGTCATCAGTATGACATAAGTATACCAAGTTTGCAGTCAATACCACATCGGGAAGTTGGTTAAAATTGAGTTACAAGATTTGAGGATACAACAGTGAGTTAATAGAAAGCGTGTAAAATAAAAAGGGATGCCTCCTTTGTGTGCATGTCATGGCCCTTCCACCATGCCCTGTCCATTGAAGTACAAGAAAATGAGCATTCATCATCAGCCGTGGTCAATCCACCGCTGGATGAAGCCCCCCGCAAGCCATCACCATTCTCATTGCCCTGCGATGCAATAATGCACCTAACACTTGCCCACGAGCTGATTTCATTGTTCCAACTTCTCTGTGGGTGTCTTTTTTTTCCTTGATGCACATTGCTATGTTGCGTTTCATTATCAAGTTTCAGATTTCTGAAAGCACTCCGCGGCCTGTTCTCTCTCCCGTTTCATAAATTTTTATTCCGGTTAGTCTTCAATAGCTGTCCCAGCGACACACACACACTGCTGTCTTACAGTTGTGTTCCCTCGACACTGTCCAATGTTTAGCGACTTTGATGTACAGGACCTTTGTTTTTGCTCATATTTAACTTTACAGGCTTTAAGTAATTTTAACATTTCCTGCAATTCATTCTCATTATGACCAGGTCTCTAGCAAATATGAAATTATAAATAACAAAAAATATATAGTTATGCCATTTGTTTCTCCAAATTTTCAGAAAATATCTTCGAGTGTCATTGTGAATAACTTCAGCGAAAGCGTGTCACCTTGACTACCTGTTTTGTACTTTCTTCATTCACAATTGGCACATGCTCTTTGTTTTTTTTCGGTAAAGTCACGCAGGTAAAATAAAATAAATGAAAACTAAATGAAATCGCGACGTTTCGGAGGCAACACAAGCTTCCGTCTTCTGGTGGAAACGGTCACAGCAAAATTGCTGTATCAAGTGAAGAGAGCTCTAAGAGACCCGAGATTATATACAGGTTAAGGGGGGGTGGGAGCCGGGAAGGGCCGTGGAGGGGGGGGGGGGGCTGGCCAGAGGATTGTTAATCAGAAAAGAGGCAGTGAGTGTTTACATCGTTTTTAATCCATTATTTCCAACCACATTTATTCAATACTTAATATTTTTCAACTGATTCATCGCAGCATGAGTGACTCAACCACCAGGAATACGAGCTTGACAGTAGACAGTACACCAAGTAGGTCACTGACCTATATGAACCGATTTTACCCACATCCTATCACGTATGTTGTTGATTTTGTCCAAGGAACTATAGCCTCGTGTAACAGAAAAAAAATAAAGGACAGTTTTTGGAAAGGTGCAAAATAACATTTTACATCATTAGGCTAACATTTAATGCAAAAGCCCTTCCTAAGAGTAAGGCCAAACTCTAAAAAGAATATTGTAAAGGGTCGTTGGCATAAATATTAGCCTATTATATATCTATGTTATAGCACAATGTTGAGTTTTTATATGAATTTACACTAACAGGAATCAACCAAACATTTCAATTCCAATGTAGTGTCCTCCTGTCAAAGACAACTCAGCGAGGCATTCCTGCATAAAATGAATCGTTTTCATAATGTGTTTTAGCATGAAAAATGACAGAAATTAAACGCAGTTCCAATTCTTCGAATATAGACCACGGGGAGGCTACAACTTACCACTGCGGAGGCCAAAGTCGTTGTGCTGTACAGCTCTCCAATATCTTTTCGAGTTGTACTGTCCCGCGTACTGGGAGCTTCATCGGGAACTCAATTCAGTTGCTGAAGAAGCTTGCAGCATGTGGAGCAAAACATCGGACATCATGCCAAACAGCACGTGGTACAACCCGCAAGTACATCGCAGAGATGTACAGCACACGACTGCAACAACCTGCACGATAGTATAATAACAACCCCTCGATGAAATAAACTGATGGAAACCAAAGATAACTCTCCGGCGTTCTCAGACGACGGTCAGGGGGTCGCGGTCGACCTCAGACACGTGAATGTTGAGTTTCTGCTGTAGCTTGTCGAGCAGCAGGAGGCGCAGGCGGGGCAGGAAGCCACGCTCGGTGTTGCTGTGCTCGCAGAGTATGACGCTGACACCCCGCGACACTGCGTCCAGCACCTCGTGGTGCGACAGCTCCCCTGCCACGTACACAGCACAGACGACAGTAGTGGAGAAAATGGGTCGGTTTTAAGGGACCACCACAATGTACCAATCATGAAATAGTACTAATTTTATTGACCCTGAAGGAATGGTGGATTGAATCGACCCATGACCCAAGATTCAGATTCACCAACTTCCAACCGGGAGCAGAGCACTCCGCCACAGCACTACCCAGCGTGGTGATTATAATTATTAGGTGGGGTGCTAATGGGACAGGATTGAAACTGCAGGTCGAGGCAGCATTAAGGTGAGTGATGTGTGGTGCTGCACCTGTAAGGTAGAGGTCAGCCTGAACACCCTTGAGCACACTGCCCCCAGAGCCGGCACACAACGCCACGGTCCGCACTGTCGAGTCTGTAGAACACATCACACACACCACCGTTGAGCTTGTAGCACATAGCACCCCTATGTAGAATACAGCAGCACTGAGCCTGTAGCACATAGTACACAGCGCCACTGTTAGCATATATTCGTATCGTTTATTTAACCAGGAGATAAACGAAACTCATTGAGGCACGTGACCTGGGCTTCATCTAAGCCTATAGCACAGTGCAGCACATAGCACATCAGAGCCTCTAGCACACAGCACATAGCATCACTGTGTCTGTAACATAGAACTTGTAAATCTATAGCACACAACACAGCTTCTTCTTGCACATGACCCAACGATAACTGACATGGTAATGGTTACCTGGCGACTTCCCAGCTCCCAGCGCTAGCCTCACGTGGGGCAGCAGGAGGTGCTGCTTTATGCGCGACACCAGCGTGGATGTGGACACCGGCTCGGCGAGCGTGCACAGTCGACCCATGCCGGTGCCGGGGAACGGTGGCTATGGGACGAGAAGGAAAAACACGCGCTGCTCAAGTACCCACACCTCTTACGTGATGTGTATCATGAAGTCGATCTTCTTAATTGAATACAAAAGTCCCATAAATGTGTGTGTGGGGTCAGATGCTCGGATTTTCTCCCTCCACGTACTATTCTCCGCCTCATCTCTTTTCATATCCATTGTCCTCATATCTCATTCCACAACATCCTCCCATCTCCTCCTCAGCTCCCCTCTGCTCCTTCTGTTCAGCACCCTTAACACCTCCATCACCCATCGAATTGGACCTTCTTTGTCGCTTCTCAACGAATGATCCAATCCGTCTGAGGCCACCCTCCCTTACCTTCTTGAGAATATTAGTAACCCCTGCTAAGCCTCTCAACATCTTAATTCTACCACCTTTCTCTTAATAGTTATTCCCATAATCCGTCTTAGCAGGTACTGTGCAACAAGTACGTGTACAGCCCTTTTGTCAATCCACTTCTGGATGAGGGCTTTCCCCACACCATGTCTCTCATGATAGCTACCACAACAGTCTGTTACTGCTACAGGGGAGATATTTGTCTTTGTGTATACTACCGTATCTACCTGTGCCAATGTTGGTCTATGTATATGTGTGCGACCGTGTGCCTCCTGGCTGGCCGAAACGTTTCAGAACATTTCCAAGGTGTTCCCAGGCCCTGCTCTCGGGCTCCCTCTGCATTTGGACTGACCTTGCGCAGGGCAGTGATCTCCGTGTGGCGGTGCGCGTGCTCGTTGTTGGACAGGCAAGCCAGCGTCTCGGGCAAGGCTCCCTCCGTGCAGTTCATGCTGAGCATCACCGCCGACTCTCCCCCCTCATTCGTAGTCCTGCAGACGACACAGGCGTCGATCGAGAGTCGTTACGCTCATGAGGACGGGTGTGGTATTGTTAGCGCACGCTAGGTACGAGTTTTGGATAAAAAAATAATAATCTACATTTAGATTTTTTTTTATTTAGGTAAGAACAGTTTAGTTTATTTTTCATATATGCGGATCATTTACATGACACCACTTTTGGCAGGAAAAGTGCCAAGTGATGTGATGAAAGTAATGTAATTTCCTGCAACGTCATGCTTTCACGTTAATCCGAAGCAAAAACATGTTAGGATCATCAAAAATTTCAAATCTAGGTACCATTTTCAGATTTTTTTTTGAAGTATGAAAATTGGAAACATATTCCAAATGTACACCTCCCATCTCATATTTTGGATGCGAGGGTTTGTGGATCACGTATAGTTGCTAGTCCCAAACTCGCTTGGCTATGAGGTGGCTAACAGGTAAGAGTACAGCTGGTACGTTTCGTGAACCCTTCTGTGCATGCCTTTGACTATCATTCACTTGTATCCATGGTAGATTTTATCTGGGTACTCTGAATTACTTCCCATTACAAAACACTGATGAACAGACCTGGCCAAACGAACATCCCAATTTGGAAACCTGAAAAAAGTAAAAATTCGACCAATGTGCAGAGTAGCACAGTGCAAGGCTCGCATGCAGAAGGTAGTGAGTCAAAATCCCACTGAGGGGTCGCATCAGCATTGCATTCCTCCAGCGTGGCGGATAAAATATAAACATCCCTCGGTGGGTTTGCCTGTGACGAAATCACCCAGAATGTGCCCAATCTCATCCAAACTCAGAAGTAGGGTTTAACCTGGATGGTGCTTGGATGGATGACCACCATACATAACACGCTGTTGAAGGCTCTCGGTCTATGTGGCGGAAAGCAGAGGGCAGTGCGGAAAAATCCACTGGCTTTCTGTTCTCCTACATTTCAACGTCCATGCTCCCTGCATCGGCTCGCATTGAAGAGCGCGGTGAAGTATGGCTTAATGACCCCCATAACCCGCGCGCTGTGAGGGGGGTCCTAAATCCAGCAGTGGACCGACGAAAAGGGTCTGTGCGTGCACTTAAAAGTGTGCGTACGTACTGCAGGGGCAGGGTGTGGAGAACGAGCCCAGACACCGCCTTCAGCTGGGCGGCCAGCGAGGGCCAGTCCGCCGCTTTTGCAGCGCTCGTCACGTGCACGCTCCCCTGGCTCAGGTGCTTCAAGGCCTCGGATGTCTTCAGTGGGGTCACGGAGCCCTCGCCTGCACGACACAATCGTTAGGCCGCAACACGTGCATCAATGTATCACTGTTTAAAACCAATTCTCACCGAAGGGAAAAAGTGCGGCCTTACAATTTCTTGCTCATGCCACTTTTGACGGTCAAGCCTCCATTCGAGGCAGCTTTAAAGAGTCCTTCTCGAGGTTACATGCTGGACAGACATCTTGGATAATTTGGGAGTACTCACACTTTACCCCACCACATGCGAACTGCCGATCAATAGCGTTGCCATTTATACTGCTGGGTGGACAGGTGAATGGATTTAACAACCTTGTATCATTGTTTCCACTCCTGCGCTGGGAGATGAAGCTGGCTATCTCCAGATTTAAAGTCCAGTGTGCTAACCATTATACCGCAGCAGTCTGTAAACGTACAGATGTGAAATATTTCACTCTTTAAGTGGGATCGTAAACTTATATGGGCAGACCTGTGTCACCCCCTAATTTAATGTGGTGGACTTTCTCCCAGTTCTCAAGTTTCCTCCCACATGAAGCCAAACGCCCGTCAATGGAAGTGGCCAAATATTACAAAAGGTTCAGTGTAATAACCATTACACCAAGGTAGCATCTTCACTTCTTAGTTCCTGAAGAAGCTCCAAGCACACGGGGCGAAACGTGCTGACCCATTGTGTCAAACAACACGTGGCACAACTCGTAAACACAACGGAGGGCTGTACAGTACAACTGCGAAAACCTACGCAGCAGACGACACTGAGCAATCCCATACCGAGGCCCTCTGCCAGCCAATCGTTGACTCCTCCGCGCAGGGCGTCGTAGCAGGTGTGTGGCGAGTAGACAGCCACCCTGTTCTCCAGCGCCGTCACCACGAGCCTCTCCTTCCAGGAGCGCATGGTAAGCGAGCGCAGCGGCGCGAACACGGGCGGGTGGTAGGAGAGCACCATCTGGGCGGGCAGTCGCACGGCCTCCTGCAGGACCTCCTCCGTCAGGTCGTTGGTGAGCAGCAGGGTCGAGACGCAGTGCGGCGGGCTCGGTTCCACCAGCAGCCCCACGTTATCCCAGCTCTCGGCCAGAGCTGGAGGTGCCAGCTCCTCCAACGTACGCACCACCGCGTGCAGCTCCATCCCCGCCACCTAGGGATGCCACAACATGACAATACAATGATCGTCTTTGTTATCCGGCCACGATCAATCCACTCCCCAATCCGCTGCCATCCCCCGCGATCCTGCGATATATAATCCGAGTGCCTGCACACGTGCTGGTTGCATCACTCCGTCTCGTCCGCCGCTCATAGGGGTCGGATTTGACCATAAATCACCAAGCTAGTCAGTGTAGGTTGGTATGTGAAGATAGCAGATTTTGTCCCTATCAAGCATAGCTACTCAGGTCTTCAAAACCCTTCACCAATCAACAGCGTCCCATTGGAAAGATATGACTACAGTATATTGTACGACATTGGGATGTGTTGCCAATTTTTGGGATTCATTGGAAAAGTCATAAAATCGGACTTTGATAAAATTCTGAAACAAATATTCAAGATAATTTGTAATATATTTTAAATCTGATAATTAGCAATGGCGGTAGCTTTGGGAGGCCTTCATCAAGCAGTGGATTGGCCATGGCCCACGATTGATGATGCAGATATTATCGTGAAATATATCATGGGAACCCTACTTCTACTGCTGCACTCACACTGGTGCTGCTGCTACTGCTACAGGGAGTGACCAGCCTCCAACAACGCCCAGCGAAAGAACAGCCAGGAGATGGCGTGGGCCAGTGGGCGGAGGTTAGTTGAGATTTCAGTTGCGGTGACGGCCACTGCAGACGTCTGCTGAATGAACGTCTTGCGAAGCCGAGGGATGTCTTGAAGAAGGGATGTTTCGACGCGGGGAGGACATTCACCCAAGACATCCACTCTGCTCAGCGTGGCGCTCTGTGAAAAAGCGAGGGATGCCGTTAAGAGACGAGACAAGTCAAAGGGTCTCCTCGCTCAAACAAGAATGGGGTGGTGGTGGTCATTTGTCTGAAGCAATGTTCTTCATTGCAACGCCCACGGGCCACTGGCCGCCCCGGTGGTCTTAAATGCTGCCCCTGACATGCAGCCCTCGACAATACACGAATGTAAAGACACCCCCCATCATCATCCTATTAAACCCAATGGTTTCAAATATGTATTGGCCCTCACATTGACGATGGCTTATCGTCGAAAGTGGCCCTCCTCTGAAAATGAGTGAACACTGAAACAGTGTTGGAAGTTCTCCATGCGTATGACAGGGTTAGTTTACCCATAAAACCACCACTTTTGACTTGGCACAAAGTAGTAGTCTAATATGTAAACCTGGAGGGGCTGATGATGACGGGTGGAATTGTTACCCCGACCTGGAGTTGTCACCTGACCTGGATTTTTTTTTTTTACATCCCAATGAAAAAGGTCCCTCCTATTTATAGCGCCAGGATAGAGTGGTCACAGTGGTTTGTGCGCTGTAGTTTGAACTCAGCGGCGACTAAACACATTCCTGCGGAGGGAGCTGGTAGGAACGTTGGGTTGCTCGGTCAATGGCCAGGGTCAACGGCGGCACCACGTGGTGTATTCCGCAAATATGCCCGACTGTGAGGGCGGGCACAAGCCGGCGTGAGTAGGTTAAACGTTGAATTTTATAAGGGCACCACGGGGTGACCAGCCCCTCCCCACCCAGCCCCACCCCTCCCACTCCCCACCCTCCCCACCCAGCCCCTCCCCACCCTCCCCTCCCCACCCAGCCCCTCCCATTTTGGGATGCACGACGGACGGACGGACACAATAATCCCCTGTGGGCTGGTGGTGTAACCAGGGGGTTCCTACCAGTATAACAGCGATTAGTATCCGAACCGGCCCTGGTGTCCTCCCCATCTCAAACCAGCACTGGACCAGTGTCGAGAAGTTAGATCAGAACCCCACGACCGATGTTGTCCGAAGGCTCAAGCAGTGGATTGACAGTGGTTGTAAAGTTAACTGCGTGCCAAGCAGGTGGATTTAATATGACGAAACCGTGGACACTTGCAAGTTATAATAATAATAGATCCCGTTTATTTTTTTTCCAGCTAAGCCTGCATCTCACAACTTTATTGGAATGTTTGGCCGATTCTATTGAGTGGATTGTGGGAGGCGGGAGACCGGATGAAATTCACTGCTTATGTGAGAGGGGAGTAACGCTCAATTATTCGCACAGATGGATTCAAGAATCCAATGCTGCTCTACCATCTCCTGGCCACTTCAGGGGGCGTGACATCCCATGCAGCACGTGGGATCGTGAACACGCAACTTTGGTGATATTTTCTCCCGGTTCTCTGCTTTCCTCCCACCAAAAGTCAAAACTATACTCTTTGGTTCTATTCGGCAAAGTCACGTAGGTAAAAAATAAAATAACAAAAATCACGACGTTTCGGCCACAACACAAGTGGCCTTCATCAGGTGAAGGGACCGTGCTGTCATGAGGACACCGTTTTCACTCCAACGCTGTCCTCATGACAGCACGGTCCCTTCACCTGATGAAGGCCTCTTGTGTTGTGGCCGAAACGTCGCGATTTTTATTTTATTTTTTACCTACGTGACTTTACCGAATAGAACCAAAGAGTATGGATCCTTGCAGTCACGAAAGCTTCGAATCTAGAAAAGTCAAAACTCTCATTAAGCGATCAATTAAGTCAATGTAGCAGGGCCCTCTCGGCAAAGAGTCTGTGGGACACTCGGTGAGGCCTTCCCCGGGTACAATGAAGGGCACTCTTACTGCGTTCTCAACAGCCCTTTGTTAATCCACTACTGTGTGAAGGCCTCTCCCTATGCCGCATCAGTCGTGGTGGTTGTAGTGATCGTGGTTTGACCATACTTCACCACGCTGGTCAGTACGGTGTTGATGGAGGTCCGTGTGCAGAACCGGTTCGGATTACATTCGCCACTGATGTTAGCCGCGGCAGGGAATCGAACGCGGGTTGCTGGCTTCATTGCGCGACAATGTAATTATAAGTATTGTACAATTATAACTATTATATAATTATTATAATTACGGGGAAACTTCCGCCGGCTTCCAAGCGCCCTGGACTCGCTTGGACAACGTGGAGCATCGACTCCTCGATTCCAACGCGGTGGAATCTATAAGAATCGACGTCACGATTACTTTCAATAATCGATTCCCCCGTGGACCTTTGAATGCGGTGCTGAACTTGGCACCAGAATGATAATATATTTATTTAGACTGCAGGGAGGAATCCGATGAGCTATGAAGCGCTTTTTTAAAACAGATGTCCAGTAAGGGCTGGGTCAGAACGTTACAACAATACGTAGACACGACAGGAGTGCAAAAACACACTCGTGGTTAAATTTTGATAATATGAATACGCACGTGGTTGTTGACGATTGGAAGTGCTTGTTATGCAAGCGCCGTAGTGATGTCAGGACCACTTAGTGGTGAATGGCGGTTGTTATTGTTGTTGCTGCTTGTAATGCAATTAATGATGCATCGATTTGTTTCTCTCGTCGAATTAAAATTCGCTCTATCTGCAGCGGGTGTGTGTTTACGGTGATTGTGTTTACATTTCTTGTACTTTGTAACGTTATTACCCCGTGCCCCCTACTGGAGGACATCTGTGACAAAAAGCGCTTCATAGCTCTTCGGATTCCCCCTGCTGCAGTAATAAAAAATCCGATTCTGAGAAATCGATTCCCAGGGTGAATCGACTCCTGCCCGCGACGCCTTTCGCCGTACTCGGCCATCTTACTCCCGCCACGGCGATTGGCTGCAACCTTGGCACGCGACACGCGGGGGGCGAAGGGCGGCTTGTGATTGGTAGCGAGCGGGGGGTGGGCGGGGCATAGGGGCGCGGGTGGGGGGGGCTATTTTTTTTCCCGCCTGATGAATACCGCATGTGTTGCGATCGAAACGTCGGTGGGTTTTTTGCTTTTATTATTTTAAATTAAATTTTTTATTTTGTTTCATTTTCTATCCACGTTACTTTACCGAAAGAACTAAGAATAAGTACAGCACTGTATTCGTTTCGGGGCCGTCCATAAATGACGTCACGCGATTTTTGACCCCCCCCCTTCCTCGTCACACGGGGTCACAAAAAGTCAGTCCCCCCCCCTCAAATATGACGTCACAAAGCTCTGCCCCCCCCCAAAACCATAAAACATGCTTCAAATCGCTTTAAACTATTGTCATTGTAGTGCGTATTTAATGCGGCGCTGCACTCTGATGTTGTAGGAGTGTTATAACAATTCTATAATTCATATTCTTAGTTTTTTCGGTAAAGTCACGTTGAAGAGAAACAACAAAATAACAAAATATATATAAAACAATAAAAAATTCTCACGACGTTTCGACCATAACTCAAACGGTCATCATCAGGTGTGTCGGTTTGCATGACCGACACACCTGATGATGACCGTTTGAGTTATGGTCGAAACGTCGTGAGAATTTTTTATTGTTTTATATATATTTTGTTATTTTGTTGTTTCTCTTCAACGTGACTTTACCGAAAAAACTAAGAATATGAATTACTGCAGTCACGAAAGCTTTAAATCAAAATTTAATTCTATAATTATTTAAAGTTGCGTATTTTGATGTGACGTCACATTTCTCAAACCCTCCCCGCTCGTCACACATCGTCACAAATATCTGACCCCCCCCTAGGTGCGTGACGTCATTTATGGACGGCCCCCTAACGGGCGTAGCAACATGGCGCCGCCCGGCGCGGGGTCACGTGCTCTTACAGTGCGGGGTCACGTGCGTCGTGGACAGTGAGTTGGTGTTGGTCGTCCGCGCGCGGCGTCGTTGATGAGGGCGCTCGCTCACAGAGCAGCCCTGCGTCGACGGTACGGGGGAAGGCGTCAACTCAGTCTGCTGATGTCACGGTGCTTGTAGACAGTGTGTCACAGCGTGTGTCACAGTGTGTCACAGCGTGTGTCACAGCGTGTGTCAAAGTGTGTCACAGCTTGTATCACAGCGTGTGTCACAGCGTGTCACAACGTGTGTCACAACGTGTTACAGTGTGTCACAGCGTGTGTCACAGCGTGTGTCACAACGTGTGTCACAGTGTGTCACAGCGTGTGTCACAGCGTGTCACAGCGTCTGTCACAGCGTGTCACTGTGTGTGTCACAGTGTGTGTCACAACGTGCGTCACAGCGTGTTACAGTGTGTGTCACAATGTGTCACTGTGTGTGTCACAGCGTGTGTCACAGTGTGTCACAGTGTGTGTCACAATGTGTCACAGCGTGTCACAACGTGTGTCGCAGTGTGTGTCACAACCTGTGTCACAGGGTGTCACAGCGTGTCTAAACCTGTGTCACAACGTGTGTCAGTGTAGAGGGCACAGGTGGTGCATCAGCCAGTCATCTCAGTCAGTCGACCCGTGGCACCTGGGTCTGCCCTGTGACCTCCTGCCAGCGGGCGTTCGACACTTCACGTGGCCTCAAGGTGCACATGGCCTGGCACAAGCGTCGCGGTTACGTCACCGACACTTAGTGGCGAATGGTGGTGGTGGTTGTTGTTTCAAGGTGTATCGATGAGTGTCTGCCATTGTGTCTCGGTATGTGTCAAAGTGTGTCCGTGTTTCACACTCCTTGCCCCAACATCGCTATACAAGATATATTTTTCTAAAAAAATGTATTTCCGGGTGTGTGTGTTTCTCTCCGTCACTCTATGCACGTGTCTGTGTGACCGTGTATCACTTTATAGATCGACTCAGCCTAAAATGAGTACCCGGTCTTTTATAGGTGCTCGCTAACAGCACTTGCCCCCACAGTCTGGTACGGCTACACGGGGGATCTTTTTCTTCTGTGTCACTTTATATGGCAACTTAATACTGTATGCGTATCATTGCTTGCGTTTGCCATTGTGTGTCATTGTATCTACAGTACTGTGTGCGTGTCTAAAACATGTACAGTATATACATGCGTTGCTGCAATTGTTAATTCCATTTGGGGTCATCTACCATGTGTGCTTGTCTCTGCGTGAATGTTTTCTGTGTGTGGGCAGCGGTGGTGTAGCGGTTAGCGCACTTCGCTATGAACCCGGCCACCCGAGTTCAATTCCCGTTCACGGCCACCACCGGTGACGATTATCTGAACCGGTCCTGGGCCTCCCCTGGGTCGACTTAGCCTCAAATGAGTACCTGGTGCGGTGTGTAAACGTCGCCACCCGAGAAACACATGGGGCATGCTGCTGGCCACCCACCCACTCGTGTGCCTTGCCCTCCTTAATAGGCCCTCGCAAACACCACTTGCCCCCAAACAGCCTGTTAAGTCTTGGCTTAAAGCTTTCGTGACTGCAGGAATTCATATTCTTTGGGTCTTTCGGTTATGTCACGTAGATAGAAAAAATAACAAAATAATAAAAAATTAAGTGAATAAAAAATAATAAAAAATATCACGACGTTTCGATTGTCGATTGCTTGTGTTGCGATTATTTGATTGTTATTATTTTTTCTATCTACGTGACTTTACCGAAAGCCTGTTAAGTGCCATACGTGGGGATCGTTTTGTCTCAGTGCTGTCGTCTGGCGGTGTGAGCAGGCCGTCTGATTGAACTCCGATCTTGTACACCCGTCCGCGCTGTCAAGACCCCCACCACATTCAGACTCAACTCAAGACAGGTTCGACAGACACCGATTTGCTACATATCCTTGTCTTTTTACATCTACATCTCATTATTTCTGTAACTCGATTGTACTATGACCCGTCTACAAACAAAATCAGCGTTACGTAACGGGAAATGTATTATTTAACATTGTTTTTTATTGCGCAATATTTTCTATTACCCGCCAGATTTGTTTCGCCAGTAATTGCAACTGGCATCATCAGGCGGACAACCATAAATTTGGCTGTCCGCCTGATGATGGTAGTTGTAATTACTGGTGAAACGTCGTACTCAGATTGTAAATGTTGTGAATTTGCTCTCCAACACACCGGTGTGCTGTACTAGTAACGAATTGGCACATTCCGTTTACGTGACAAACCTTAATAATTGGCTGGGTTTAAGGACACATTCATATTTACGCAATCTAACCCAACAAAAAACCCCTCTATTAGGCATGGTGTGGTTGGTGCTGTCGCTGGCCCGAGCCGTTAAGCGGCCCGACCTCCGCCCGAGATGGTGCTCCTCGCCGGCCGCGTCCCCTGACCTCGCCTTCGTGCCCGCGTGCGCCCCCGCGGGGACGCAGCAGTGCGGGCAGCTGCAGGACTTCCTCGCCAACTCCCGGCGCCTCTTCGTGCTGGCGGGCGCCGGCCTGTCGACCGAGTCGGGCATCCCCGACTACCGCTCGGAGGGTGTGGGGCTCTACGCGCGCACGTCGCGTCGACCCATGCAGCACGCCGAGTTTGCGCGCAGCGCCGTCGCCCGCCGGCGTTACTGGGCGCGAAACTTCACCGGCTGGCCGCGGTTCAGCAGCCGGCGCCCCAACGCGGCGCACCTCGCCCTCGGTCGCTGGGAGCAGCAGGGCCGGCTGCACTGGCTCGTCACGCAGAACGTGGACGCGCTGCACGCCAAGGCCGGCAGCCGGCGAATCACGGAGCTCCACGGGTGCTCCCATCGCGTGGTTTGCTTGGACTGCAAGGAGGTGCGTTGGGTGCGAATTGTGGTGAAGCGGTGGGGGGGGGGGGGGGCGAGGTTGGTGGTCTGTCCGCCCTTGGGCCATGTGGGCTATGCGACGTTGTTATGGTTAAAAAGTGAAAGCGATTTCCTGCGCAAAATATTAGCATTTAAGCGGTGCTTGTCTTCTATTTGCAGCTCCGAGCCAGTGGTAAACATTCCACATTCATGTGGGGGGGGCGAGTCAACCACTGTTTACTTCCCCACAAAGTGGTACCCGTTTTAACGACCCGGGAGGGAAGATGGGCCGAGTCAACCCCCAACCAGGATTTAAATGATCGCATGCTGGCCACTCTACCACTGAGTCACCTGATTATGATTTACAATTCCCCATTGATTGGCCATTGCTATTTTTAGTGGCTTATGTTTCCTATACTTTGCACTCCTATTGTGTTTTTGTATTGTTGTAACTTTGTGACCCACCTCAACTGGACATCTGTGAAAAATAACTTAATCAGATTCCTCAAGTGGATACAATTTTATTCTGTTATGGCTTTTACATTATGGGATGATACTGATTGTGTTGATCCAGCAACTCATTATTGAGACACTATATGTGGAGATACACGTTTACATATTTTAAGATAATTCTCCTGGTTTGGTTGGGACAGACCCATTTTCAGGGGTGTCCTGAAGCATTTGGGAAAATCTGGATATTGATTCAGGTTCAAAAATGTTTATTCAGCTCAGCTTACATCATTGTTTTGGAGGTGGTTCTAATGCCGGGTGGTTCAATAGTTGGGTCAGTGATGAGACATATTTTTTTATAGTTTGTTTGTCCAAAGCTCCCGCCATCGTTCTTTAGTGCCAAACCATGAAATGCTCCGGGCCCTCGGAAGGGGTGGCTTACATTGTGAGCGAGAATGACGGCGCGTCCCTTCCGCCCAGGTTACGCAACGAACGGAACTGCAGCAGCGGATGCTCGACATGAACCCGGGCTGGCAGCAGCAGCATGAGCAGGCCATCGCTCCCGACGGAGACGTCTTATTGTCCGACAGCCAGGTACTGATACTTCGTCTCATCATCAGCCATGATTGATCCACTGCTGGCTGAAGGCCTTTCCAAGCTGTCGAAATTGCTTGCGGTCATGTGATGTAATAATCTGTCTAGCACAAGCTCATTTTATCGCTCGTTCTCCAGCATTCATCCCCTCTTGCGATGTGCCATGCCTAAGACCCACTTATTTTCTCAACATTTCATTAACCTCCATATGTTCTCTAATGCATGTGTTACTCTATCTTTCTCTCAACATAATTTCAAGCTTGCATCTCTCCACACTTCCTTTGCGCACTTGTTACCGAGTGGAACTAGTTGCGGCTCGGACTGCGCGAGGGTTGATTGGTGAGGAGGGTGGACACAAAGACAGAGAGCCATTTACTGTACCTCGTGTTTAGAATGCAAGCGTGAACAATATGCATCAAGAACACCGTGAGACGACAATTTAACGTGAAGCCTGTCTTTGCTAGACAGTGATGATAGGCACACTTGGCTGCCCTGCTGCATTGAGATTATTTAGATTATTTTGGGTGCTATAAATGTCCAAATGATGGGGCCACTTTGTTGAGCTATCATTTGTGGCCAGATCGCTCATGAAAAATAAGTTAATACCTTGGTGGGCTTTAACCTGCTAGGATGGGGATGGTTTAGTTTTATTTGTTTGTGTTTGGGTAATTTGTTTACCTTTCTTGTACAGTAAAACCTTGGATTGCGAGCATAATTCGTTCCGAAAACGTGTTTGTAATCCAAAGCACTCGTATATCAGTTGTGATCACGTGACGCTCGGCAGACAAAGCATATGCGTACACTGTTCGTATTGCAAGACCTCGCTCGTTTATCAAATTAATATTTATTTAAAAAATTTGCTCGTCTTGCAAATCACTTGCAGACCAAATTACTCGCAATCCAAGGTTTTACTGTACTTTGCACTCCTATCGTGTTTTTGTATTTGTTGTTGTAGCGTTCTTACCTGCAGTATATACATATTTATCCTGATTCTGAAGTCCACACAGAAGGGCAGCAGTGACACAACTTCCTTGGAGCTTCAATTCTCGGACCACTGTCTCTGCGATTGGGACGTAGCTGCTATGACAGCCATATTAGCAGGCGTGGACGCGCGTCTTTGGGCGTCCTGAAGACGAGCAGGAGGTCCCGATGGCCCTCTCCTTGATGATGCTCTAAGCAGAGTCACCACCTCATCCACCTCTTCTTCAGCCTGTCATTGGCTACTGCTCCACGTAGCGCGGCTGTGACAAAGGTCACACCACTTCGTCACTTATAGTTCACCATCACGAAAAAATCCTTTGCCGAGTGACCCATTACACCCACCAATATTTCTCCCTCACGGTGATATTAAGTCTATGAGTTTCGTCAATGATATATCCTCATAGTATCTGATGGGCATTACTTTCTGAACATCTTAACACATGAAAATGACTTCTCTGTCACGATATTCGCCCAAAATGAAAAAAAATTGAGTGTAATATTTTAAAGCAGTCAACATTTTGTTGGTTTATACAACATATAGCACATATCTATACCAATACAGTACATGTACAGTGAGATCTGTACTGGTGTTCACTTTAAGATTAAATCAATTTCCGCCATTTTATTATACAGTAATACTCTCATTATTATAGGCACTGTAGTAATTAAAACTACTTACGCCTGTCCTTCGGCCCAAATATCAAAAGGATTCTTACTTGAATGTGTATATATTGAACATCTTTCACACCATATATAGTCAACTGTGCTAATCGGAGGTGCGGGGGAAGGACAACAAACTAAACAGAAAAGACTCCGTGCATCTTCCCGACATGGCTGTTCCAGTCTCTTCACTTTCCAGTCTCCACGTGACCAGTTATGCAATATGGGCCATGCCACTCAATGGTAAACCGACCATGGGTTTGGCACCTGCGTTGCCACCGCTCTGGCCCCGCAGGTGGAGAGTTTCCGTGTGCCCCCGTGCCGCTCCTGTGGTGGGCCCCTCAAGCCCGAGGTCACCTTCTTCGGGGACAACGTAGATCGGAGGACGGTGGACGACGTCTACCAGAGGCTGTGGGAGTCGGACACCGTGCTGGTGGCTGGCTCCTCCTTGCAGGTCAGTTCGTCTCCTCCCTGCAGGGTCGTTTTCATTCGCGATCGGTCTACGTACCGCCGCTCTGTAATGTTAGACGAAATTAATGGGGCAGGTTTTTTTTAACCGTTTCCCATTCCGAAGACGTACGTGTTCCGATGACGTACGTGCAACGTCATCGGAAAGAAATCGGAAGCAAAAGGCCAATGCGGGAGGGCGCATGGCACGGTTTGACGCCAGTTAGTGCGGTCGCGTTGCTACAGCTCTCCGCCGTGAGTACAATGTCTTTAAAAACCAGCGGTGCTATGCTTCTCTAAATAAAATTAACGCTGAACCGCTTGCGCATTCCGAGATTCAGCGGCGAACGGGACACCCACACCCTGCGACTTGCACACGTCTCTGAATGGGAAAGGGTTAAACAAGACCCCCACATCTGTCCACCCAGAGGTAACCACAGTTAATCGATTGTCAGGTCATGTGCGGTGGGACAAAGTGTGGGTACTCCCACCTCTTCCATGACGTCTGGTCAACAAGGGGAGACTAAATAACCTCCACAGTTGGCCCTGGTGGACGCGTTTCTGCCAGCAGTGGCCTTAGCATGCATTTGCAGGGTCACATCTTTACCTTTTTACCTTTTAAAATTGACGCCACTCTTCCCGGTACCAATCAGCTCTTATCGTCACCCTGACCCGTGCCTGGTGGCCGTGCTGCTGCTGCTGCTACCGCTGCAGGTTTACTCCGGATACAGGTTCATCCGCGCCGCCTATGAAGAGAAGATTCCCATCGCCATCTTGAACATTGGGCCGACGCGCGCCGATGCGCTGGCGCAGCTGAAGGTGAGCTCGCGCTGTGGGGACATCCTGCCGCTCATGCTGCCGGGCTCCCACTGAGCCACCTGGGCCGGAGCTGAGCTGCACATGGGTATAAACTTAAGAGGCATTTGGTCAAGAGGTCACCACGGCCCCGCCATCGCGTTCTCTCGCGAGATCCTGCACGAGGGCGCAATCCATGCCCAGCCACGTGCGGTGTCCCAGCATCAACTTTGCTTGTTGTTGATGCAGTTGTCGTGTGCTTCAAGAGTTGCTTCTCGAGTCTCATCATCGCCACCACTAACTGGGTTTAGGTCTTCACCTTGGCCACGGGACCTGTGGGTGCCACTCCAGTGGCTGGCTCGCCAATCTACTCTCGTCCGCCGTGCACACGTGCCACCCGCTTCGGCATCCTAATTGCAACGAGAAGGCTTTCTCTATCTGCAGTACGTTCCTGCTATGTTTTGTTCTGAACTTCCAAGTTACTTACCCCATCAGCAAATTCTGCGGATCCTTCAATAGCACCTTTATTAATATTAAGCGGAAGCTGGATTACAAACCCAGCGACACTGCGTCGTGATGGCAGAGAAAGCGGCTGAGTATTTCCGCTGTGAATGGGGCATTGTCTTGGTTTGATTTTATCTGACATCACCCCATGGTCTATCCACTGCTGGATGAAGACTTCCCCACTCACCGTCTTGTCACAAAACAAATTTACATTTGAAACTCTCACAGAGTAGTTTATAACGTCTCCTGAAAAACGACGCCATGAGGGGCGCTGCGGTGGTGAGATGTTAATTCCCTCGCCTGGTATGCAGGAGGTCGTGGGTTTGATCCCGACCCTGGCGCCTGCTGTATATTTGGAGGTAATACATTGTTAGTTATTCCCAATTTATTATTTATTTATAGCAGTCATTGTTATTAAATATTTACCATTTCCCCCTATGTTCACTCGTACCAGGAATGTAACCCTGTTTTTGGAGCAACAAGTTTTCTGCACTCGCGAGCGTTTTTCAAGAACGTAAACCCTCGCGGATAGAGAGAGGGTTCGCTGTATGCGATTTACATATTGTGGTAACGCGTAATGGTTTGTGTATGGTATTGCTTTTTGAGTTTCGATGGCGTTCTTTTGCCAGTAATATCTGGTGATCCACCAAAATTGGTTTCATAAGCGTGACTGCCGATGAGACCCAGAAAGTTGAAACGAGAAGTTGCTTGCCAAAACAAATGTCACTACATAATATCGGTGTGCAAACCCAAAACTAATGGACTATAACTTATATATATTTATCTGTGGAGAGACGGTATGACAGTTTTGCTAATATATGTTTTTACCCAGATGACAATATGATCACTGAGATAGACGGCCTGATTCTTATAAGGTATGCCGCCTGATGATGCTGTTTGTAATTACTGGCGAAACGTCGTACTCGAAATTAAAATGCTGCGCTAGTAACGAAGTGGCACGATCTGTTTACTTGACAAACCTTACAAATTGGCCGTGTCAGGGGGTGGCGGGTTTAACGACACTTTTTTATTTAGGTGATCTAACCCAAAAACCTCTATTGTGGATAATACTGGTCGTGAAAGCCAACGTGTTAAACAGGGTGGATAATGGTTTTCTGTCGAGTTTTTGCAGGAAAAGTTCTGAATTAGCAAAAATCTGCAGACCTTTTAAAATGCCTTGAATAACATTTTAACTTACTTTCTACCTACACATGACTTGTATTCTTATAGTGGTAAAACAAGTCCTGATGTTTGTAGCAGTGTGGAATTCATTAAGCACTTCGCCTTCCTAGGAGGGCTTCTGTACACACATATTCTGTACACTAATGGGTATGTTAACATTATTATATTTAAAACAGGAAAATACACTTTATCGTATTAAGACATGTTTTGTTAAATGAAAGCGACGCTTGTGAAATTGTATTGACGGTACGAGCAATGAGGGGAATGGTTTATAACGGTGTGTACTGAGCAGGGTTGTTATTTTCGTGTTTTGCATTACTTCGATGCATGTCAAGAGCAGTGTGACCTTAAAATAAAAAAAGATATATATAATAGACGACATTTCGGGCAATTACTCCTCTTCATAGCACATGTATATATTGCTTTTAAGGCAGTGTTAATTATGAATGTTACCTGTGCACCACTGCCAAATTCAAGCAGCAGCATCAAGAAAACATTTGGTTATATCTATGAGACGTTTTTGCCACTATCAAAATGATGAAAAATATCGCAATAGGCTTTATCCTTTCTGGCAATAAAACAGGTTTTAAGATGTTCAAACACCGAATTGATACCTTTTGCAAGGCATCAAGCCTGCATTAACCACACGTACTCGTGACAAAACATGCAAACACACATGCTCCGATAATAAAACATTTGGTTAACTTGTAAAAAACACAACTGGTTACTAGTTTGCCACACACACATACAGTGAGGGAAAAAAAGTATTTGATCCTTCTGCAAAACATGACCTAGTACTTGGTGGCAAAACCCTTGTTGGCAATCACAGAGGTCAGACGTTTCTTGTAGTTGGCCACCAGGTTTGCACACATCTCAGGAGGGATTTTGTCCCACTCCTCTTTGCAGATCTTCTCCAAGTCATTAAGGTTTCGAGGCTGACGTTTGGCAACTCGAACCTTCAGCTCCCTCCACAGATTGTCTATGGGATTAAGGTCTGGAGACTGGCTAGGCCACTCCAGGACCTTAATGTGCTTCTTCTTGAGCCACTCCTTTGTTGCCTTGGCCGTGTGTTTTGGGTCATTGTCATGCTGGAATACCCATTCACGACCCATTTTCAATGCCCTGGCTGAGGGAAGGAGGTTCTCACCCAAGATTTGACGGTACATGGCTCCATCCATTGTCCCTTTGATGCGGTGAAGTTGTCCTGTCCCCTTAGCAGAAAAACACCCTCAAAGCATAATGTTTCCACCTCCCTGTTTGACGGTAGGGATGGTGTTCTTGGGGTCATAGGCTGCATTCCTCCTCCTCCAAACACGGCGAGTTGAGTTGATGCCAAAGAGCTCCATTTTGGTCTCATCTGACCACAACACTTTCACCCAGTTGTCCTCTGAATCATTCAGATGTTCATTGGCAAACTTCAGACGGGCATGTATATGTGCTTTCTTGAGCAGGGGGACCTTGCGGGCGCTGCAGGATTTCAGTCCTTCACAGCGTAGTGTGTTACCAGTTGTTTTCTTGGTGACTATGGTCCCAGCTGCCTTGAGATCATTGACAAGATCCTCCCGTGTAGTTCTGGGCTGATACCTCACCGTTCTCATGATCATTGCAACTCCACGAGGTGAGATCTTGCATGGAGCCCCAGGCTGAGGGAGATTGACAGTTCTTTTGTGTTTCTTCCATTTTCGAATAATCGCACCAACTGTTGTCACCTTCTCACCAAGCTGCTTGGCAATGGTCTTGTAGCCCATTCCAGCCTTGTGTAGGTCTACAATCTTGTCTCTGACATCCTTGGAGAGCTCTTTGGTCTTGGCCATGGTGGAGAGTTTGGAATCTGATTGATTGCTTCTGTGGACAGGTGTCTTTTATACAGGTAACAAGCTGAGATTAGGAGCACTCCCTTTAAGAGGGTGCTCCTAATCTCAGCTCGTTACCTGTATAAAAGACACCTGGGAGCCAGAAATCTTTCTGATTGAGAGGGGGTCAAATACTTATTTCCCTCATTAAAATGCAAATCAATTTATAACATTTTTGACATGCGTTTTTCTGGATTTCTTGTTATTCTATCTCTCACTGTTCAAATAAACCTACCATTAAAATTATACTGATAATTTCTTTGTCAGTGGGCAAACGTACAAAATCAGCAGGGGATGAAATACTTTTTTCCCTCACTGTAGAAATGTCTAGCAATAAAAATCACTTATTACTTTGCTGAGAAACGAAGGGAGCTGTTGCAGTGTTAATGGTTGTTAGCGACATAAGAGTTGGATGCCATCTGCTTTCACGCCAGTTAACCCTCTATCTATCCAGCAGTAGTTCATAGTTCCATTTATTTGGTATAGCCCTGTGAGCCATTTGGCTCTTGAATCGGGTGCAACCGCAACAAACAGAAAACAAAAACATGAACAAGAAAACATCTTAAAATGATTATGTGACTGTGCAAACAGAAAATCCAGGAAAAAAAACATCAAAATATTCCTGAAATAGCACCGTACACCAACGCTGTGTGAAAAAATCCCAGTGGGATGCAAGTCAAACAACAACGACAACCACAATACAACTAAGATTAAGGCCATCAGTCTAACTCCGTACTACAATAAACAAAAACATGGCCAAACCAAAAAAACGTTTCGAAATCACCAAAATAAAATCCATAAATGCAATGTAACAGTGATCATAGGGACTGTGACCGAATTTTTAACAATAAACTATATAAATAACATGTAACGCCAAACCCTAGAGCCACATTTTAGGCCACTGAATAGCAGTGGCAGCTAGGGGTGTACAACTCCTCTAGAGCAGTTTTGAGTGAAGATCTCATTGGTAGTATAAATTGGGTTCACCATTCAACTGGCCAGTTGCGTGTGGTAAGGTAAATTGTTGGGGAGGGGGACTCCCACATCTTCTGCGACGTCTGTCCAGCGTGGAAGACTTACACACACACTTCTTTCCGACACCAACATGAGTTAAGTTTTCCATCGTGGGAGAAACTAAAAGTACATCATACCGGACCGAACTGTAAAATGCTAAACATTTGGTGAAAGAAGTTCACGCAAGAAGAAAGGTGCCTTCAAAGATTTAATTTCACGTGACAGACATTTTAAAACTTCGACACAACAGATGCATGGAATGTATAGAATGTAGGGCACCATAACTTTCATTTTGTGATTATTTTAAGATGCACCTGAATCAACACTAGACATGCATGGATTCACATAATTTTAAATGAATTGCATGTTCAATCGTGTGTAAATACTATTTTACACGTGATTCAAAGCATTACGTTGAGCTTTACATACCTACTTTACACATTTTAAAAATCCAGTTTCCAGATAATGTTTGTGCGTGTGTGTGTGCTACTCGTGTTAGGGAAGTCTCCTTAGTGTGGGAAGAAGATATTGTTCTTTACACCGGGAAAGTTCAGGGGCGTGGTGGATCTGGTATATCCTGATTTCTTAGCAATCCCGTTATTTCCATGAAGACCAAAAGGTGGCCAATTTACCGCTGCGTGGAGGATTCTGTTAATTTGATGAGGTTCAGGGGTGAGATTTTTAAATTGATATTTTTTTCTGTTTTTGGTGGTACCCCCCAAAAAACCCCGTTAAATGCAGAACACGGTATATCCGCAAATGTTACATCGAGGACAACAGTGCATTAAGTCTGTTGAAGGTGACGGCGATGAATGTGACGTGCTTTGGCTGCATGGGCTTCCCTGGTCTAAATAATGACACTGGCCACAACCGAAATTTTTTTCACAAACTCATGCCTTGTGCATTTGGCCTTGTGCATTAAACATTTTAAAGTGTCTCCCAGTTCAATCGAGTACGGAGGTGGTGTTTTGTGTAAATTGATAGTCCCGAGCCAGTGGTGGAAATCTCAACATTTCTATGGTGGAAAAGCACAGTCTGTCCACAAAGTAATTAACCTTGCACCTCCGATTAGCATGGTGCCAAAGAATTTCAACATACACTCTTAACTCTCTCCACGTGTTATTCGTTGCTGTTTAAAATGCCAAAATGGACAATGTAAAAATATAACGCGCGAAGACACCGTCACCACCGTAGTGTACACCCTAAATAAGCACGTGGCTCTCAGGAAGAGCACACACAATACACACGAACAGTCACGGCAATATATAACCTGTGACAGACTAGGTACACTAGCCAGATTGTGTCCGTAGCGACACGGGGTTTATATATTCCAGTTACACCGAGCCATTCTAAGACCACAAATCCTTGTCAATCGTCGAATGTGACCCAGACAAGCTTTATACAAAAAGGTACTTTTGTCCGGTTATCCAGTCCTGTTCCCCACCCCCAGCTGATCATTTCACATTTAACTTCCAAAAAAAACAAAAAGCATCTGATACCAGGCTAATTTGGTAGGAGCCTGAAGATCCCCTGAGTTATGCAGTAACAGAACCACAACCACGAAACGAGGGTATTTTACATCACCACCAACCGCCGATGTAGAGTCGCACACACACTCCGACTCGAAAATCTTTTACTTTTTCCTACACAAAGTAATGCTGCGTTGTCTCACGCGGCTTGATAGACTTAACGGTACACTAGTTGCAATACGTGGTGCATAATTAGATGGCTACAAAGCGGCGCTATTTCCTACACACATTTTAAAGTGTAAGAATGCATTATATGGAAACTATGGCCCTCGCAACGCATAAAATGCGAGGCCATGTCAATCACACTCGAGCTAAGCAGAAGCTGGTTAGTAAACATGGGTGTGTTAAAATCCATAGTGTACCCATGTGCAAGTTGAGCACAGGACAGTGATCACATCTGCTGGTAGCCATCAGCCGGCGGTGGAAATTCCACATTCCTATTGCTGGGTCCAGCCTCTCCTCCGAAGGACAACTACAAAATGGTATACGTTTTATGATAATGGACCAAGAGAAACACTGAACTCGCAACCTCACCATCGTGTATTGGACACGAACCACACAGTGCCATATGGCCAGTTGAAGCACTCAGTTAAACATATACAGTGAGGGGAAAAAGTATTTGATCCCCTGCTGATTTTGTACGTTTGCCCACTGACAAAGAAATGATGAGTCTATAATTTTAATGGTAGGTTTATTTGAACAGTGAGAGACAGAATAACAACAACAAAAATCCAGAAAAACGCATGTCAAAAATGTTATAAATTGGTTTGCAGTTTTATGAGGGAAATAAGTATTTGACCCCCTCTCAATCAGAAAGATTTCTGGCTCCCAGGTGTCTTTTATACAGGTAACGAGCTGAGATTAGGAGCACACTCTTAAAGGGAGTGCTCCTAATCTCAGCTTGTTACCTGTATAAAAGAAACCTGTCCACAGAAGCAATCAATCAGATTCCAAACTCTCCACCATGGCCAAGACCAAAGAGCTCCAAGGATGTCAGGGACAAGATTGTAGACCTACACAAGGCTGGAATGGGCTACAAGACCATTGCCAAGCAGCTTGGTGAGAAGGTGACAACATTTGGTGCGATTATTCGCAAATGAAAGAAACACAAAAGAACTGTCACTCTCCCTCGGCCTGGGGCTCCATGCAAGATCTCACCTCGTGGAGTTGCAATGATCATGAGAACGGTGAGGAATCAGCCCAGAACTACACGGGAGGATCTTGTCAATGATCTCAAGGCAGCTGGGACCATAGTCACCAAGAAAACAATTGGTAACAAACTACGCCGTGAAGGACTGAAATCCTGCAGCGCCCGCAAGGACCCCCGGCTCAAGAAAGCACATATACATGTCCGTCTAAAGTTTGCCAATGAACATCTGAATGATTCAGAGGACAACTGGGTGAAAGTGTTGTGGTCAGATGAGACCAAAATGGAGCTCTTTAGCATCAACTCAACTCGCCGTGTTTGGAGGAGGAGGAATGCTGCCTATGACCCCAAGAACACCATCCCCACCGTCAAACATGGAGGTGGAAACATTATGCTTTGGGGGTGTTTTTCTGCTAAGGGGACAGGACAACTTCACCGCATCAAAGGGACGATGGACGGGGCCATGTACCGTTAAATCTTGGGTGAGAACATCCTTTCCTCAGCCACGGCATTGAAAATGGGTCGTGGATGGATATTACAGCATGACAATGACCCAAAACACACGGCCAAGGCAACAAAGGAGTGGCTCAAGAAGAAGCCCATTAAGGTCCTGGAGTGGCCTAGCCAGTCTCCAGACCTTAATAAAATAGAAAATCTGTGGACGGAGCTGAAGGTTCGAGTTCCCAAACGTCAGCCTCGAAACCTTAATGACTTGGAGGAGATCTGCAAAGAGGAGTGGGACAAAATCCCTCCTGAGATGTGTGCAAACCTGGTGGCCAACTACAAGAAACGTCTGACCTCAGTGATTGCCAATAAGGGTTTTGCCACCAAGTACTAAGTCATGTTTTGCCGAGGGGTCAAATACTTATGCAAATCAATTTATAACATTTTTGACATGCGTTTTTCTGGATTTTTACGTTGTTATTCTGTCTCTCACTGAGGTACAAGATAGCAGAAATACATATACAGGGACACCAAGAGGCAAGAAGAAGAAATACGGACAGAGAAGCAAGAAAAAGGGACGGAGGGATGAACAGACAGAGGCTTAACTTATACCTCGTATTTGTTCACTTTTGTCTATGCTGGTATGTTCAACCCAGAGGATGAACACGAAATTTAGCACTCTTCTGGAATTCGTGGTCCGCCAGGCAAGTGTCTAACTGTGTCGTTGGCCGACTGGTTTTGCATCACGTAATTTTTTCTTAGGTTTGTTGAATTCTCGTCTCTCATCTTCTTGTTGTATTTACCTCCGTGCAGTTTAACGCTCTCTATGTGTTGCGCTGATGTCACCCTATATGCTCTCTCGCTATTTGTTTTTTACACCTGATGAAGATCGCTTGTGTTGCGGTCGAAACGTCGTGATTGATTTGTTTTAATATCATTTTGTGGTATTTCTACATACGTGACTTTACCTAAAAAACCAATGAGTAATTTATGCAGTCACGAAAGCTTTAATTCTTTCTTGACATTTATGTAACAAAGACACATACAGACTAATGGCAGAATTTGACAATTCCCAAAAAACTAAAAAAATCCGTTCAGATGTTCAATTCATCCTTAAGAAGATGCACAGCATTACAGTAAAATCAAGAATACGGAGCTGATCGGAGCCACATCTCGTAGAACACACATGAGGATGCCGCACTCTTTTCGTTTTGCAATATCCACGCCGTTCAACGCAACTCGCAGTGTAAAAATATGCGGGAGCCCAAGGCCCTAAGCCCTGACGCTGCCCGTGGTGGTGTTGGCTCACAGGAAGCTGCCGTTGAGACTGTACCAGGACCGATCTGAGCTGGCAGGAGACGACACTTTTTGGAACTTGGTAATCAGCGCAGCCTTGATCGTGGAGGCAGGAGACATATGATTGTTAATGGAGTCTCTCCCCTTCACCGCCGCATTCACCGGAGTGCCACCTGGAGACCTGGGGGGAAAAATTACAAAGGGGGATTTGAGTCAGCGTTGATGGGCACATGTGCCCTTGCACACACATGTGCTGGGAACTGTTCATATCTCCATTGGTGGGATTCAGCCAACAGTGGAATCCCATATTACTAGCTTAGCAAAAGTTAAGTTTCATGTAGAGTTAAGTTTCATGTAGAGCTGGGACGATTAGCCAGTTAAGTATATTGATCAAAATTATATCTCGTGCTGGATTATTTGGGCCCCTTTAAAAATGGTGGACACTCCTACATCCTGGCTCCTGAAGTCAGGGAACCCCCAACAAGCCAAGCCCAACGCAACAAGGCTGATGATGCCGATGACTTCGCCACGCTCTACCCACCACCTCTCGTCCAGCAGTACACTTGGGAACAGAGGCAACACTTTTTATATTTCCCAAATGCTTGTGTTATCCTATTAGTCGGGCGCTAACACTGCTAATGGGTAGAGTAATCTATTACTTGAATAATTTGATTGCAGCCCAGCTCTAGTGTGACTTTTCTAGATAAATAGTAAATTATTATTATTGTTACGATTACGGTACTCACCTGACTGCACCGGTTGTCTTCAACCTCTTGCTCCTTAAAGACGACACCAGCTCGTCTTGCCAGTTTGATGCGGCGCACACAGCCAGACTTTCACCGGCGTTGCGCGACGTCTTTGCATCCCCTACACTGCTGCCGAAAGCAGAAAGTGAGAGATAAAGGTGCGGCCCCGTACGATTACTAGCTCACACTACTGCCGGCGGAAGGGTCTCCCGCCTCGAGGTAGCCCGAAAGAGAGCCCAGAGAGAAGGTATATGGTCTAATTTTCTGCACTGGCCCAGAGGTGTCAGTACCCACACTTAACCTCTCCACACGGGACCTGCCGATCTGTGGCGTACCCAATTGTTACTGCTGGTTGGACAGAGGCGCGGGGGGAAGATTTAACAAACCTGCACCATTGTTTCAACTGACGCCCTCGGGATATGGAATTGAATTGGCGACCTCTGGATTCCAAATCCTGTTGTGCTAATCATAACACCACGGCAACATCCCGACTGCTGCCGCTAGAGGGAAAAGCAATACCATTAAAGCTTGATCGTCGACGGATTATCCGGGTCACAGGTTAACCGCGTTTGTGAAGAAATTAAACATCTTTCGGCATGCACTATTAGCTGCTCCTCACTCGCCGGGGTATGAATTCATTAACCACTTTCGACCTTAGTTTAAATGCGTTTAAAATGAAGCATCTACCGTTTTTTGTTGAGGCTCGTCAGACCGTAGCTCTTCAGCAGCTCTGGGGTCTGAGCAACTGCATTCTGCAAAGGCAGGAAAACACACACACCAATGTCACGATTGAATACACAACGTCGCGACTCACAACGTCAAGAGGACAATCACGACCAATGCCACAAAATCTCTCCAAAGCTTCCTTCAACCAGATCTTGCAGCTGTTTGCACAATCAACACCTGACCTACAAGGACCCCTCTTTTACAGGCTAATCACCATCACGTCTGGCCTCCGGTCTTCCCCTTGCTCATTGCCACCCCAACGCCTCTGGATGCCACTCCATTGCCAGTCTCGGTAGTAACCTGCCCTCCTCCACCCTGCACAGGTTGCCCGACCCATCGCAACCTCCTCTTCATAATTACATCAGTTCAGTTCAGTTTATTTTGGTATAGCCCTGTGAGCCATTCGGCTCTTGAATCGGGTGCAACCACAACAAACAAAAAAACAAAAACACGAACAAGAAAAACATCTTAAAGTGACTATGTGACTGTACAAACAGAAAATCCATGGGAAAAAAAACAGCAAAAATATTCCTGAAAAAAGCACCGTACACCAACGCTGTGTGCCTTTCCAAACTTCCAAATGTATTACCCTTACTATCCTGCAAACCAACGCATAATTTTCTAAATTCTTAAATAATTTCTTCTTACCCACACAATTTTACGGCACGCATCACGAGCGCAAGAATCTATTTTAGACGATTCATGAAGCTACTGCTAAATGCCTGGTACTTGGATTTCACCACACACCAATTGGCAGACTCGCTGTCTTATCGGAAATGAAGGTAAATGGTGTGCATTTAATAAAGATAGTGGTGGCATAGTGGTTAGCGCACTCTGCTAGGAAACTGGCAAAACGTGTTCGATTCCAGGCCACCAGTGGTGGGTGATATTTTAACTGGTTTTATCGCTGCCGCTTCACCAACCCGCATTGAATATTGTGGTTAAGTCGAGTCACCAACCCCCACAGTCAACACGGTGTGGGAGAGACCATCTAAAAAGTGGAATGATAAAGTACTGCAATCTATTATTGTTTTTAGGCAGTGGGCACAGTGGACTGAGTGGTCTTACCGCCATGGGATTGGTCCTCTCCTTCAGAGGTACTTGAGCCTTGGGCAGGGGAGGGGCTGGAGGCGGTGGGGCTGTGGGGGGAGGGGCTAAGGGGGGAAGGGCTGTGGGGGGAGGGGTTGTGGGGGGAGGGGGCATGCAGTTCCTCTGCTTTTCTGCGAGCCGCTTGGAGAATCTTCGTCTGCCGTCCTTGGCCTCTGCCAAAGGGCACGGGGAGAGGAATACCAAATGTAATGCGCTGTCGGGCGCTGGCAGTGGGCAAACCTTTTGGTCATATTTTGACAAATTGCTTGGTGATGCTGTTGGACTAGCAGTGGTGCAACAAGAACAAAAATCGACACGTTCGTTAGTAACACTATCTTAAAAAGGAAAAGTATATAAGAGGTGACCGTTTCAGGCATTGGCCCTTCACAGCACAGAATGTCCATTGCCCGAAACGTCCCCTTTTATTATAAACTTTGGTCGGTTGCTATCGGGAAAGTTCCTCATAGCAATACGTTATACTCAATTTTGGTTCATATTAATCATGGAAAGACAGAGCCGATGCAAAATACGTTCGATGCTAGTTAAAAGGACGGACACGTCTCACAAACGCTGCTTCTACTCGCAGATAACTCCTCGGTTGTCTTGGGCAGTTTAATGACATTGTGGATTAACCAAGCTCTTTCACACCTCTCACGGACGCACTAGTTCTACGAGCAGCTCCTCACTCGTTGGGGTTCAGTGGCTCGGCGCTCGTGTGACCGCACACACGTCGCCAAGTGAACTCTTTACTTTAAGAAAACAACGAAGACAGAAGACAAATTCTACGCCTTCACTGCCATTCCACGTAGGTAGACAAGAAACGCGGTTTTAGAGCCTCTCCTCGATACGTGTATTTGCCTTATATTTGTTTCATACAGGACCCCACTACTTCCCTCCCTCCTATTACCCTGGATAATTGAGAAGTGACTATTTCATCGAGCACAGAAGAATGCTGCTGCCACTGTTTGCAATCTCCTACCAGGATGTGAACTGGCAACTTTCTGATTGCAAGTCAAGTGACCCAACCACATAGCCACAAGGTTATGATGCTGGCAGTAAACACGGCCAGCAGTGACTAAACTTTTTTTTATTTTACCAAGTAAGGCCCACTGCGCTATAAAGAAGTGACCTGGACACGATTCATAGCTCAATGAAGTGGCGTATCGTGTGGAAATTCATAGCAGCCCAAGAATGTCGATGCATACTCTATATACTCTACATATTTGCCACCTGCTTTTGTGACATTTATCAGCATCACAGAGTCCCCATCCCGCCTATGACCACATTACTCGGATTGCGCTCGACCGATCTCAGAAGCTAAGCAGGCCATAAGCCTGGACAGTGCATGGATGGAGCGACCACCGTGCGTGAAACGTTCTAGTTTGCTGCTGGGTCTGCTTAGTGAACAGTACAGCAGCAAACAAAAAAACATTGTTGTACTGCACTTGTACGTTCCAGTGCATATTCTGCCCACCTTCATCAACCGACGCGTAGTGAGGTATGGTCAAATAACCCCCCAGCAGTGGACTGACATGCCCACTGCGCGCGAGGGCCCACCTTGCGCGTACTGGAAGGCTTGATTCATCTGCTCGCGAAGGGCCTCGATCTCCCTCTGCAGCTCCTCATCGCCCACGGTACTGCATTCGTTGTTCTCCCCTTGAACCAGCAAGCAGAACTTGGCCTGAGAATTTAAAGATTAAAAAAACAAGCGTAAAGGTTAACGCTGTACAAATTCCCCCCATTTTTTAAAATCCCCGATGATTTGGTCGCACGGGGTGAGAGGATACGATAATTTGCAAAGGGTTGCCCGCACACCATTTAAGATAAAGAAAATGTTACCTTCGTCTGGTGTTTAAATTAATAAAATAATTAGTTTTTTTGAGTTGTTGCACCACATTTTCCCCATGATTTTGCTGTTGATGGCGCATCATGAAAACAAAGATTCCATTCGGAACTCGCACAGAGCAGTGCTGCCCTTCGTGTTAGAAAGTGGCCCACAGAAGTAGATATTACAGATCACAGAGCTACCTCTGCGATCCCTCTTGAAGTGATTTCTGTCCAACACGAGTTATTTGTTGACACTGCATTGGCAGTCGTGCAAAAGCACAAATAATATAAAAATTCAACACGTTCATAAATAACACTGCGTGGCTTTAAAATACCAAGGTTTTGCAGTATGTTGCGATGATTGTTACGCGTAATCCTAATTTTTGTAATTTTCGGTGTCATTTTTCAACTCTGGCAAATGTGGACTGTGACGCCGGCACACAATGGCCGACTCTTCCGAATTGCGTCACGGGTTCTCTAACGTCCACTGCGAGGGAAGCAGACGGCGCGTAGTGTTTTCATGGTTAACGCTACCGCAGTAACGACCAGGGCGCCCGCTGGAATTAGAACCGCGGTGTACTCGACCCCCTCCGCCACGAGCGGGTGAATGCACTCCGTCCGGGCCGTGCCACCACCTTGATGAACGAAAAGACGCCCGCCTCCTCGGCCTGCTCCTGCCGTCGGCGCCTGAGCGTGCGAGCGTGTAGCTGCGGATGCTGCGCCAGCGTGCGGATCAGCTCAGCGAGCGCGGCGCTCGTGTGCGCCGAGCCTTGCTCCTCAAACTCCTCCTGGCTCAGCGTGTGGCAGTAGGTGACGCGCAGCGGCACCTCGGGGTCAAACTCATCCATGCACTCCATGCTGTGGGGACGGAGCGGAGGGTTGCAGAAAGGGTAAACGTGCGGCCCTGCAATTTGCTCGTGCCACTGCCGGTAGCACGACTGCCGCTAGAGGGAGTTCTGAACAGCCCCACTGTAGGGGGTGTGTTTGGTCTAATCTTCCACGCTGGCCAGATGTCTTGCAAGAGGTGGGAGCGCCCGCCGTTTACCCCACCACACGCGACTTGCCATTTGACTCTGGTGCACACATTTTAGACTGCTGGGTAGACAGAGGGCGAAGGGGTTTTTAGAAGAAAAAAAAATCCATTATTTCAACGACCACACCGGGAGAACAAAACGAAAAACTGGATTGCATGTCCAGTTGGGTAGGTACGAAAAAAATCTGTCAAAACTTGACTTCTCCCTGTACGCACGCGTACTTTTTACAACCCCCCCCCCCCCGAATCCTATAGAACGGACGATGTTTAATCCACGCAGAAATGATCAAGGATTAATAAAATTAACGTGTTTAAGCAAACAGATAGTCCATCGCCGGACTATCTAACTCATTTGAAGGCCAATGTAGACAAATTATTAGCGAGGCTTCACCCCCCCCCCCCCCGTTTCCTATGCGTACATTGTCAGTAGACCCCCCCCCCCCATACGCAAGCTCCGCATTTGGGTTAACCCCAAATGGATGTCCCCTAAATAGCCAGCTGTACAGCAGCTCTGTGACAACCGGGCATGCATGGTGGAAGCCGATCCAAGCAGCCGTCTACACTCAACGATGCCTTCAGCTCTCCAGATTTGGTGACGTTTGGTTGCTTTTTGTATTCCGCACTCCCCCGGGCACCTCCGATTAGCACGGTTGGCTACGCACGCAACGGTGCCGAATGAAGTAAAAAAAACAACAACTACGTATTGCACGTAGATTTACGGGTGATATTGGTTATGGGTGGTTAATTAAAGTCAAATACAGGACGTAAAGAGTATGTTTGTGTATTGTTTATTCAGGAGTTTATGTTGCGCTCGGACGAGATAGCGAGTTGGCGCACACGCCTCTGATTAGGGCAGAATAATTGGAATCGGAATATTTTATTAATTCATAGTGGAGGAATCCCAATGAGCTGCAAAGCTCTTAACTCACAGACGTCTCAATAGGTGCGGGTCAGAACCTTCCAACAAACAATACCAACACACGATGCGACTGCTAATCGCACAAAAAATAAACGAAGCAATCTTATATTTTACCAGGTAAGGCACCACTAAGCTATTTTGTTCTTATATTCTTGGTTCTACACGTAGAAGGGAAACAATAAAATAATAAAAATATAAAACATCAAATTTTCTTGCTGTGGTTTTCACACCTGATGATGATTGCTTGTGTTGCAGTCGAAACGTCGTGAGAATTGTATTGTTTTATATTTGTATTATTTTATTGTTTCCCTTCTACGTGGTGGTGACTTTACCGAAAGAACCAAGAATATGAATCCCTGCAGTCACGAAAGCTTTAAATAAAAATTGTATTCTTTTTGCAGAAGCGACCTATCACAAATGATAGCTCGACCAAGTAAGTGGCTTATCACGTGGAGATGCACAACAGCCCAAATAATCTAAAGATTTAAACGCATTTTTAAAAAATATATAATGTGTAAGTCACTTGCCACTAAACAAACTGGAGCCACTGTCAATAGTCTCACGAGACTTGTAGCGTGCTTCTAATCTCAACACATTCGTCAATAACATTGCCCAAAGTGTAAAAACAGGCGACGTTTCGGGCGACGACCCTCCTTTACAGCAGGCGTTCGCACGGTTGACTACGTACGGCGCAAAAGAAGTTCGGCATATCTGTACCAGAGGTCAGGGGTCAAATTGCTCTCAAGGGCAATTTCCCGAAACGTCGCCTCTTGTACTCCTTGCAGCGTTGTTCTTGTGCGCGATTGCCAACTTGACAAAAGCACGAAACGTCGTTACCCCCCTGCCCTCTAGCTCTTACTACTTTGCGTTCCTGCACTGATATAATAATAACAATAACGACAACGATAATAATAATCGCACCAACTTAACAATCGCGATTAGACGACATCGACGTCAGAAGGCTCAACTCTTATTGAACCTACCCCGCCACACACTCACAAACCTGTCGACCCCTTCCTTATCAGTGCTCCTCTACCTTATTACAGACCAGACTTTATACTGGTAGGAACGAAGTTGTAAACTGAGTGTACCAGCCTGCAATAGATTAATGTGTCCGTCCGTCCGTCCCCTTTCAATACTTTTTTAACGAAGTGAAATCTCGTGCTGTTGGGTGTAAGAGGTTAATTTGTCCGAAGAACCCTCAACGATTTTGAGGGCAAAAAGGTGGGAAGACGCTCTCAATTTGCACAATTTTACGTAACAATGTCATAAAATTGCGCAAAATTCCAATGTTCCTACCAGCCCACCCTGCAGGGACCTGTTTAGTCACAAGGGAGAAACAGAAATAGCCAAAGAAAAGGGTTTTTTTCTTGCCTGCAAAACTCAATTCCCCTGTGCAAGGAATACTGAGTAAAGCTTACGGACCTACAGCAATGCACACACAAACACACACAAATCTCTGCGTGTACGCGCCTTGTGTCGAGTAGTAGCAGTCGTAGAGAAGTCGTGGATCTTTGTAGGGGTTCCCACTCTCTTCACACTTTCACTTCCACGTCGCTCTGAGGTGGTGGTGGTGGTGAGACGGAGAATGGCGATGTGAGTGATCTCTCCTTGAAGTGCAAAGCCGCGTGTGTAGTACTGTGTAACAGGTGGTACTGTGGAGGTGACTGTGTTAGTCCACGTGTGTGTAGTACTGTAACAGGTGGTACTGTGGAGGTGAAACGTGTGTTAGTCCACGTGTGTGTAGTAGTCGTGGTACTGTGGAGGTGAAACGTGTGTGTGTAGTAGTGGTAGTTGTCAGTGGTACTGTGTAGTAGTTGTTAGTGGCAGTTGTTAGTAGTAGTTGTTAGTGGTTACTGTGCAGGTGACCGTGTGTGTAGTAGTGGTAGTTGTTAGTGGTAGTTATTAATAGTAGTTAGTGGTAGCTGTTAATAGTAGTAGTTGTTAGTGGTAGTTGTTAGTGGTTACTGTGCAGGTGACCGTGTGTGTAGTAGTGGTAGTTGTTAATAGTAGTAGTTAGTGGTTACTGTGCACTTGGCCGTGAGTGGAGGAAGTTTGTGGAGAGCGCGCGCGCGCGGTAACCGTTGAGCACGCGCCTCCAGTTTGAAGGTCGACGGCCAATCAGCGCGCGGGACCACCAAGAGGGGGCGGGGCCCGACTGGGTGTGACGTCACGCGTCAACAACGTAAACACCCCAACAACAACATGGGACCTTTCTTGGCAGTATCAAAGTATAAGAGTAGGTGTTACACTTTCTGAATAAAACAGGAGGTGTTAAGATGTTCAAACACCAAACAGAAACCCTTTTGCAAGGAATGAAGTCTGCAAAAACCACACATACTTGAACATGCAAACAAAAACTGCTCTGGCATTGTCTTATAGGCATTGACTTTGATACTGATTGGTGGTCTACACCAGAGGCAGCATTCTTTAGGGCCTTTTGGCTGTTCGCGTTTTGACGTTCTCTGGTCTAACACACTGGCTGAGACTCAGCCCTAAAGAAAGCTGTCTCTGCTGTAGACCAATCAAGTTTCAAAGACAATGCAGATATTACCAGGGTCGGGATCAACCCCACGACCTCCTGCACACCAGGCGAGGTAGTTAACATCTCCTAGGCACAGTGATGATGATGAGAGAGACACACAAACTCCAAATATACAGTAGCAGGCGTCAGGGTCGGGATCGAAGCCACGACCTCCTGCACATCAGGCGAGGTAGTTAACATCTCCTAGCCACTCGGCGGCGGTCACGTTTACCACGGCGCTTGAGCCATGCTAGGTACACATTTGAGGTCCACGTGGAGTTTCGAAAAGCCCACTGGCAAGAGGTTTTAGTTCAGTTTTAGTTCAGTTTATTTATTTTGGTATAGCCCTGTGAGCCATTCGGCTCTTGAATCGGGTGCAACCACAACAAACAAAAAACAAAAACACGAACAAGAAAAACATATTAAAGTGACTATGTGACTGTGCAAACAGAAAATCCATGAAAAAAACAGCAAAAAATATTCCTGAAAAAAGCACCGTACACCAACGCTGTGTGCAAAAAATCCCAGTGGGATACAAGTCAAACAACAACCACAAGAAAACTTAGATTAAGGCCATCAGTCTAACTCCGTACTACAACAAAACAAACATGTCCAAACCAAAAAAACTTTTCGAAATCACCAAAAAATAAAGCCATAATTGCAACGTAACAGTGATCACAGGGACTGTGACCGAATTTTTACAATAAACTACATAAATAACATGTAACACCAAATCCTATAGCCATAGCTGGCTGCATGAGTTACTCCACAACAACAGAGGCATCAGTCGGAGTATCAAATTTTTCAATGCACCTTTAAGATCAGCACGCTAAATCAAAATACGGATAATACTTTGCAGCGTCATCCGGAGCGAAACATTTTATTTTATTTTACGCCAATGAATAGCAGTGGCAGCTAGGGGTGTACAACTCCTCTAGGGCACTTTTGAGAGAAGATATCATTGGTAGCGATTCAAGTTGCAGTTTATTGGCAACAGCATTCCAGACTCAGGGGGCATCAAGGTTACGGTCACAGAGCCAGGCAGCTGCCGTGCACGGGGTTGACTGACTGAGGATGACTGGCAGATGCACCAGCTGTGCTGCCCACTGTGCCAACTCGCTGCGTTTTAGCTGCCCGGCGCTCCGCTCGTTGTTGTGAGCGTCACTCCTCTGGCGGCCCCGTTTGTTGTTGCTGGAGGGCGACTGCCTCCACAATTCCGCAGCGAGTTTCCTTCACGAACTTCCACCACAGACACCCAACAAAGACACAAACAAAGATGCCCCCCGGTGTAGCCTTAGGGCCGTCCATAAATGACGTCACGCACCTGGGGGGGGGGGTGTCAGACATTTGTGACGATGTGTGACGAGGAGGGGGGGGGGGTGAGAAATGTGATGTCACATAAAAATGCGCAACTTTTAATAAATATAAACACGTTCTACTTAATTAAATAGACTTTTTTAATAATTGTTTCTCCTATAACATCAGAGTGCAGCGCCACATTAAATACGCACTACAATGACAATAGTTTAAAGCGATTTGAAGCATGTTTTATTTTTGGGGGGGGGGCAGAGCTTTGTGACGTCATATTTGAGGGGGGGGGGTCTGACTTTTTGTGACAACGTGTGACGAAGGGGGGGGGGGAAATCGTCCAAAATCGCGTGACGTCATTTATGGACGGCCCCTTATAACGAACAGACTTGTTGGGGCAAGTGCTGTTAGCGAGTAGCTATGAAGGCCGGCACTGTGGCACACGAGGGGGGATGAGTGGCCACCACCACGCCCGGCCGTCTTTGTCTCCCCAGTGGCGATGTTTTTTTACACACTGCACCCCGGCCCCCACCTCCAACACGTTAATTGTTACAATACAGTACGGCACTTTAATTCCTGTGGGCCTCAAAGGAAACAATATAATCGTCAACGTTTCTGGCAATGGCCCTTCGTAGCACATAGAACTCAAAAACACATTTGTTTGGATATTGGTCGCGAAAGCCTCCGTGTTCAACCAAGTGGATAATATTTGTAGACTGTAGTATTTTACACCATGGGCCTGATAATTTTTTTTTACCAATTGCTTTTACTTTCTACTGTAGTAGCTTAATATCCGTAACATAATCAAGGAAAAAAATATATAGATGCCGTTTTGGACAATGGCCTTTCTTCACAGCACGTAGAGATTACCAAAGAGCATTTAGAGACTACCAGAGGTAGAAGGCATCCTGTATGCTGCGAAGGGCCATAACCCCCAAACGTTACATTTCTCTTTGAAGGCCAAACACATGTTATTGACGAATATTTTGAGTTGTGTTTTGTCGTTAACAGTGCTGGTGCACCACTGCCAACGAAGCAGCTTCACCAAATAAATCATAATCTCTATACTGGTTGAATCCGATGAGCTATAAAGCTCTTTTCACAACAGCCGTCCCAAGTTCAATGCATGTGTGGGCGGGGCTTGTTGTGGGCGGGGCTTGGGCTCGCACACCCCTCCCACCCATCCACGCATGCGCACGCGCCCCAACATCCGGGTCGCGCGGCAAGTGAGCCGCTATCCCCGCCCTGCGCGTGCGCAGTTGGCGCGCATCCGGGCTTTCTGTCTCGCGCATGCGCGGTGGCCTGCGCTGGGGTAGAGGCAGAGTGGAGCAGGGGGTCTCGCGACCCCTTCTCTCCGCTTATTCTCCTGCGACTGTTCGGCTTAACCCGAAGCGGATCCGCTGGCCGTTGTATATTGTTTACTCGAGGTTTTAATTTTTTTCTCCTTGTGTTGTCGCCATGTCGAGGTCGCTATAATGGTCGCGATCGAGAAGACAGGGAGACGGAGCGGCCCCGCTTATGACGGAGAGCCCCGACGGGAGTCACGTGATGGAGCGGAGAGCGAGCGCGCGCGCGGGCCACGTGACTCCGGCCCCGCCGTCGCGCGACGCCGTTAGGGATGCGAAGCCCGGTGAGAGGATGTGTGGGGGGGTGGGCGTGACCCGGATGGCGTGGTAAGGGGGGGGTGGGCATGACCCGGATGGCGTGGTAAGGGGGGGGGGGGCATGACCCGGATGGCGTGGTAAGGGGGGGGCATGACCCGGATGGCGTGGTAAGGGGGGGGCATGACCCGGATGGCGTGGTAAGGGGGGGGGGGGGGCATGACCCGGATGGCGTGGTAAGGGGGGGGCATGACCCGGATGGCGTGGTAAGGGGGGGGCATGACCCGGATGGCGTGGTAAGGGGGGGGCATGACCCGGATGGCGTGGTAAGGGGGGGGGTATGACCCGGATGGCGTGGTAAGGGGGGGGGCATGACCCGGATGGCGTGGTAAGGGGGGGGTATGACCCGGATGACGTGGGGGGGGGGGGGCATGATCCGGTTGGCGTTGTGGGAGGGGGGTATGACCCGGATGGCATTGGGGGGGGCATATCCCGGATGGCGGGGGGGGCATGATCCGGATGGCGTGGGGGGGGCAGGGCAGGACCCGGATGTTGTCGGGGGGGGGCAGGACCCGGATGGCGTGGGGGCATGACCCCAATGCCGTGGAGGGGCCATGACATGGATGGCGTGAGGGGGCTAGGACCCTGATAACGTGGCGGGGGGGGGCATGACCGGGATGGCATGGGGGGTGGAGGTGCAAGTTGGGGGGCTGAAGGCAGCGCGGGCCCTTGGGGGTGGCCCCCTCACCCAAGTCCATGTCTGACATTAAAACTAAATAGGCGACGTTTCGGCCAATGGCCCTTTACTCAGTGCACATGTGCTTATTTTTTAAATATAAATTCGAATTTAGTTATAACGTATTCAGTCATTCACTTGCTTTGAGAATTGGTACCCCAGTTAAAGCGGGGGGGCGGGGTGTGGGTTTGGTGGCAGAGCTAAGTGCTGCGTGTAGCACGCCTAGCCCGTGTGGAAACTACCACGTCCGCTACTGTACCTGGAATGCAGCAGTGCGGGGCGAGCCTCCGCGTGGATCGTGGCTGCATGGGTGGTGGTGGAGGTGGTGGAGGTGCTGGCTGGTTGGGCGAAACGTCAATACCAAGCAGGGGTCGACAAGCCAAAATAACGAGTCTTTTTTTTTTTCGAATTTGGTCAAACAACAAAAACAAATCCATGCGGTATTTCTAGAGCCGCAATGCAGGTCGGTTCGTTAAAGAGCCGCCACATGCTGCTCCAGAGCCCGCAGATTGCCGACCGCGTGCTTGGGCTGTATCGTATTGCAGAGGGCCTCGCGTGGTGACGACGTGCCCACTGGGGTGTGTGTGTGTGTGTCTGTGCAGTGCAGTAATTGTTTAACAAGTCCACCTTATTTAACAACCACAGCATATATTCTTAGTTTTTTCGGTAAAGTCACGTTGAAGAGAAACAACAAAATAACAAAAAATATATATAAAAACAATAAAAAATTCTCACGACGTTTCGACCATAACTCAAACGGTCATCATCAGGTGTGTCGGTTTGTTGTTTCTCTTCAACGTGACTTTACCGAAAAAACTAAGAATATGAATTACTGCAGTCACGAAAGCTTTAAATCAAAATTTAACCACAGCATATTTATTGAAAGCCGGGACATTAAAAAATGTTTAAATAAGATTACGCTATGTGTCAACATTTAAATACAGGGTAGCCTTTTTTAGCGACCCCCCCCCCCCCGTCTCGAGATAAACTTAAATAATGTAGACTACACATTAAAAAACATTTTTGAATACTCAATTCAGAAAAAAACAATCTTGAAAGAGGGTTTTGCGTTTAGATGTTTCTCCATTTCATAATCATAAGTGGTTTCATGGTCACGAATTCCTATTGCTGTGCAACTATAATTTGGCCACGTTAATCTGCCTGGTCCACTAACCCTGGTTTCCAAAGCACTGCGTCACAGTGTGCATTTCAGTTGAGTGCCCATTACACACCCCACACACTATCTTTGTCGTCCGGTCTGAATTTTGTTGTCACATTTTAATGTATATCCTCATACCATGCGTTGTTTCCAGGCATCATTTAAGGTCTTTCTCCATGTCCTCCCTGCATACCACAATGTTATTGGCAAATAATGCGCGCCATAGTGTTGCTTTGTGTGTCTTCCCCTGTCCGGAGTGTCTCCGACAATTAGAGGTAGGCACTTAATTCTGGCCCCTTATGTACTCTGTCGACAAAGCCCTTCGTGATTTGTCCTCTGCGATTGGAGAGCAGGATGCCCTTTTAACTGCATGAATTTGTGTCACCATTGTGTATGAAGACCATGGACGCACTTTACAAAGTCCTGTTTTTGAGGAATTTTATCCAGTACTTGTTATTCGTCACGTTGGTGGCAAGGGTTTTGTGAATCGCGCATGTTGGTGTAACAACAAACAGGGTGGCCTACGAGGTTGGCAGTACAGAAAACGGGGTTTGCTATCACCTTGGTACGCATCTTAGTATAACTCACAAGCGAATCTCTAATAGCTAGTTACTCTTCATAGGCCATACGAAAGAAGAAAACACATGGTAGTTTTTCCTCTAGTTTCCTTCCACGTGCAAAACAAATCCCATTCATGTTGCTCTCCATTTCAATTTTTGAAGAAGCTGTACACACCAATGTGAAATGTCCTGCCAAATGGCATTGAAATGGTCACTAAGATATTTTCCCAGGACATCCACTTTTACAAACTTTCCTGGAGCATTTAACATTAGGCTGGGCTACCCAGTTATTTCAGTAATAAATTACTCTTCCTACTTTTTTTATGACAATTATTTCAATTTTAAAACGTTACCTTTTCCCACATGTGCTGTTGGACGAGAGGTGATGGGCGTGGCTTGGTGATGTCATTGGCATCATCAGCCATATGCCATCTTCTTTCGTATGGATTAATGGCAGCAGATTAAAGATATCATTTTAGATGTTATCCACTCAATTGTTTGTTGAGAAGCAGAATGGATCTCGTCCGTTCCTCTTTTAAAGGAGTGAAGACAGCAGCAGCAGTGTAGTGTTTGTGATGCGGTCGATGGTTTGGGATTCCTGGTCACATTCGCAGACCGCCGAATCTTTGACGTGCCATTTGTGGCATCGGGTGGCCGCATCGGCCACATGGCCGGTCTTGATTCGGTTGATGGTCGATCATTGGCAGCGTGGATAGTTGAAACCGGGGAGGATCGACGGTCGGGTCTTGTACGAGATGTTGATTTTTGACGTCGGCCGCAGTCCAGACTTGCTTTCACCTTTCGCCTTCATTTGTATTTGTGGCGTGGAGTGTGCTGCTGCTGCTGCGATCCAGAAGGGGTGGCGTGGTTTTAGGCAAACGGGCGACGCTGGGTTTATGTCCCGATGTATCGGAAGGTGCGGGTTGACGACAATAGAATGTGGGCGTGTCCACCATTTTTAAAGGGACCTGATTCATCATTAAGGGGAAAAAAGTAAATTTCTTTATTGATTTTTTATTTTAGTGTGATTTTTATAATTTTAGTGCTTATTGCTACAACTCTGCCCTGTGACATTGACTTATTGACATGCTTGCTCTGCTGACCCGTGCGTGTCACGGTGCGCATTGCACCAGATGCTAAAGCTGGCGGTGGAGGGAGGCTCCGGCATGGGCGCAAGCGAGAGGTGCCGCAGCCCTTCCCCAAGCCCGAGGTGGTGGCGGGCGCGAACCGCCGCGCCACACCCCAGAAGAACAAGACGTTTGATAAGAGACCCCCGACTCGCGGCGCTGGGAAACCCGCTGGCACTTTTACTGTTGGTGGAGGACGAGAGGAGGTGAGGCCATGCCCCATGGGAGGATTTGCGGACACTCATTGGTTTGCGAAGTTTGCATTGGTCATCAAGTTGCCAAAGACAGGTCTTTCCTCTCTAGTAATTAACAGTAAAAACACAAAACAAACCTGTTATTGTTGCGTCTTCAAAATAACGTGGGCAGATAATACACGTTCTGCATATAACGGGAGGGGGGGGGGGTGGTGGGAACCTTTAAAATGAAAGTTATAATCTAATTATAAAGTATTTACTATACAGTACCGACTCTAGCATTAGATTATGTGGTCCACCATTACTGGGGATTTTTTGGTGGTGTTAAGTGCCGTTTATTTACACGGTTATTTAATTTGAATAATCTTAAAAACAATATAAATAACATAACAGTTGATTAGGCAAAAATGGAAATGATGGGGTTTTGTGAAGAATTCAGGGGCACCCTGCCCCTGAATTAGTATTATTTCCTGGATATTGTAATATTGCAATGTTTTGAATCTGAACAATTAAGTACTAAATCATTCAGTAGAATAACCACAGTTGATGTTATCTGTTTCTACTTCGCAAAGTGTATCCCTACTCAAACATTAGTTTTGGCCAGTGCTCGTCTCTGCTAGCGGTCACTTGAGTTCAGCACTGGAAAGTTCACATTCTTACAGTGGGGACCTGTCTCCATGCCATGGCCACTGTTGCCTTCACCGAGAGTGGTGCTCTTTGATAACAGCACAATGGTGGTGATGATTAATTGACCCCTGATGAAGATCTAAACTCTACATTACAACCATTCAAAGTAAAACACATTAATTATATTATTAGACAGTGTAGTCCTTAATTTATAAATAGGCGAAAGCCCAATGATGCAAAGTCTCCTTTTGACGGGATGCTTTAGGTTTCCGTTGAAAACATCGGCGATATTCGGAACAAGGTCCCATAGTTTATATGGAGTGCTCTTGCCAATGACTTCTGGTAATCCAGTAACACGTGTTTACCAAGCCCGTCTCTGCTGGTGACATCAGAAGGTAGAAACCTGTCCAGAGTTTTCCGAAATAAATGCTGCTTGACAGTGTTGGTATGGAAATCCAATAGGCCACAGAAATATGTTTACAGACACTCACGTACCAGCTTCTTTGAAGTATGTTTTAACATGAACTTAAAACACGAACTCGTACTTGCAAATTGAACCGCGGAAATATTTTCGTCAGTTGAGCGATCCTCCGAGATGTAACGAGTCAGCCTCATGCTGGGAGTGTGTGTGTGTGAGCATTTAAATAAGGCCACGTGAAGCGTCGAACGCCCACTGGCAGGAGGTCATAGGACAGACCCAAGTGCCATGGGTTGACTGAGATGACTGGCCGATGCACCACCTGTGCCAACTTCACGTGGCTTTAACATGCACATAGCCTGGCACACGCACCGTGGTGACATCACTGCCACTAAGTGATGAATGGCGGTTATTTAAATAGGTACATTATTGTGTTCTGACTTACCAACCGTTCGACTTACAAACGGATATCAGGAACTAATTAAGTTCGTAAGTCGTATATGGAAACAGAACAGTTCTGTTTGTATATCTTAATGACTGGTAGTTGTTGCAAGTCACAGCCTTTTATGACAACTGAAGAGTATAATCGGCGAATGTTTGAGGTAGTGACCCATTTTACTGTGATATTGTCTGCCTTTTCAGGTGATGTATGATCAGCAGACGGAGTTAGCCGACCTGGCACGTGGACGTAAGAAGGTGAACGTGAATCACCTGTTCAACTTCACGCTGGAGCCGCGCGAGCGATTCTCTCCGTACCATCCCAGTACGTGGAGCCGGAAGGGGGGCGCCTGGTGGGGGCAGAAGCAGAAGCCGTTCAACAAGGAGCTGTTCCTGCAGGCCAAGTACGACCCCTCGCATCATCGCAGAGTGACACAAGCGGGTTCACAATCCGTGTCAATCTGTGATTGCCAACAAGGGTTTTGCCACCAAGTACTAAGTCATGTTTTGCAGAGGGGTCAAATACTTATTTCCCTTATTAAAATGCAAATCAATTCATAACATTTTTGACATGCGTTTTTCTGGATTTTTTTGTTGTTATTCTGTCTCTCACTGTTCAAATAAACCTACCATTAAAATTATAGACTGATCATTTCTTTGTCAGTGGGCAAACGTACAAAATCAGCAGGGGATCAAATACTTTTTTCCCTCACTGTATGACTGTCAGTGGAATTTGTGCTCCAGTGGAATTCCATTGCCTTTTTAACATGATAAGAACAATCGTATAGCATTTGGAATAACATTATGGCACATTTTGTTTTTGTTGCAGCTGCCAATTTGTGGTACTGGATCAGTGTGATTATAGCGTGTATCTGGCGGACCCCGACACACTGGTCGACTGGGATTTAGTGCAGCAAGTGGTGAGTATCTTTGTGCTGTATCAGAAGCCAAAGTGTCTTGCCTGCTTGGGGTGATGCTTTTCTCCAATTATGACTTATGCAGTTAGTGCAAATGTCCACATTCCTACGGTGAGGGCCACTCCCTCCATAATACGTCACGTACAGTCAGGGGCGGAGCCAGGATTTTGACTTTGGGGGGGCTGACTTCAATATTCTGTGATATCCAGTCTATGTTTTCCAATGGGTGCCACAAATGTATAAAACACATTTTATGTGTATAAAACATACATTTCTGATGTGGCTAATAAGTTCGATAAGTTTGAAAGGCTGCCGCTCAAGCAGCCTGCAGGGCAGCACAAGGTGGCAGCCAGCATTTTGCAGCAGCTGGATATCCGGTTATCCCGATTACCGACTTTCCCAAAATTTCAGGGGGGGCTGAGCCCACCCCAGCCCCCCCCCCCCCCCCTGTGGCTCCGCCCCTATGTACAGTAAAACCTGATTATTTCGGTATTTGATCCTTCATAAATGCTGATAATTCGGTAAGGCCAGAGCCCCATATGTGTCGAATTAGCAAGGGTTTACCATAACATTGTTTTATGATGCTGCATTGACAGTGGTGTACCAAGCACGAATAATAAATACACGATACATTCTAAATGCAATCTTTTAAATGAAAAACACAAATCTTTAACTTGATTCTTATAATATTTACCAGATCGAGGCATATTACCGTCAAGTAGTGATTGCTGAAATGAGGCACACGCTGCTCGAGGTACACAGACCACTCGCTGTTCATTATTACCGACCCACAGTCATATCACCCCACCGATATAAGTCTATCACAAGGCCTTGCAGTGCAATGAGTTGACAAGGGAAGAGGCACTGCATGTCCATCCCCCCACAAAAATCAATCTATCCCTGCTCAAGAAGTATTTTTACCACTTTTGAGCACGTGACAGCATTTCATCATCATTGCTTCGCTGTTAAGAAGTAAAGGGACACGTCGGTTGAAATGGCAACGTTGTCCATTTGGCTTTAATGCTAAAGCAGCGATAAAGCCACTCGGTGACATGCTGTGGCAATGACCATGCTGTAAAGAGTTTTTTTTTCCTGCAAAAAATATCGCAATTTCCAATAAATACAAGCATAATTTAAATGTGGTGGTTATGTACAGCAAACAATGTTGGTTCAAGTTTATTTTGGCTATTTATATCGCAAAGTTGTCTTGCTGTGCAACAAGAACGGAACTGCAAGATCCACATGAATAAGATTGCAGCCTTCTGTAGTTGCAAAATTGTGGAAAGAGTTTTGCAATGCAGGCGCCCTCTGATACAGAGTTGTGCCCTCCCCTCCCTCTTGGTTGTGCCAGTTGCTGTGTGGAATCTCGATGTTTTAGCCAGGTTAGGGACTTGTACATAGCAACAGCATGCTCCCAACTATCCCAGATAGTGACCAGGATTATAGAGTAGAATTACATGTAGTAGATTATTGAAATATTTGATAAAAGCTTGTTGCATAGTGAGTGACTGTAATATTCAATGATTGACGGTGCGTATTGAGTTTTGTGTATCTATGCTGCTTTAACGCTGAATCTGCCTCAGTGTTGATGGAGTGCTCAACTCCTGACATTTGGCAACCCGTTGTTTATTCAACACTGCAAACTCTGCTGAAGAGATTCGCGAAGTCGAAACTATTCCAGAGTTATTCCTTCCTCAATAGATGCTCCTGGAAATCATTGGCCCTAAGGGCCAATGTGCTGATGGATGTGTAACAGTGGACATTTGTCTGTGATCATGGTTGTGAAGTATGTGGAACTCTGGTCGGTGTTTGTATCCAACGGTGGTAATTTTGTTCGTAACTTTGCTATTTGTATGCAGTGGTAAAGAATAATGGGAGAACCGAGCTCGGTTTCCATTGCACCTTTTGCCATTTATAAATCACGTTATACATGTGGTATTGCAGTTATTCTAGCATGCATGCACGTTTCTGGCGGAGGAGTTTCTCATCTTTTTTTTTTTTACAGAAGATGTAAGAATAACGTTTACTTTGTTTGGTGTTTGTGTGTGGCGGTGGTGGTGGTAAAGTAACCCCATAACACTGTTTGGCTTTTGTGGTGGCGGTTGCCTTTTGTGAACAGCGGCTGCTGAGCCACGGGGTGCTGTCCTGCCCCATCTGCTTGTACCCACCCACGGCCGCCAGGATCACGCGCTGCGGCCATGTCTTTTGCTGGCCCTGCATCCTGCACTACCTCGCTCTGAGTGACGAGCCCTGGAGGAAATGCCCCATCTGCTTTGAGGCCGTGCACAAGAAGCACCTGCGCAGGTGAAGATGGCACCACGCGGCGTATTTGTTCATTTGAATCTCTTGCATCGATGCAGTCGGTGACGTGCCCATCCCCTATGTCACCGGTCGCAATTGTTGGACACGGTAAATGAGGAATACTTGCAATTAGCATCCTAATGAGCAGGAACCCCCCAAAGTGGAACACTGCGAGCAGACTTTTGGAGTTCGGGTGTCAACTGGACAACTGCTGGAGGAACTCGTCGAAGGAAGAAAGTAATGGCAAGGTGGAGTGGAATTAGTAATATCGTGAACCTGCCGCTCAGCCAAGCTAAATTAGAACGATCTAAGACGACCACGACCGAGATTGCAGCGATCATTCATCACAGGACCATGTAGGGTGGTGATGGCTTGAAGTTGATGATGGGGACATTGAAATTTGCAACGTCGGCCAAAACTATAATCAGAGAGTTGTAACTAAATAAACATCTGATGTCTAACAGTGCCAAGTTAAATTTACCATAATTGGGACTAACATATAACACCCCTTGTTTAAAATGAGTGATTTTATCACGAGTGCTTTAATGCCATGCCTTGCCCTGTATCAGATTTAACGCTGATATGTGAAGTTTTGTTAATTCCAGTTTGTTTGCTATGAGTGTAGTGCTCGTGCTGTTTCTTTTTGACCGGTGGCACTGACTTCCAAGTGTTGCTGTGTGTTTCTGTGCAGCGTGGTTACGAAAGAGACCCACCAGTTCGCAGTGGGAGACACCGTCACCCTGCAGCTGATGAAGAGAGAGAAGGGCAGCGCTATCGCTCTGCCTCGTAGCCAGTGGTTCCAGGTGGACAAGCCTCTGTCAGTTATCGGTGAGATATCTTAACTATAAGTCGGTTGTCTCGCACTGTCATTAAGACAGTTTTTTTTATCGTGGACTTTTGCGTTGCGTGTGTGCGTTGTGCCCATGCAGGGGGTGCATTGAATGGGCAGAGTGCTGTGTCGTGGTGCTCTGGGGCGGGCGTTAGCTGATATTGAACGCTGTGAGGAGAGCGCTTTTTAGCATGGTGAATTAAATTGTACGGCTCGCTAAGCGTTAGGTCGGTGCATCACAAAGGGTGTTCCAGATGGTTTAAGATGGCAGGATTTCTGAACCAATCTTAACACGCCCACCTAACGCTCAGCAAGGGAGCTCCTCAGGCGTGTTGGGGCATGCCTGTAATCCAGCCCTGTGGAAGTAGGGGGATGGCATTGGTTTTAAGGAGCCTTTCATGTAGAAACTGGCCCATGGTTTGCTTGGTAGTGAATCAATGTAGCCGAAATTATGCACTCTCAGGAGGCCGCGTGGCTGATGGGTTGTGTAAGAATTAATTTTGTTATGTTGAGAGACTGATATGGGAAGGAGACGTTGCCTGCTTCCTTTATTTTGTGCGGGCAGAGTTAATGGAGAAAAGATACGTCAAGCCTGAGACTCGTGAACTCCACGTGCTTGCAGTGCCCATACATTGTTGGCACAGCAAATTGGTTACGACGTATCTCATCTACATGGACTTTGTAGAGTTATTTCCTCGTGTGTGGGTTTCCTGTGGCCAGTCCCAAAGAGCAGTCCTTTTCATGTAAAGGAAAATAAAACTCATGAAGTGCAACTATTTACCTTTTCTGTAAAATAAGATTATGACTATACCTCTCAAAATGTTGTATATTATTACCCACCGCAAAGACGTAGTTTATCGCGTTGAAACATTTAGTCAGAACTGTTTTGATATTTGTATTCTTTTTTGTAAACAATATTAGTTTTTAACATGGAAGAGGCTAAACATTGTGATGCAGAAACCTCCTGAAAAAAGTCTTGGGACTCTGTGAGGCTTTCCTGGACAAACAAATTACATTACTATTGTTCCTATTAATATCGTTTCCTTGGGTAAGTCGCGCTGCGAATTGTGTTCCAACAACTTGTCCTGCATCTTTGACACCTACAGTTATACCATTGGAGAACGATTGTTTAAGGGCGCTTCATAAATTTAAATGATTATTTTGTTTAGTTGTCCCCCCCCCTACCCCCGAAAAACACGGTTCACAACATGCGGCGCAGAAGAATATCAACATACATACATGGCATTGGGAGGCTTTTGTCCCTTTGTGATTGTGGCTAATGATGACGACTACGACGAAGGTATAGTTTTGAAACGAGCGCATTGTGACGGGCGTGCGGGCGGGCGGGCCTCTGGTCGCGGGGTCGGCCGGTTGTGTCACAGACGCGCAGAACTCGCACCACTGCAAGCTGCTGCTGGCGAGCCGGGCCGACGTGCAGACGAGCCTCTCCCTCGAGCAGGAGCAACTTCTGCAGCAGCTCCTCGAGGAGAGCGACACCGCCGAGGCCTGCTTCATACAGGCGGCGCTCAGCGAGCTGCAGGTAAGCGCTGCTTGTTGCTGCTTGCAGACAGACATAGTGGGCCCTGGTGGTGGTTGACCGAGCATCGCCATGGCACTTTGGTGTTGCATGATATCTCACATGATGCAAGCCCTGTGTGTCTGTTTGCACGTGTGCGAATGTGTATTCTGTCTGCACGAGTTTGTGTAATAATGTGTGTGACCCTGTGCTTGCTTGCGTGTGTGGGTGTGTGTATAGGGTGTAGGTGCTCGCTAACATCACTTGCCCCAACAGTCTTACAGGCTATACGGGGGTCTTTGTCCTGTATAGGGTGTTGCCTCAGAAATACGTGTGCCTCAGAAATACGGTATTTAGCCTTCGTATGTGCTTTTCAAAAGCAACACTTAGCCCAACAGTCTGTAAAGCTATGCAGGGCTCTGTCTTTGTTGTGTGCATGTGTGTGCATGTGTGTGCATGTGGGTGGAGCAGTAAGGCGGCCGAGCGTGGTGCTGTCCACCCACACCCACTCGTATGCGTATCAGCATTCGTAGGTGCTCACTAACAGTACTTGCTCCCAAAGTATTTTAAGGCTATATGGGCAATCTTTGTCACTTTTATGTAGCGGTAAGCATAGTGGTGAGCACACCGCTAGTGCACAAGTGATGATTATCTGACCTGGGCCTCTCCTAGATCGTCTCTCGCTTTATATGAGTACCTGGTCCAATGTTTAAATATCAGCGCTGGGGAAACCAATGTGGTCAGCCATAGTTCTACACGCACCATTTTTTTCGTCATACCAGCCTTAATTACTGTGTGCTCACTGAATGCACAAACGCCTGTCATCTCTGAGGCTTAATGGGGTTCTTTGGCTGTGTGCGCGCGTGTGCAGAACCAGCTGAAGTGCTTTGAACATGCAGGTGCAGATGTGGGTACTACTCTGGAGATGCAAAACCTGTCTCTTGCCGAAGCTTCAGAGCCAGATTCTCACGAAGTGAAAGAACCAACAAGTTTGACCAACTGCAACAAACAGGTTAAATAATTTTCGATTGAATGATCTCGCACAATCCTGTAAAAAAAAAACTGTATTTATCTCTCTGTTTTAATTGCACATTGGGTGGTGCTGCTATCTCTTGGAGACTTGAAGCTAATGGTGAAAAGTGTACATTCCCACGGCAGGGACCTATTCTTCCCCGAGGACAAGCTCTGTTGACTTCAGACTCTTTATGTTGACTGCAGGAGGAATCCGATGAGCTACGAAGTTCTTTTTCCCCCACAGATGTCCGGTATGAGCGGGGATGCTCATTTACTCAAAAACGTGATCTGGGGTTTGAACTCGCCGACCTTTCCTATGCCACTGGCACAAACCACACAACGCCCTCGCTCCCCCCAGACTGCTGCACAGTGGACATTGACGAGTCTGTTACATTGTCATTTAACCCCCCTGCCCTCACCCAAGTATTTACCTCCATGCAAATATGGATACTCGAGTGTCAATTGCTATTAGGACAGAAAATCTCGCTGGCAACTGATGTGGTTAAAATATATAGGATGTTGGTGAATAATCATTCATAATCACAATCAATCCCTTAACCGTGGGGGTTGTACCAGATAATCTTTTGTTATATGAACAACATCTGACCACTTTGTCATCCAAACCATGGTGGGTTTTTTTTATCCATCTGGTCCTCGGCCAACCTCTCCCCGTCCTCTGACTGGGCCATGTAGGACATGGCTGGAAAGAGTAGTACCCCTTGCTCTTTGAGTCACACGGCCGAACGACTTTAGCTTTTTTCCTGTTTGCTATCGCCAGTCGTGGTTGGTGTGTACCCCTATATATATTTTTAGTCACCTCTGCACAATTTTGAGACTTTTTTATTTTTATTGACAGGCCGTGCATAGGTACGCTTCGGCGTTCGACGAAGAGTTTGAGGAGGAGGTCGCCAAAGAGGTCGCCGAGCCAGACGGCGCACAAGAGGAGGAGGTGCAGCTGGAAGGAGCCGCAGGTCTAGCTGCGACTGAGCAGCAGCAGCAATGCTTGCAGCAAGAGGGGCACGGGTGTGAGATGCTAGAGGAAGAGGAGGCCAGCTCCCAGAACAACCTACACCACTACTACTACCAAGGTGATTTCCTCCTGCCATGCATTTGCAGTGTTGTCCTTGTACAAGAGGCGGGGGGGAATTTGTTGAATGTGCTGGCGGGGTGTATGTCTGTGGGTGTGTGTATGGTAGGGAGGCGAGCGGTAGTGTTGCAGTTGGCGCACTGCGCTACGAACCTGGCGACCCGAGTTCGATTCCCGCTCACGGTCAACACCAGTGACGGTTATCTGAACTGATCCTGGGCCTTCCCTAGGTCGACTCAGCCTCAAACGAGTACCTGGTGCAGTGTGCAAACATTGCCATGAGTGAGACAAAGGCAGCTGAGCATAGTGTTAGCCACCCACCCCCTCGTGTGCCATTTCGGCCTTCATAGGTGCTCGCTTAACAGCACTTGCTCCACCAGTCTGTTAACGCTATACGGGGGATCTTTGTCTTTTTGTGTAAAGTGCATAGCCTGGCACAAGCGCCGTGGTGACGTCACCCGCCACTTAGTGGCGAATGGCGGTTGTTGTCTACAAATACTCCATGTGCCCAGCTACTCACCCTGTCTGCTGTGTGTCCGCTGTGTGTGTGTTGGTGCTCCCTGTGCAGCGGAGGACGGGCAGCACATGTACATGCTGCCCATGAACCGCCGCTGCCTCCTGCAGGAGCACGGTGGCCCCGAGGGATGCCCAGACCGCGTCACGGCTCGCATCATGGACATCGAGAGCTTCTCCATGACCGAGGTGAGCATCTTCTTGCATGAGCCGCACTCTCTCCATCTGACAGCGTCCCTCGCTTGGCAGGTTTTTATTAATTTGTCCTTTTCCATACCTGTCAAACAATGCCGACCTTATTAAAGACCAATGCAGACCTTATTGGTCACCCTGTGCCCTTATAAATCTCAACCTTCATCCTACAAAGTCCCATCACAAGGCAGAAACACAAACAAATAAACAAAAGTATGTTTTGCCCGTATTGAAACGCCTGTACGCCGTATGGACCTGAAAACTCAATTGCCCTTTACAAGAATGCAGGGTAAACCGTAAGGGTTGATAGTTATGCTTCCCTCCCCCCAATTGTATTCCAATTGTGGTTTTCGGTGTCTGGACATGAGATGAAATATCCATTTAGAATCTCACGCAGAGCAGTGCGACCCTCCGTACCAGAGAACGGCCCACGGAACCAGATATCGGAGAGCTACTAAGGCGATTCGTTCAAGTTACCTATGGTCTACGCAGCCTAGGGGAGGCACTGCCCCACCCGCTCTGTGTGTGAGAGTAATACTTGTTGCATAACGATAGTAAAACTGATATTTAGCCAAATTTAAGTGCACGTCCAAATTGGCTTGGCCAGTCATGTCTTTGGGGCTCATAAAATGAGTTTCTTGCTTTGTGCAAAGTCAAAAAGTGCTTTCACCTTTGGGAAGACTGACACCCCCCCCACCAAGGGAGTGTGACATTTCCACCACGGACTCAGGGATGAGCGCCACCACGTGCTTTTTTTGAGCTCAGGCACTTTGGATTCTTGAATGAACGAAATAGAAGTTGACACCTGTAATTAATGAATTTCTAACTTTCCTCCCTTGCTGTTTGCAGTATCACCGTAAACGTTACAACTACCTGGACCACTTGCCCCTCACCTGTGAGATCAGCTTCTGCGAGGTGGTCCTGCACCCTCCCCTGGTCACCCAAGCCACTCTCCAATACTTCACAGGTAGATTAGCCTGCTCTGTGTGCACCTTCCAGGACTGCTTCTGTCAATCATACCCTGCTGTATTTTTCGTAACACTAGCCGGTTTTCGACTGCAATGTCACTAAAGAAACTGTCTTTGTGAGCCTCATGCAATAATCCTGAACTGTTAAAGTCCTTAAAGCGGAGCACTTCCCTCCCAAGCCAAGTTGTGAAGTGTGGATCTAACCTCTTGACAGCAGGGAGGGGCACGGTATATCTCTGCCTAAGGGTAACATATCAGACATATCATTATCAATATTCATAATTCAGGTTTTTTTGGGGGTTAGATGGCGTGAATATTAATCTTAAATCCACCACCACCCGACACAGCCACAAATCTGTCTGCCGCCTGATGATGCTGCTTGTAATTGCTGGCGAAACATTGTACTCACATTGTAAATGTTGTGGAATTTCTCTCCAACACACCGGTGTAGTGCTGTACTAGTAACGAATTGGCATGTTCTGTTTACGTGGCAAACCTTACTAATTTGCTGTGTCGGGTGGTGGCGGGTTTAACGACATATTTACATGATCTCACCCAAAAAACACCTCCTTTGGGTATCAGGCCTGTCATCTCAGAAATGTGAAACACTAAGCTAAATTGCCACAATTTCCCATAAAAATTGTTTTAATTACGGTTTGAAATTTCCTGCTGCTTTTTAATGCAGATGTTCAGATGCATTTTTATATTTTATATGATGTGAATGAATGCTGTGATGTTTGTCTCAATAACGCTTGGATGAGTGTATTGTTTAAACAAAAAAATCATCATAAGTGTCGGTGTCACCTCGAGTCCAAACTAATTATTTTATTGGCCAAACATACCATTGCACGCCACCTTAAAATAGCATTTTGAGAGGATAAACGGCAGCATTGTTATTTTTATTATTGTGAATTCTGGCTGTGTGCACTGTTCTATCGTTTGGTATAGTGGGTGTAACAATTCACCTACTGATGATTCGATGAATTCCCGTCTTTTGAGCTATAAGAATAGACAATTGAAGGATCTGACTTATTGCTCACAATCGCTGTTTTGTACATTTAAATGTGACTGGTTGAGTATTGTCTTCGATGTTTCTAATTGTTTTGCTCCATATAATACAATTATACATGCACATATAGTCTTTAAACAACCAAATAATTTACATCATAATTTAACTGATGCATTGCATTTGGTCTGATCTTTTGGGTATTGTGTCATTGTTATCTCTAAGCCTATTGTTCGATATAATTAGACGAAAATAAATTACCTATACCTACGTGACTTTACCAAAGGAACCAAAGCGTGGATTCCTGCAGTCATGAAAGTTGCAAATCAAGATAATTAAACCAACATTGTTGCTCCAGATGCGCGGCTGTTGGTATGGTTTTGAAAGTTCACCTCCCTTGTACAATTAATTAATGTATAACTGTGCTATGAATTTAAATACAGCATCGAAACAACACCAAGCTAAGATTTGGCACAATTTTTTTTCTGACGTCACCCTCTGTCTCTCTGTTTGGCGTGTTGGTGCTCGCGTGTGCCACGCTGGGTTTTGACGCCCACCGCCTGACGCTGCTGCGGTGCTTCTCTCCGCCCCGCCAACAGCGGACATCGAGAGACGCAGGGTCCTGCGGCAGAAGAAAGCGCGTGATGAGCGCCGCAGGGAGAGAAAAATCGAAATGGAAGAGAACAAGAAACATGGGATTTGTAAGTGATACACCACCTTTTATTGCTTTTGCGTCGTTAGTACACATCGTCTACAGCATTTTTTGTCAATCCACCGCTGGATGATGGCCACGGCCGCGCTATTTGGGTCATGGAATGTGACTACGGCGTATCCTCTATACGTGTGGGTTATGTTCTTAAAAACCTGAACTTCGAGTGAATAATCGTTCTGTATATCGAAACGTTTTCTCCCATGTGGTGCCAAGGTAACCTAAGATGCGTTCCGAAGAAACATTTTCTGACCCAAAACTTTGTAAAATTGCACTTTTTCTAAACAACCGAGATATTTTCATGTGGACATGTGAACCTTATGGCATGACCCCTGGGTCCCAAATAAACGGAAGTCCAAATCGTAATTCATTTATTTTTGGCGACTCCGTCCCACCGCGCGCATAAACGCCGCGACCCACCTGGCGCGGATCGTTCTGTTGTCACGTCTTCAAAGCGCAGCGAGGACGAATGCGCAGAAGAAACAAAACTTTGATTAGCGCATCGCGTAGAGCTCGTCGAGAGGAATAGATTGCTGTACTGCACACTAATTGACGAACTAGAAACTGCAGTGCACATCGTGTGAAGCTTGTGAGAGGTTACCGGGAGGGTGAGGGAGGAGCTGTAGAAGCATCTGCCCTCCCCTGTTGGGGAGTAGGTACAGTCCAAAGCGTGGTAGATGGTACTTATGTATGTTGAGCTTCTTTCGCACCGTATTTATCCAACCGCACGAATCAGCGGTGCGGGGGAAGGACAACAAACTAAACACAAAGCAGTTCTAAAGAAACGAATTTTCAATCTTGATTTCAAAGTACATAGCTCCACTGGCTTCCTAATATCGGAAGAATTGAGCGCTCCTTACGACCGCAGAAGCACATCTAAAAAAAAAAACGTGATGCGGTGAGTGTCTTTGTTCGATGTCTAGCTCAAAAGCCGCTAATGCGAGGAGTTCGCATGATGACGGTTTATACCCCTTGACGAGATCAGCAAGGTTTTGTGGTACAGTAGTTTTAACTATGCAACTCGGCTTGGAAACAAACGCCGTGACGAAGAGTCACGGCGACAGCCAGGCAAACGACTTGGAATCGTATATATATATAAAAAAATGTATGCAACATAACGTGCATTTACTCTTGGTACACACTTTGATTATTCTCCACCAAAAATAGAAATAATTTTAAAAAACATAAAAACAAACGAGACGTAAACCTAAGAGTTAATTTATGAGTGGAAGAATAGTTTTTAATCGACTTGACGTATATCGGGGGGCGGGGGGGGTTACACCTTTATTTTTCACCTTGCTCATCGGTGCATTTTGAAGGCAGGGGAGTGTGGATGTGGCACCAAGTACAGCTGCACTGCCCTCTCCTGATCATCACAAAGCTAAGCCCAGCAGCTGCCAATGACACGCTGGCTCGGATTTGTATCAAATCAATGGTTTGTCATGATCCACTTTAATGTACTTGAGTTTTATTCTCTGTGGTCTCATTTGTTATATCGTGTTTGTATTATTTCTCATGTATTCTCTTTTGCTTGTTACAGTGTTGTCCACTCGAATATTCTAAATTAATTGTGTGCTTAAGATTTGCATATGTCACAAATAATTTATTATTGGATGCACGATTTGGTTCGTGCATTGTGACCGTAAGAATCTGTCAAGTCGACGAGCTGATAAACTATTGCACACCTTATTATCCACTTGGGCCTGTCGGCAGGCTCAGTACAGAGGCACTATTTTGAATGCTGCCTTGTTATGATGCTTTTCTTACGGAGCTCTTACGTTCACCGCCCTTTGCCCGCGGCAGATCCCGGCATGCGTGTTCCGCTGGAAAACCTCCGCCAGTTTCCATCGTTTGGCTCGAGTCCCGAGTGTGGCCCGGGCGGCCCCACAGACGACACCGTGGTGATGGAGATGAGCTCGCCCGCCGTGCTGCACTCTCCACAGGACAGCAGCAGCAACAGTTCCACTGCAGGTGACCTCCCCGGCCCCGATTGTTTAAGAGCGACGCACGGCAAACGTGGCTGAGAGTCTTGAAAAATACGCTGAGCCTTGGTTAGGCCAAGCACGTGTAATGATGGACTTGATGGATTGGTAGTGGGTGCGCAAGCACAAATAACCAAAAACTCTACACGCTTGTCAATAACACCGTAGCCCTAAAAGTAAAAATTATATAAACACAAGAACTGTTAACAATTTTGATTTAAAGCTTTCGTGACTGCAGTAATTCATATTCTTAGCTCTTTCGGTAAAGTCACGTTAAAGGGAAACAATAAAATAATAAAATATATAACAATAAAAAAATTATCAGGATGCTTCGACCATAACACAAACGGTCATCATCAGGTGTGAAAAGCAACGGTAAGAAACATTTGAAAGAAGTGGCGGTTTGCATTTATTTTTAAAACGGTGTATTTATTTAACAAAACTTTAGCGCCACGGGCAGCAATTTGGCAGTTTATTTAGAAGGACGAGTCCATCTATGTTCTGAAAAGAGGAGGTGGGAGACGAAAAATTAATGTATGCTGTCTGAAAGCCACCGTAAGCGTGAACAATCAAGACCTGAAATGGTTTATCAAATCCTTCCAATGATTGCTAAGCCAGAATACATCTTCTCGGTTGAAATTGTCTCTGTGCTTGTAAATGTGGGTAGCCTCATGAGAGATTCAGCTGGGATGGACGGTTGGGGGGGGGGGGAGGCGTGATGTCAAGACGACAAGCGAACCTGGCTCTCAATGCTTGTGGGTTACAGGTGACGTCATCACGCAGATGCTGCTCGATGATGTTCACCAACGCGCGCACGGGCATTTGCCCACGATGGAAGCAAGCAGACGGCAATCCATCACGGAATCCAGCCAGAAATCTATTTTCTAAAATCGTATAAAGTGTCTCTTTTTCCATTAAAGCATGAAGGGAAATAGTATTGCATTGTTTTTTTTTCTCAAATTGGCAGCTGTTCAGATTCCATGTTTGTGTAACGGATGTTATTCATTGTAGGTTAATGGGAGCCAGTGTTTCACGAATATTGACATTTAGTACCTAGGATGTTAAAACAAAAAGGCTAGTCTGTTATTGACATCGACTATGTGTTGGTTCTGACAAACTCTTAAGTAGCGTGCAGAGTTGGTTAGTTGGTGTTTACTTAACATACCCGTCATGCCAGGTCTGGCCAAGCAAATGTTTGTAATCGTTTACCAAAAGAAGAAATAAAACGGTAAAAAAAAGTAACAAAGTGTCTCCCTGCTCAAGGGAGCAATGAGGGGGTGGTGGGAGTGGTTGTTCATTTCCGTTTTGGGCCTTGAGCCAGCGGTTGAACTTTCACATTCTCACCGTGGGTACCAAGAGTAAATGCAGAGGATTGAACGAGTTGAAGCGTTCTCAGCGTGGACAAAAAAATTAATATGGACCAGACTCGCGTGTTGAGAAAACTGTCGCAACACCTGGGTCTCGGCTGAGATTGGTAACGTGACCAAAAATACCTCGAAGTGGCCTTTTCATCCTGTAAACCGTAGCCTACGTTTACAGTTGCACCTAATAAAAATATATAACCGAGTAAGAGCTCATTGTGACCAGACGTCTCGTTATGGAGGAGGTCTGTCGTACGTAGACATCGGCAAGCTCCACACGCTGTATAATCTGGAATGTTCTCCCAATGTATTCGTTGTGCCCCCATTTTTAGTCTACCTTGGAGAGAAACGTCATAGAAAATGAAGTTGACTGTGCTGACAGTAGTGTACGAGTGTAACCTCACTTTATAAACCTGTGATTTTATTCTACACAGGTGGCTTTCTAACCAATCAAGAAGAGACCTCAAGTCTTGTCAAGTAACGGAGAAGTGTCTATGTGGAGGTGTGTGTTGGGTGTTTAGAGATTGTACTGACTTGCTGACTTGTGTGTGAAATCCTAGGGTCATTCCTGAGCCCGTTGGCACCAGCCTTTGTTCCTGGCAGTCCTTCTGCCGTGGAGAGCATTGTTGAGGATGAGTCTCACCTACCTTCCTTTGCACAGGTAACAGCTCAAAGGAGAAGGGGCTATGGGTGGTATGCAACATGTACTACTTAACTCTACAGCTCTATCGGGGTTTCCATACTGCACGTGTTTTGAGTGAGATATAGAGCTAATTTTAACCGCCTCTGATTTCTTAATTTAGTGTGCTCGATCATCCAGCTTTGTGTTGCAATGGGTGGCTTCCTGATACATTATTTACGTTTATAATTTTCCTGCTTATGTATGTACGTGTGTTGAAACTCCTTTCGCACCGTACGTAGCCAACCATGCTAATCGGAGGCGCTTATATTCCAGTTGTCCTAATTGGAATCATGTCATGACACTCAACGGAATTCTTCCTGCCTCCCTCTCACCTCACTCGGCTATTGCAACTCAAATAGTTTAATTTCCCACACCTCCGAGTTGGTACTGCTCGGTTGATTGGATACCATTTGTCCACCTTCAAACAGCGCGATTCCCTTCCATCGACACATGTTTACGCACGCATATTCCTGCACAACATGGACACGCATACGAGTTAATACGTTCATTCACAAGCACACCTGCTCGTAAAACGCACATTCAGACGTGTGTTCACACACACACACACACGTGTGTGTTTGTGCACGTCCAATGTTTACACTCGTTCGCTCAGCTTTTCGTACATTCAACCGCGCACAGCTCGGGTGAAAATCTGGTAACATGCACACGTTTTCAAACGCATCCAATCACACACCCACATACTCATTCGTTGCAGTGGCAGCTGTCATACTGGATGCGCTTCTCTCTCGTGACTTGCAGATGCTTAAGGATGGAAAAGCTAAATCTGATGCCTGGCAGAGGAATGTGGACAAGAGAGGTACGCGAGTTACGTGTTTTCATTCAGAAACACCGACTACATACCTGTCTCTATGAAACGTGCAACGTGATGAATGTTCATCCTTTTAGCTACTTCCAAAGCGAGATGCTCGCATACGGTTTGGGGAGAGTGGCGGCGTAGCGGTTAGCGCGGTGCACTAGGAACCCGGCCACCCGAGTTCGATTCCTGCTCACGGTCACCGCCAGTGACGATTATCTGAACTCCGCTTGGGCCTCCCCTCCGTTGACTCGGCCTCATGAGACCTGGTGCGGTGTAAACATCGCCACTGGGGAGACAAAGGCGGCCGGGCGTAGTGTTGGCCACCCACCCTCTCGTGTGCCGTGTTGGCCTTCATAGGCGCTCGCAAACAGTACTTGCCCCAACAGTCTGTAAAGGCTACATTTCAAGTTTAAAGTTTTCAAGTTTCATTTATTAGGTATAGCCCTGTGAGCCATGCGGCTCTTGAGTCGGGTGCAACCGCAACAAACAAAATATGAACAGAGGACATCTTAAAGCGACGATGCGCAACAGAAACATCCTGGATAAACCAGCAAATCTTCCAGAAAAAAAAACAAACGTATTACGCCGTGTACACAAATCCCAGTGTGATGCAAGTCAAACAATAACAGCCATGAGACAATTTAGATTAAAGTTATCAGGGCAACTCTGCCAACTCTGCACTTTGGCAAGAAACATGGAGGGGTGGGGATCCTTGATGGTTGACCACCGTACACAAAACAGATTGTCATAGGGCCGTGGGGGCAGCAGAGTGTGGTGCAGAAAAATAAATCAGTTTATTGCCCTCCACCGTCAACGTGCAACAATCGGTGTGGTGCGATTTTAAAAAAGAACCCCATTACCTGCATGGCATGGGGGGCCCGGGTCACTTGCAAACAAAACTACACTGGCCTCTTGAGCTGTGCCTGGTTAAACAAATAAACTTGACTTTGCCCTCATCCAGCAGCCATTGAATTAATATAAGGGTTGTGTACGTACAACGTGACGGAGGTGGTGTGCATTTCTCAAGGTGTGTTTCCCCCCCCCCTCCCCCCACTGCTCAGCGCCAGCACACGCAGCGGCGGTGGGTTCCGGTGTGGATAGCGATGCCGAGAGCGACTCGGAGGGCATGCCTGTGCCCAGCTTTCAGAACTCGTTCAGCCAGAGCCTGGAGTCTGCACTGCTCACTCTGGAGGCTGCTGCTGTTGATGAAACCAAGGCAGCGGCATCATCAGGTGTTATGCGGCTGGCACCTCTCGCCTTGTAACGTGAACTTAATGACGTGCTGAGGTTGGCCGGGTTCTGCTCCGGAGGTCGAAGCACTAATGGGCACTGTTGCTATATATCTTGCGTTTAATTCCAGATTAAAACTGTGCTCCCAAGTGTATGGGATTGATGGGTCTCAGCCCGGCCACCAAGAGAGCTCCCAGATAGAGAAAAATCTTATAACGTTCAATTTGATTCTGTGCTTAATTTGGCTACCGTCTGCCTTTTGAGGAAGCAAATGATTAATTACATACTTTAAAGCAAGGAGAATGAAATGGGTTTGTTTTAGGCATTGAAACAGATGTCTTGCCTGCTAATTTATTACCAGTTGTATACGCAAGTCGAGACACGTTACATCTTGTTTGAGACCACATGGTGAAGTAGGTTAAGTGGAGGTTTGTTTAAATTTTGCTTTCAGTTCTGTTATTTAAGCAAAGGGAGACCATTTGTCATCTTAAAAACAAGAGGTTAGAATGATACAGTTTGGGTGACTGTATTGGCTCAAGAAGCAAAGGAAACTGTCCACTTTGAGCCTTTAAAACAAGACATTTCCAAAACAGAGCGAGCTTCCGCAAACAAAAGTTTTGAAAGCACCCCAGCAACATGATGTCATCCTCACTCGTCAAACCCCCCCCCCCAATCCCTTCCCCGCTGACCCTGAAAAATCTGGGACAACGGATTAAAAAACTATGAAGACATTTGTCAATAACGCTGCTCTAAAAGAAAACATCTAGAAAAGCGACGTTTTAGGCAATGGGCCTTTTATGAGCTATGAACATTTGCTTGTAGTGTCACCTGTTACATATATTTTAATTTTTTTAAGCCAGTGTTGTTGACGTGCGACTTTTACTTGTTCACCATGGAGATGGCGAGGTTAAGATATTTAAATTAATATTTCTTGAAATGCAACTCTTTCATTACACCCCTGAACAAACGACATCAGTTGGCATACTGTTGAGCACACGCAACCACTGTTGTCCTATTGTTATCTGCTGGGAGTGACCCTTGAATAAGAGTTTTGTAATGATCAGTGGGGCTTTGCTCGGGAAATAAACTTCTGAGCTCCTTAACTAAACTTCTGATATCGTGAAGGACATGTGCGTCCTCGTGGTGTGTCTGCTTGCACTCAACCGTTTGCTGCGTTGATGTTTGTTCACAGACTGCCCCGCGCAAGGAAAAGGTGGGAAAAAGAAGAAAAAGCAGATGAAATTACTCTTCAGCAGCTCTGTGTTCCATGGAAAAATTAATTGAAAGTGAATTTAACAAATGCTTGTTTGTCAACGTGTGCTGCTGCTGCATATTACATAAACATGGCGACTGGCCTCATGTGATAACTTGGTATGCCCCAGACTACAGACTGGTTGTAGAGGTCTGGCATTGGTGTGTTTAGAGCATTACGACATGTATTGCAAAGCTTGTAGAGTTTGTAATGATGGCGATTTAAATCATCATCAAAAGTAATAAAGGTGTTATTTCAACTTAACCTTTTTTCTGTTTTTTTTTTTAACCTGTAAAATGTTGGTTGGTTGGTTGGTTAAAATGTCGTGGCCTAACACCACGAAACAAATATGGATCGTGGTACTGGCTACATAAACGCTTGCTTTGTGAAATTCCCGAGCATTTTTGTCGTTCGTGCACGTGCACACCAATTTTTGTTAAGCCGCAGCTTGGTGAGGACTCCTCCCCATGGCGTGCACTTCCATGATACCATCATGCTGGTCAGTGAGGGTTTACTAAGAGAGGGAGCACAAGATGGGAGGTGGTATATATATAGTACAATAGATTTGTATGCACTGCCCCGTTGCTACTACATGGCCCTGCTTATACTTCTCTTGACGAAATTTGCCTGTTTGTCTCCACAAATTCTTTAACTCTGCCCTATCAGACAGGGTGTCAACTGTGGCCAGAGCATTCGACTCGCATTCATGTCACATGTGTAGTCATGGGTCAACTTGAAAAATCCTCCCGGTGGTATCCATATTAAATGAATCGGGCTTGGGCAAGACACGTCACTAGCAGGGATGATGGCCGGTGGTCAATAATAAAGTCACGTGGCAGCCAGAAGAGGCAACATTGCTGAGAATATCCACTGTGGACATGAAGCAGTGAAAATCGTCTCGTGGGCAGGTACGAGATGGTGTGCTGCATCGCAGAACCGTGAGACGTGGCATACTCTTGCGAATCACGCCAGGGGGTATATTTGTTTACGTCCACTGTGAAGCAAACAGCACCTCGTATAATGGTTATTACACATGCAATATTAACTAGGGCGGCCGCTGGAATGGTTATTACACATGCAATATTAACTAGGGCGGCCGCTGGAAGTAAACTTGCGAACCTCTGCAACAAGTTGTGACCGCTCACAATTACATTAACCTATGAATAAATCGTCCTACCGCCATTGTCTCCCATGAAAAAGGGCCATTGCCCAAAACGTTGCCTATTATATTTTTCCGCACCTCCGATTAGCACGGCCGGCTACGCGTACGGCGTAAGAAGTTCCACATCCATGCGTTTTAAGGCAGTGTTAATTGTGCTTGTGCCCGACTGCCAACGCAGGCGGCATCCGCCAAATACCGATTTGTTTCATCGCTATCGGACGGTGTAATAAACGCCACACACTCCCTGGCTCGGCGCGCCACCAGTAGTGATGGCAACCGCCGACCCCCCCACGACAGTTTTGAGCGGCGAATTTTTAAACTTCCTCTCTTTTTTGAGGTCCACCCCACCACCCCCATTGTTGTCCCGATCATTCCCGCGGTCGTTGACACGGAGCTGGCGGGGGACCGCACCCACCGCTCGCGCCTCGCCCACGCCCTGCGTGGCTCCGTCTCGCTGGTGGCGCCGTGACCTCGCCGTGACCTCGCCTCGCCCGAGTGCGCCGCTTTATGCACAGCGGCGGTGGCGGTGGTGAGATGTTTACTACCTCGCGTGGTGTGCAAGGAAGTCGCAGGTTTGATCTCAACCCTGACGCCTGCTACTGTATATTTGGAGTTTGCGTGTCTCTCATCATCACCACGGTGGCAATGAGATGTTTACTACCTCGCCTGGTGTGCAGGAGGTCGCGGGTTTTATTCTGACCCTGACGCCTGCTGCTGTATATTTGGAGTTTGCGTGTCTCTCTCTCACCATCATCATCACGGTGGCTCGGAGATGTTGACTACCTCGCCTGGTGTGCAGGAGGTCGCGGGTTTTATTCTGGCCCTGACGCCTGCTGCTGTCTGTTTGGAGTTTGCGTGTCTCTGTCTCATCATCATCATCACGGTGGATAGGAGATGTTAACTACCTCGCCTGGTGTGCTGTATATTTGGAGTTTTTTTCCGGTTCCTCCGGTTTTTCCCACCGCGTTTCGAATATTTTTATTATTTTACTGCTATACCAAATGCTAAGCCATTTTGTTCAGCTATCATTTGTGGCCAGATCGCTTTTGAAAAATAAGTTAATACAGTACCTCAGTTGGCCATTGTCCAGTAGGATGGGGTAGGTTTAGTGTTGTATTTGTTTGGGTGGTTTGTTTTTCTCTCTTGTACTTTACACTTTTGTTTGCAGTTCTCATCACTCGCCCCGACTGGACGTGTGTGAAAAAGAGCTTTATAGCTCATCGGATTCCTCCTGCAATATGAATACATATTGTGATTCTGAAATGACGGGGAAGACGGTCGCAAATAATCCAAAAATATTAATTTTCCGTGGATCTTTATGCCACAAACCACTAATATATGTATAAATTATGTTTAAGTGAAGAAAAATGAGTTAACTAATAAAACACAAAATTTGCATGAAATAATGTATTGATCTTGTTTTATTACAAAAGTCCACGCAAAAACATTCTCGCTTAAAAACAAGTTTTAAAAATAATGTCTTGTTCCCACGCTGAAGACTGGGCCCACTAAGTGGATGATTGCAGAGCCACGCCAATCAACGAAAACGTCGCCTATTACTCTAAAAAACGAGCATTATATCTCACTGTATTCCTCCAGTATCAATAAGTATTATGATACTTTTGTTCTTGTTAATGCTGTGACATTTATTGATGAAGTGTGTTGAGTTTTAATTACATAGCACGACCACGCCCCTCGCAGCAAGCCCCGCCCAGCACAAACCAAGCCCCGCCCTTTTATTACCATAACGTTTCCGCCCCCATCCCAGACGCTTCCAACCGCGTGAATAGCCACGTCATCTGTGATTCATGAACCCGCCCCTGCTATCCATAGCCGCGCCCCTACTACGTGTGACCCCGCCCCCTGCTACTCATAGCCGCGCCCCTACTACGTGTGACCCCGCCTCCTGTTACTCGTGGCCCCGCCCCATATTACTTATAGTCCCGCCCCCGCCCCACCCGAGCCACAGAAGTGAGACGGAGCGACCAACAATGGAGCGAGAGCACAAGAAGGTGCGTTATGATGGGTGCATCGTGGTGGTGTGTTATGGTGTAGCGTGATGTGATAGTGATGGGTGTTGTGTGGTGGTGGTGGTGATGGTGGTGGTGTGGGTTGTGTGGGGGGAGCTGTAGTGTAGTGGTTAGCGCGCCGCCATACAAAACGGGCGACCCGAATTCCACTCTTTTTGAACCGTCCCGGGACAATGGCACTTCTCCATTCAGGCTCTGAACATCACCACCGTGGAGACAAAGGCGGCCGGGCGTGGTGTTGGCCACCCTTGTGTAGTTACCGGTCATAGGCGCTCGTTTAACAGCACTTGTCCCAACAGTCTGTTCAGACTATACCGGAGGGGTCTTTGTGGGTTGCGTGAAGGTGATGTCGCGATGCATGGTAGTGATGATGATGATGGTTGACGATGATTGTTGTGATGTGCGATGTGGTGTTGATGGTTGCATGTATGTTGAACTTCTTTCGCACCGTACGTAGCCAGCCGTGCTAATCGGAGGTGATGGTGTTGGTGGGTTATGGACAATGTGTGACCATAATGGGTGTTTAGTGATGATGGTGTTGGTAGTGTGTCGTGATCGATGTGCGATGGTTATTTGTGGAGTATGAAAAAGATGTGGGTGATGAGTGAGAAGGATGGTGGGTCAGTGTCGTGAAGTTGTGTGAAGGTAACAGATGACTTGTGGCTATTTTGAACGTTGTATTATGGTGATACGTGATGAGTGATCTAGTTTTAAAACAATCTTATTTTTGTCTAATTTGTACCATTTGTTAGATTAAATTGAATGTGCATGAATAAGAAATCACTGATACATGAAGAATCATCGTGTAGTCCAAGTTTGATTGTGGGTTGATGGTGGTTGTGTGGTGAATAATGGGTGATGGTGGTTGTGTGGTGAATGATGGGTGATGGTGGTTGTGTGGTGGTTGATGTGTGATTGTGGTTGTGTGAAGACTAATGCGTGATGGTGGTTGTGTGGTGAATGATGCGTTATGATAGGTGAACACCATGTTGATATGTGATGGGTGCGATGTAGTGCCTTAGTAGAGTAACCACAGTTGAGTTCGCTAACATGATACCAATTGTATCGATCCCGAAGTGATGATAGGCGGAATCACTTTTTAGTAAATTCAGAACAATATTCATGGGTAATATAAATTATTGTTGATGCGTCTGCGTTGGTAGTGGTGCACAGGACAAAATAAAAATAACTCGACACACTTGCCAATACCACTGTGACCTTAAAAGGACAAATACATAATAGGCAACTTTTCAGGCAATGGCAATTCACCAATTCAGGCTGTAAAGAAGGGCCTTGCCCGCAACTTAACCTATCATATGTTTGTATTTCAAGGCAGTGTAATTAACAATCGTGTTGACTTATTTTACATGCGTAATGCAATAACATTGGCCGTTCCAACTCCCCAAGGGTCATTCAAATTAGGACACATTTTGCATAGTCATCAGTGACCATCTATGGATATAATTGGTCCTGGCCACGGGAATGAGGAATTTCCACTACTGACTTCAGGCCACCAACGAAGATGAGCACTGCTCCATCGCTCGATTAAACAAAGAGATGTTGACAGTTTTACCAAGGTATTTTGTCCATCTGGCAGCGCAATTAAACTTTATCTTCTGTAATCTCTGGTGATTTGTGAGCGGTGGTGAGTGGCGATTGCTGAAGATTTGTGGTGATTGCAGGAGAGTGCTGGTGAGTGCTGGAGAGTGGTGGGTGGTCTGCCAGTTGTTTGTGGGGAAGCCTTAACATGGGGGTGTGTGTAGTGTAGCCCATGTATTAATTTCTCACCAATTATTCTCCACATTACTTGCAGACTAGAGTACGTACATAACTAGTAGCCACAGCCATAACGAGAAGGTATATTGGGTGTGGTGTGCTGAGTACAGAAATGTTGTGCATCTCTATGATGTAGCTTGTGTAGCTGTGTAATATTGCCCGTGTAGCCTGCACATCTGTTTTTATCAGCAAGTATATGGATGTGAAGTTTGGCCTGGTGTGCGAGCTGATTCGGTACAGATTTATTCGCCCACGCCCCACATGACTCATGGTGCCATGTGCTGTCTGTCTCCTCTCTCCCTATCTCCCTGTCTTGACTCAATGCCCTATCTCGCTGTCTCTCCATTTCCCATGTCTCCTTGTCCCCCACTTCCCCTGTCTCCCCCCCCCCATCTCCCCTTTACACACCTGTCCGCTTGTCTCCCGATTCCTCGGGCTGTCTCTCTGCCCAGGGGACCATTTCCCACGAGCTGGGGGCGGGAGCGCCGTGCCTCAAGTGCCGGGAGAAGTGTGATGGCTTCGAGCTGCACTTCTGGAGGTGCAGTGCTCACCGCACACGATCGTCAACGTCACGGGGGCACAACGAACTCCCCCTCCGTCTTTGTTCTTTTGGCCTCCTTCAGTGCAGTTCGCCGAGGATGACCAAACATTTTAATCGGCTATATGTGTTCTTGAAAATATGTACCCGAGTTCACGGACGGGCTCACCTAACAATATAGACGGCATAATAATAGGGGTTTTTCCCCTTTTTTTCTGGCAACAAAACTGAAACCTTTTTTTACGAGGATTCATGTCTGCATTAACCACAATACCTGCAGTCAAAATGCAAGCAAATAACATACTATGATAATATATAGTGCATTGTCCTTGAAACTGATTGGTCCACACCAAGGGACGGCTTGGTGTGGACCAATCAAGGACAATGCAATACACTTGAAATTTGCCATGTGGGTACTTTCCAGACTACACCATGCAAAAACTATAAAAATACACTTTTTTGGGGGGGTGGGGGGGAGCTCAATAATGCATTTATGTTTTTGCACGGCAAGTGAGCTGTGACGTCAAATCTGTCATGTGACCCACGCACGTGGAGGCGTAACGCATTGTAGTGTAGTGGCTAGAGCGCTGCGCTACGAACCCGGCAACCCGAGTTCGATTCCCGCTCACGGCCACCACCGGTGACGATTATTTTAACCGGTCCTGGGCCTCCCCTAGGTCGACTCAGCCTCAAACGAGTAACTGCTGTGGTGTGTGAACGTCGCAACTGGGGAGACAAAGGCGGCCGGGCGTCGTGAATCCAAGTCCCGGGCGAAGCCGGGTAGTAAAGCTAGTTTAATATAATTGGCAGGAGCGGGGGGTGGAGTTTCCCGCCCCTCACATCAACATTTAATAGCTCGGAGAGTTTGACTCATGTGTGAGAATGACTCAATGAAATCAACAGACTAAGATTTGCCTAAGACTCCACCGGTTGCCGTCGACCAGACTAAGACTGACTCGTATAACAACAATGCTGACTGAATTAGCTCTGTCCTGAATGCGCAAGTACCCATCAATGGACGTGGACCCCTATATGGCCTGGTCCATCAGCAGGCGTCGGAGACGTAACGCAGACACGCGTAACATTGGTGCGGAGCGGAACTGTGAGGCCATCTCTCAGCTCGCCGCCGCCGCCGCCGGGGTCCTGCACCGACCGCCCCTTCCCCTCCTCCCCCTTGAGGGTGTGGGTCGCACTCAACCCAGCTATGTACACAACGGTGGTTTCCCCACATTGGAACGCGGTAAATAATCGTAAAGATATTTCTTCTTTAAACCTTGAAAAAATGTAAGCGCCTTTATCCGGTGCCAAACAAGGGCTAGCACGACACGAGGGGGTGGCTTGGGACAGCCCCCTGCCTGCCTGGCCGCCTTTGTCAACCCAGTGCTCGTGTTTACGTACGGCACCGGGTACTCACTTGAGGCCGAGTTGGACTGGATGTGCGTGTGTACGTTGAACTTCATTCGCACCGAACGTAGCCAACCGTGCCAATCGGAGGTGCGACTAGGGGGAGGCCCAGGACCGGTTTAGCTATTGCTCACCGCTGATGTCAGCTATGATGGGAATCAAAGGCTGGTCGCGTTGGGTTCATCGCGCTGTGTGGGAACTCCTGTATCGCTGCGACCCTTCCAGCCTGCGGGCGTTGTGGTTCAAGTCGCTCAGCACATAGAGCGACAACAGCTGCGATTTAATCGCCAGTGGCAGCGATGTCACCATACTGCTTTTGCCAGGCTAGATGCGCGTTGAGGCTATATGGAATTGCATGCAGACACGCACACACGTCCGCTTGAACTCTATTGTAACATTTGTTGCCAATCGGAAACTAGCATTCTGTTGCTTCCCGCTACTGCGTGGTTAGTGTGGTTGGTTATGGTTTTGGATAACAGTTTCTCAAACAGGAAAGCATGGGTGTCCACGATTAAGTTAAGTTGCGAAATATATTTTATGTTTGTAAAGCACATCTAAGGATCAAAGTTAACGCACCTATTATCGCCAAAATAAAACCTTTAATTTGATTGACCAGCGGGCCATTTGCACGCCAGTGTTTGTCTTGCAGCATTTCTTTAAACACAGCAAGGAAGCACTTACAGTGTATTTTATTAATGTGTCAAGACAGTGCATTAAGGTTTTGACAATCTGAAAAGTTGCATGTGCCCGCCGCAATTGTTAAATATTAACCATCAGATATTTTAAATTCGAGTAGCTGAGAATCAAAAGTGATGAGATACTTAAAGGTGTTTGCCCAAAAGAAATGCTGCTGGATAACATTGATCTGGAAAGCCAATAGGCGGCTGGGCTCCAGCGTATTTTATTTATACAGATAGTCCCCGAGTTACGGCAGTCCCCGAGTTACGACGGTCCGACTTACGATATTTCGATCTTACGATGGCGATACGACAAAATGCATGTTAAAAGTTTTTATAGCAGATAGGATTGTTTCCTGAAAAACTTTCTATTAAATTTCAGTTCATATAGGTAGGCTAAGAATTTACCTTGTTTTTTTTACTTTGCATTTTACTTTGCAATACAGTATTGTAATTAATAAATACATACAGTGTATAGTTTATAGAGTACGGTACTGTAAATTGCTTTTTGCTAAATTATCACCAAGACTCCTGGGTAGGCTAGGCCATCTTCGACTTACGATATTTTTGACTTACGATGGGGTCGTCGTAACGAATCTCCATCGTACGTGGAGGACTACCTGTCCTCGGAAACACAGACTGGAGATTACTTACCAAACCACCAAACCGTCGCCCACACGCCTCAACACCGCTGATATCGTCGCGCTTTACGCCCGCTCACGCCGAGCGTCCTGTGCCCTTCGTCGTGCAGGAAGATCTGCCGCAACTGCAAGTGCGGCCTTGAGGAGCATGACATCCAGATGGAGGAGGAGGCGCAGCGCAAGGTGGGGCGGCTGTTTGAGGATTCGCGCTACGCCGGGGTGGCCGACAGAATCCGCTCTGACATGGAGACGCGGCTGCTCGAGCAGCAGCCGCGGAGAGTGGGCGGCCACAACCACCGCATCGTCTTGGACGACCGCTCCCCCTCCACCCAGCTCTCCTTCAGCTCCCTCTCCATCGGATCTTCCTCCAGTTCCTCCTCCAATTTCGACTCTGGCTTCGACTCCGCTTCGCTCGCAAGCTCCGGCTCGGGAATGCCCAGGTCTGCCGGCGCTGGTCCCGGAGATGGAAAGGTCTCCGGTTCTGCTGCCGGTGGAGAACCTGGATTGCCCCGAGCCCCTGGTTCCGCACCGGAGACCGCGACGGGCCGGGATTCTAAAACTGGCGGTTCCGTGGGTGGCCCTCCTGGAGGTCCTGGCTCGGTGCAACTTTCTGGGTCGGGTACGGCTCCACCCGCTGCCGGCGTGCCGAGCCGCGTCCCCGGCGCGGCGGGCGCCACGGTGGCCGGGGGGGACGTTCGGAGCGCGGTGGTGCTGGAGTGGGCGCCTCCCGGGCTCGAGAGGGCCGTGGTAAGAATCGTGGAGGCGGTGCTCGTGTAGTCTTTAGTCGACGACAACCGGGTGGAGTCTTAGTCGAGGCTTCGTCTGATTTTGAGATAAAAACAACAATAACTTTGTGGTGAATATTCTTCCGTCGCTAATTTCGTTTTCAAAATTAAATCGGCAACGAGGTGGCCAGGAGATGGCAGTGAGTATGACCCCCCCCCTCCCCCTTATGTGTGAATTTTCTTGGATTTCTCCCACATGAAGCCACTTATTAATGAAATTTTTGGCGATTCTGCATTGGCAGTGGTGCACAGGCACAAATAGCAACAAGAAACTCAATACGTTCATCAAGAGCACCGACCTGAAAAGCAAAACTAGACAAGAGGAGGCAATGCCCCTTTTTCAAAGCACACCGATGGTACTGATCAAGAACTGTCTTGAAATATCATCTTGAGACTCGATAAGACTTTCCTTATAAAATAATCATTATTATTATTAAGGATAGTCCCATTGCTTATGCAGTTTGTGTATTGAAGCGTGGGGGTAATATATCACCAATGACACGAAATCCGGTTGTTTTGCTTTAACCAGATATGGGCACATGCCACTGCAAAACTGTAACAAAGGACCTCGAGTGATTCTGGTCTCGTGAGGTCATATACAGTGCCCTACGCTCGGAGGTGGCAGATTCACAGTGGCAACGCTACGCCCTCCTCTGCTGAACCGAGCGCTGCCAACCTTTGCTCCGGGCCGCTCCTGCGTGCCATCGTTTACATTATCGAATCATTTAATCGCTCGCAAGAACAGATTGGGCGGGACGCTCTAAGTCGGCAGGCTTGAGCCAGTGATGGAAATTACACATTCTCGTGGCCGGGGTCAGTCTAGCCGTACGATGACCATAGGCGGGTGATGGTGGCGGTGATGGTGGTGATGGTGGTGCTGTTTGCCGGGCCGGTGCGTGCCGTTTGTGCTTTTCCCCTTGTCCTGACTGCAGCCGAGAATTGGAATGTATGAGATGTGGTGTAGGGCGCTTTGAGATCCTGGGGTATTTAATAGCCCTGTAAATGCACAATTGTGATCCCCACGATATGCTGAATTGACCGTTGAACCGGGATGCTAACTCACGACCTTCCGACTGCGGATTCCCGCCCGCTGATGACAGGGACGCCCAACGGGAAAACATCGCCGATGCCTCGCGAATCCAGCGGTGATGATGGTCCACCGAGTAATCCGGGAGTTGAGTTGAGGGACATATATGGCCCATGGGCTGGACCTTATTTCACATAGCCCGCCGGCCACATGAGGCCTACCACTTAAGATCGGCTCGCAAACGATATTTGTGCGTCCACTGCAAGCTGCATCTTAGCCGCACTAATTGGGTAAAAGATGGCAAAAGTGCAGCCCTGTAATTTATTGCTTGTGCCACTGCTGGCAGAAGGGTCTCTTGAAAGCCCCCTCGAGTGGGTATTTGGTGCTCCTCTTCCACGCCGATCAGACATCTTGGAATAGGAGTACTGTACGCATATATATCACCACCACACCACGACCTGCCGATTGACTTTAACTGTGGTGTCGCCATTTACACTGCTGGGTGGACAGAGGAGGTGCGGGGTAAGGTTTTGAGAAACTTGCTCCACCGTTTCAACCGCTGAGCCGGCAGATGGAAATCGAACTGGCGACCTCCGGATTGCAAGTCCGCTGTGTGAATCGTTAGCACCACGGCAGTTTTCGCACTAATTGGTTACTTGGGGAGAAAATATTTCCACCGTGGCAACACCGTGTTTGTAATATTTTAGTGCACTAAGTAAAGGTGAGCCCCCCCCGCTGTTTTCCTTGTTATGACTGGATAACGTCAAGGCCTGCGTTAATGTGTAGCCTGCCAAAGGTTATTTAACAGTCCTTATTTGGGCCACGGTAATGAGAAGGTTTTTCCCACCTCCTGGCATGAACTGTTCTACAACGGCGCTGCATTCCGGACGTACGTGCTCACCGTGAGTAAATGAAAGCAATCTCGACTGCGATGACTGACGCGCATCGAGACAGATCGAAATTAACACATTATTACAGAAAACTACGATTGTTCATAGCAAAGAGAGAGAGCAGAGGATTTAAACCGATCAAATCACCCACGACCTCCGAAGATAAGCGTGGCCGAGCATGGATATCATTACTACTACGCTTGTTTACACCGCATAGCCTGAGTCTCTTGACTCTTTTTCAGAAGGTTCCTGCTAAGTTTTTGCAGTTGGGGGCGACGATTGCTATGAGTAGTTGCTTGGATGTGTTACTTGGTTGGCAGCAGAGGGCGGTGCAGCAACGTCCAATATTCGACTTTACTTCTGAGGTCTCGCATCTGCTCCCCACCGGTCACTGACCCGCACGGACCAGCGCAGTGAAGTATGGTCACATAACCCCCCCCCCCGCAACCTGCACAGTGTTGTGAACAAAGATCCCCCGTATAGCCTTAACAGACTGTAGGGGCAAGTGCTGTTAGCGAGCACCTATGAAGGCCGGAACGGTACACGAGGGTGTAGGTGGCCAGCACCACGCCCGACCGCCTTTGTCTCCCCAGTGGCGATGTTTACACACCGCACTGGGCACTCATTTGAGGCTGAGTCGACCTAGGGGAGGCCCGGGACCGGTTCAGATAATCGTCAGTGGTGTTGACCGTGAGCGGGGATCGAACCCGGGTCGCCAGGTTTATAGTGCAGCGCGCTAACCGCTACACTATCGCTCCCCGCTGTGTTGTGAACAGGCCCTCATCCACCAGCAAATTGGCAAAAAGGGCCGTGCAGTTGAAAATATTTGCCCGGCTGAAGATTTCTCCTGCAGTATTTATGGCCGCACTGACGCTTGTTAAGGGTGGCCTTGTACAGGCTTCCGCACATTGTAAGTTAACCTCACAGCAACAACAGCACGGAGATCGTAGTGATTGTCGGCCTGTGATGTCCCCCCCCCCCCCCACCTGGGAGTCCACCCGTCTCTGTAAAATGACGACAAACCCCCCATCGTCACAACACGAGAATGCAACGTGCCGGCTGAGAACAAATACACGCTAAGGTGTGTCTGCTCCCAACCAGCGGGAATAATAATAATCATGTTCAGTTTTATATACAGCGTCGTAGTTCATGCAAATCTTTCTCAATCGCTGAGGAACCACAGACAAGCTTGAAGGCAGCCAGCACCAGAAATTGCCCGAACTCTGCAGTACTATATATTAAGATGCTTTTCAAGCAATTCACGATTGTTTATAAGTGTGGGGGGGGGGGGGGGGGAAACCGGAGCACTCGAAGTAAACCCACGCGTGCGAGGGGACAGCCCCTCTGTAACCATGCCGAAGGGACAGACGACATTCGTCTGTGCTCCGCCTTCTCCTGCAAAGCCAGGTTATGGCTCCGCCTGGATGCCCACGGAAAGGGAGTTCCGCAACATTTGTGAGATCCGCCAACCTTCATCTCGGCGGTGCTGGATTCCGGGCGTGCGCCACCGCCGCCGCCCGGTTAAGGAGGGGCACTCCGCCCCCCCCCCCCGTGCGCCCTGCATGCACGTCGTCATATGACCACCACGTTGCATGAAACCCCCCCCCCCCCCCCCCGTCAGCCTTGTCGAGACCACCAACTCTAAAGAGCCGTCTGAAGGGAATGGCCGGAGGCGGTGATCTGAAAGATAAATACGGCCATGTTTTCAGGTTGGACTCTGACGCTTCAAAGCGCACACGAGAGTCACCCGGAATGCGCCCAACCTCGTCGGGGGCAAAGCAGGGTTCAGCCCGCAAAGTTTTTTGGATGGGCAACCGGCGCGCGTAAGCAAATTATCCGGGGGGGATGCTGCGCTGTGTTGGCAGTGGTCTACGAGCGCGACCAACAAAAAAGGCTCGGCGCCTTGCGTAAAGAACGCCCCTTGAAAGGGAAAAATATCTATAGAGTCGTCCCTCGGTTAACAGAGACATCGGTTCGCGGTTTTTTCAGTTGACGTTTTGCCTCCCCCGAGGACTCCAGGGTTTCGACTCGCATTTTAATTTACGGTACGTTTACTTTAAGCCCGTGGGCGCCTATTTCGGCCAATCCGAGCGCTCGTAAGCAGGGCTGAGCCATGCCCTCAGCCAATCAGCGACGTCCATTTGTGAGCATTTTCACCTCCACTGTTTACGTTATGTTTTGGCTGTGGAAATGGCTCTCTTGCAGAATTATTTTCAATGGCCCCTAAAGTTAATTCGCAAGAGGAGTAGCCTCAAAACAAAGCAGGATGCTTTGTTTTGAGGCTAACGGTAGTTTTCGTGGAACGGATTAAAAAGGTTAACTGAGGGTCTACTGTAAGGGGAGACGTTTTGGGCAATGCCCCTTCCCCATAGCAAATGAGAGGGGGTAGGGCCATTGCCCAATTCATCACCTGTGATATATAATTCAGCACCCTGGTGGGCATTAGAAGGCAGTACGGAAAAACCCGTTGCGCTGTACTTTCTGTGCTCCCACGTTTACCATTCTCCACTGACTAACAATGTTGAAAAATGTTAGAATAAGCCGCTTTTTGTGTTTAGTTTGTTGTCCTTCCTCCGCACCTTCGATGCGCACGATTGCCTACGCACGGTACGAAAGAAGTTCAACATACATATGCACCTCCAGTTATCACGTGTGCCTACGTACGGTGCGAAAGAAGTTCAACACATACGACCCGCATGGCATGGGGAGGCTCCTCGACCGGCAGTGGAGCGACAAAAAGGGCTGCATATCTGCAAAGCATACGAGTGAGATCGCATCTCGTGACACGCGCACAAGGGGAAGATGTGCGATGCATTTTGCACGGCGCGTGGTGGAGCAAGGACTTGTGAAGGCGAGCTGCTGCCACGGCCGGGTGGCGCGGTGGTAACTCGTGCCTCGCGGCAAGAAGGACATCGATTCGATGCTCGACACGAGCACTTTTCTGTTTGGAGTTTTGGATGTTCTCAACTATTCTGCATGGGTTTCCTCCGGGTGCTCTGGATTCTTCCAATGGCCAAACCCCCCCCCCCCCCCCCCCCCCACACACATTGTAACTGGTATTGGCCAAAACATCCCAATGCTGCAAATGTACCTGCAAATTACTCTGTTGGGATTACTCCCCCCCCCACCGCACCTCCGATTAGCACGGTTGGCTACGTACGGTGCGAAAGAAGTTCAACATACATACTCCTAGTAACAGCGGCTCCTAGTAACCTGGTCGGACTTTCCTAAAATAATTATAATCTTGAGATTCTCAGTAAGACTTTCCTGGGTGAACATCGCAAATAATAAAAGAACAAATATGCACCGTGACATCTCCGACTCCCTCTCCACTTCTGCCATCCTGCAGGCGCGGCGCTACATCGAGCTGCTGCCCAGAGACAAGCAGCCCATCGAGGGCAGCCAGGGCGCCATGTATCGGCGCAGGCAGCTGGCCAGGCAGCTCCCAGAGCACGACCAGGACCCCAGCAGGTGAGGCTCACGCTTCCGATGACGATGTATCACAGCCACAGATGTTGCTAAGCACGTTTACAGCCTGCACTCGCTTAGATCCTGGGTTCGAATCCGGGTAAACTCCTGCGATTAAACTGGCCTTTCAGGTCTATTGAGTTGATGGTTTCTAAATTAATTAATATCGGCAACACACCTCCTTCATAGATCTCTCCGGTCTCAGCTTGGCCACAGTTGACAGCACAACAAAACCTTCGGGCTTAAGTTTTGTCTGGACTTAATTTGTCTACACTCCCGTCTGGGAGAATTAAATATATCGGTCATGTGACGGACGTTCCGCTCAGAGGCAGGGCGGATGGGAAAGTGCTGCCCCCTATTGTGTGTGCAATAGAGGTCACTTGCAGGGAACTTGCAGGCACCTCTGCGGTATCCACCTCCATGGGCAGCTCTTCAATGTGTCGGGTTCGCACTGTGCTCTGTGAGTCTACCGGTTGGATTCTTCGTCTCGACGTGACGTGATGCTGACAGCACAGCCAGGATAACATTTGGGGCAAATAATAAACAGGTTGACGACGGGCGTCTCGCGCAGGTGCCACGACCTCTCTGCGGCCGAGGTGAAGCAGATGGAGGAGTTTGTCAAGAAGTACAAGGCGGAGGCGCTGGGTGTCGGGGATGTTATGCTGCCCCACCAGGTGCTGCTCATCCAGGGTGGTGCCGGTGGCGGCTTTACCCATGGCATGGGCCCAGGGGCCACAGGCTCTGCGAGTTCAGCGCACGGCAGTGGCGCCGGCGGCGGTGGTCATACCTCTGCACCGCCGGTCGGTGGCGAGCTCGCCGGAGGAGCGGCCGACAGCCCGTCCCGCAAGAGGGTCACGGCGTCTCTCTTCATCGCGGGGAGGAAGCCCGGAGCCGGCGCTGCTGACCAATCGCAAGCGAACAACGAGGGCTTGTCTGGCCAGTCGGGAGCCGCAGGCCTGAAGAGTGGCTCATGGAACCAGGCAGCAGGTGGAGGGTCAAGCCAGAGGGGTGGTGCTGGTGCCAGCGGTGGTTTTGGTAGTGCCACTGGTGGTGGTATTGCTGGTGCTGGTGTTGCTGGCGGTGCTGGTGCCAGCGGTGGTTTTGGTAGTGCCACTGGTGGTGGTGGTGCTGGTGCCGCTGGTGGTGCTGGTGGTGGTGCTGGTGGTGGTGCCGGCGGTGGTGCCGGTTGGGTTGGAGGTTCAGCTGCCTTTGCCCAAGCAGCTGGGGAAGCTTCCGCCGGTGAAAGAGGAGTCGGAGATGGAGCAGCACAGGCGCAGAGAGACTATGTAAGTCGTGGCACCTCTGGCGAATGTAATAATCCGTGAGTGGCATTTAATAATTATTCACCCACCCCATCCACAATCCTTGCATTCTTGTGATTCATGGTTCAGGATCCATTATTCCGTTAAAAACTATTTTCATTATGTTTTCCATTGTGGTGAATGTCACACCTCACAGATGCATGAAGAGAATGTCTCGATAAAACCCACAGACTTGGCTTCCCCAGACGTCGTCCCTGCGTGTGTGTGTTGACAAATGAACACTGCTGCCTCTCCCCTCCCCTCCAACTGCCATTCCCTAGCGCTGCAACCGCTGCAAGCAGCCGATGCAGCAGGGCGACCCCGCGGTGTTTGCGGAGCGCGCCGGCTCGGAACACCTGTGGCACCCGGGCTGCTTCTGCTGCTCGGCGTGCGATGAGATCCTCGTCGACCTCGTCTACTTCTGGAAGCGCGGGAAGCTCTACTGCGGCCGCCACTACTGCGACACGGAGCGGCCCCGCTGTGGAGGCTGCGACGAGGTCTCCGCCGCGCCGTGGTTCCTCTCCGCGGCCGTGTTCTCACTGCGTGCGCGCGCGCGCAGAGTGGCCTAGCAGTTCCCATCCCGTGGGTACTAAGGGGTGCAGTGTAAACATCGCCACGAGGGAGACAAAGGCGGCCGGGCGTAGCGCTGGCCACCCCACCCCACCTCGTGTGCCGTGCCGGCCTTCGTTAGGTGCTGCTCGCTAACGGCACTTACCCCAGCAGTCTCTTAAGGCTATACGGGGGGGACCTTTGTCTTTGTTGTTTGTGTGGACACAGTTGATATTCTCCAAGGAGTACACGCAGGCGGAGGAGCAGAACTGGCACCTCAAGCACTTCTGCTGCTTCGAGTGTGACTGCGTTCTTGCCGGAGAGATCTACGTGATGGAGCAAGATAAGCCCGTTTGCAAGCCCTGCTACATGAAGAAATACGCACGGGTACGCCACGCCACACCACGCCGTAGCCGCTCGGCCGCCGCACCTGGCAGCCGGTGGGGGGGCGGGGGGGGGGGGGGCTCAGCCCACGTTGTTTGATGTCCGACGTTTCGCCGCACGTGAGCTCGGAGTTGCCGGATAAAGCTCCCTTGCATGTGGGGCGAAGCGTCGGTACGTCGTGCCGAACAACACGCGGGGTGCAGCTGGACAAATCCACATCGGAGGGTTCAAGTGATTGGCCGTTGTGATGTGGACCGATTTGCATTGCGCCCCTGGCGCAAGGAATTAAATGGGCATCCCTGTCTCCTGCCTCATTTCATCCCCGCTTTGTGGCCCTGCGCCTGATCCATTCAGGCCCGTGGGCCCTGGTGCAGTTGCACCGCCTGCACACTCGATGTAGTGGTTAGTGCAATGCGATTCCTGGCCACGGCTAACAAGCTGTGGTGAGCACTATCTGAAGCGGTCCCGAGCCTGACCCTTTCACCAAAACCCGCGTTGACCAGCGTGGTGAAATGTGGTTAAACAACTCCCCGTGACCAATGTGGAATGGAAAAAGGCCTTCATCTGTCAATAGGTTTATAATAGGATGTGCATGTTTATGAAATGTTGATCATTTTCGGTGTCTCTGACATGGCCATTATTATAAACCCGTTTGAGGGGGGACAACCGAGCTCAGTGGATTGAACTCCTTGCCTGACATTGTGTCCCTTGAGTAGAGGTGGCTGGGTGGCTCAGACGTCAGATCACCAGGCTGGCACCACTGAGAGCTTGAGTTCATATCCAGGCGGCCGCTTGTGATTGAACCTGATTCTTAAGTCTTTTTAGTTGCTGGTCTCTGCTCAGTCACCAATGACTGCACGAAAAAGCGTCACGTGAAATGTTGGTTCTGGACAATTTGGCTGTGTGGCAAAGGGCTGCCCCCTACTGACAGACTAGGTTGCAGCACTTTCCCACCCATACAATTTAAGTCCTGCATGAGTTATTCGATATCCACTTACATGGGCTGTTCTCTAACATGAAGGGTTGCACTGCTCTGCAAGGGAGACGAATTGGTGGATACCTTATCTCACGACACGACACTGATGGCCAATGTTCCTTTTCTCCAGATTTTTGGCGAAGATGCGTTGATCTGTCCCATCGCCAACGATGGCACAGATTAGCGAGGCGATGCGTTTTCGGGAAAGGTGCGAATCTCTTCCCGGCAAGTTTCGTGCATCAACATTAACGTCAATTTCTCATCCTCGCTGTCTTTCTCTCCCCTGACTTCTCACCGGCCTGGCAGTCATGCCAGTCTTGCCAGGGCAGCATTGAGCCGGAGGCTCAGCGCGTGACGCTGGGGGAGTTCAGCTGGCACGCCGATCCCACCTGCTTCCTGTGCTCCTGCTGCGGCATCCCGCTCGTCGGACTGCGCTTCCTGCCGCACCAGGCCATGATCTTCTGCTCCGCCGACTGCCGTGGCAAGGTCGTGGGCTGAGCCCCACGGAAGGGCTTTTTTGGAGAGGCCTTCATTCAGCATTGGATCGATAATGGGTGACGATTTTACGTATCTGTGGGTCGCGTGTTGAGCATTTCTTCGCTCAAGCTTTCGCCGCACGCGACTGGGGGCGTCTTCGGGGCTCAACACGCGGCCCAACCAAGAAAACCGCACTTGAATCGTGGCTGAAGTTGGCGATTTTGGGACGTGTAATCAATTTTCGATTGCCGAGTACTTGAGGCTTTTAGCAGCGGCATGACGTGACCCCATGCGTGGCGTTGTCATGACGCTAACCGTGTGGTGGGAATGTAAAAAAAGAATAGTTAAAGGTTATAAAATGCACGATATGTTGAATAGTAATTTTTAGAACTTCAAGTACTTGGTGACCGTAGGTTGATTACTTTGAAGTCATCACAGCAATGTAAATTACTAATTACATAGCGGCGGCTGGGAAAAATGGATGATGTTTTTACGTATGAGGTGTGGTCAAAAAGCTTGTGAAAATAATTTTATCACAAATTAATTGGTGATACTATGTCAGTTGTAGTGCTCAAGGAGAGTTAACAGAAAAAAAACATTTGTCAAATAACACCGTGTGGGCTTAATATGAAATATATATAATTGGCGAAGTTTTGGGTAATGATCTTCTTCGTGTGCTCTGGCGAAGGGCTTTCGCTGGTAACATCACCTATTGTAGATATTTTCCTAACAAGGCAGTCTTTTTTTTGTCTTGTACGTAATAGTTTCTAATATGTGGGTCTCCCCTTTCAAAGGCGTCTCTTTTGCTGCACAGCGACTGCCCCAGTTGAACACGGAATTCTGCGTCGACGTCATTGCTCGGTCTACACGCGTTAACCCATCACGTGATTCCAAACTCGCACTGACGGGACCTGCGGTGCGACTGGCCCCGCCGAAGCACACGACTGCGTTCACACAATTGAGGAGGTGGTAACGATGATGATCCAGGTTACATATTAGCAAGAAGCCCCCAGGCCATTTATTTAACTCCCTATTATCGTGATAAAATGATTTCGTGAGCTTTTGGATTAGCCCTCGTGGGTAAAATGTTAAGTAATGCCAAGTCAAGTTCTGTGTGGGCATTGCATCGCTGCAACTGTTCTGTTTTCTGGGTGAATGTTCCTGATCAGTTTTTATTTTTTTCATGAACGAGGCGGCGTTGGCTGTGGATCTGTGGCTATTGATGTGTAACCCTTTTTCGGAGCCTACAAAACACGCTGAGGGTTCACGTTTTAGTTCCGGATGGTCACGGAGCCAGGCTGACACTTTTTTTCCATTAAGAAGTAAATCGAACTCGGTTTATTCAAATAGGATATTTAAAAAATAAGATTTAAGCAAATTTTCATTTCACAAAATAGACTTGTTTTTCCTGAGCAGCCACTACTAGTATCGTCTACTGTCATTTAGGCACTGCTTTCACAGTAGCCTTGTGATTACAGCTGTCAGCAATTGGTTGGAATGTCACGTGTGTTTTATTCCTATTATTAATAGGCTAAGCACTTGAGTGCAGTTTTTAAAGGTAATAATTAACATTTTTATCCTGGTGATGATTAGGGTACGGTTTTGTGGGAGCACATTTACATTGTTAAACGCATGACGAAGATTGAAAACGATCTTTTATTAAAAGGCTTTATGACTCTCAGGGTTCAGAGCGAATTCGGGAGGCTCGCAGAACCAGACTAAGGCTCTGTATTTTAAGTGTCGAATGCTAATTCCTTCTGCTCATGAAACCGGAATAAGGCTCACCGGCGATCATTACAGTTTGGTGCCCAATGCTGAGGTTCACAGGACCAGGCTAAGACTTCCTTCGGGATCACTAGTTCATGTTATTTCCTGAGGCTCACAGGGACCAGAATCAGGAACCCCATTAGATTTATCAGAGTTCAGCGTGAAAGATTGTTGGTTGCCCTGTTTCTTTCCCTCTCAATACTCTTTTTTTTTTTGCTCATTCGAAAAACGATGGGTGAAATGTATCTTGCGGTTTATTTTGGTGCACAAACTAGCACGTGTTAGGGGTGTTTTTTTTTACTATTTTTAATTTAGCGGTTGTGTAATTCTACGCGGCGTTGCATAACTACTGGTTAGCACATCACTGCTTTACGTTGGTGAATAATAATAATGGTGTTGGCGTTATTAGTAAAGACGAGTGAGGGGTGAGGGTGTAATGTTTGGCTGTCTTGTGAATGTAAAAAAAGGTCTTCTGTTATGGTGCACAAAATTGGATAGCAATACACTGGGCATCAGGTTTCATTCTTTAAGAATGTGAAACAAGGAAAGTTCCTCTTTCATTATGCACTGTATCTGCTGAGTTACCGTCAACTGAGTGCCTTCACTGCAACTTGAACATACCCTAGGCCTTACACGGTTTTGCCTTTGTTTTTTTTAGCACTTGCACGTTTTTGGAGCAAACTAATTTAAGGTTACGTGTGAAGGTAATTAAATGTAAGGGACAAGCTTGTTTCAGAAATGTTATTTTTTTTGTTCTTAACATTCTCGTGCAGGAAAGACAATCCAGTAAAAAAAGTTAAATCGCAAATTGCCAGGCCATGGTCGTTTACACCTGTGATTAATCATTTTGGTGGAAAAGGTTAGTGTATCACATAGAAATTTGTGAAATTCAAACCCTCTGGGCTAAAAGGTGGCCAGGCAGTGAAGCAAGCGGTTGGTGTGAGTGTGTGCTTACCATTGAGTGTTATCCTGTCGTACACTCTAGGTTTTCTCTGCCACATACTCCAAATGCAGGCCCCATCGTGAACAATAATCTTGATATTCAGTGAGGCTTTGCTTGATGAAGAAAAGTAATAACATTTTAGCAATCTCACTGCCTTTGCAATTTCACTGCTGACTGAATTACCCTCATGCCTTGCGGGTAGTGAGGGTTATCTGTCTGACCCTGCCCATAATGTAGCCCAGCCACCTATAAAACCTGTTTTTAAACGCAACCAGACTCAACTCTGCCTAGCTTATGACATCTGACGCCAGAAATGAAGATGTCTTCCTGCTCAAATGACCAATGAAGGGGGTCGTGCATCTCCATCAGCCGCCCTGAACCAGTGATGGGAATTCCACGTTCATGTGACAAAACATGTCAGGTCCTAGTTTAAATAACTGGAGTATGAATGAAGTGTACTGTATTGTACTTTATCACGGACATGTGCTATTTGAGGGATTTCTTTTTTGTCGTCGGGTATGGCGTTTTATGTGTGGGTTATAAAAAAAATAAAGGTATGGTTTGATTTTCAAACATTGTCGATTGCCAACGTGCTTTAAAATACGTCTGTGCGAGCCATCCGTTGGAACCCCAAATCGGTGGGTATCAACCAAGATCACAATCTGCCGCGTTCAAATGCTTCCACTGGCTCCCCCCCCCCCCCATCATCGATCTACGGACTAAGTTCAAGATTGCCGTCGCTTTGTCATGGTGCTCTCATGCATGATCTTTAACATATTATCTTCCCGTCCTACTCAAATACATGGCCCTTCAACAAACCCAAGGACCTAATTCCTCAACCTGCTTGCTGTCTCCCAAATCAGGGCCGTGTTATCCAAAAGGCCACAGTAGGCACTGTCTAGGGCCTACGCAAACTAAAAGGGCCTAGGAAAAAAAATGTGACCATGTTTTTTTGTTGTTTGTATGATAACAAAAATGGAGCCAAGATATCTTCTTGAATGAATATATTTATATAGCAAGGATTGGCACTGTTTATACAAAGAGGCAGTCATGTCAATCAGTTTCTTTCATAAGGTGAGAGAAATTATGACTGAAGATGACCCTTTCGATTTTTTTCATTGCAAAATTATCAAATAACATCTTCAAATAGTGTTTCTCGCACAATCTCATTCTCGTTAGAGAATAGCGCAAGAGAGAAGAGACAAGGCGGAATCACTGAAGTTATCACCGAAGGCCCTACAAGAACCTACTGAATCTGGCCCTGTCTCAGACCAAGACTGCTCTTGCCAAGGGCACCGTTTCTCCGTGGCTGCTGTCATCATTGGGTCAGCCCCGCAATAGAAAGGCAGGAGCTCTCGGCGAGGTCCCCCAAGATATTCGGATCCCCTTCTAAGTATGCACAGCAAGGCCGTAGCTATGGAGTCAACATTGGGGGGGGGGACCAAATCTTCCAGGGTGTCTGGGGGTCCCAAGCCAGAAAAAAAAATATCTAAATTTGAAAAATAATTTCCTGCCTAAGATATTTTAAAATTCACTAACACATGGATCTTCTTTGGTTCTTTCGGTAAAGTCACGTAGAATGAGAATAAAATAATAAAATAACACATTAATAAAATAACCCAATACAAATTATTTTATTGTGTTATTTTATTATTTTATTCTCATTCTACGTGACTTTACCGAAAGAACCAAAGAAGATGAATCCTTGCAGTCACGAAAGCTTTAAATCGAAACATGGGATGGACTTTTTATTTATTTACAATGTCGAATAGTGTATTGTATTACATTGCTGTTTTTACTTTTTTCCATTTCTTGTTTCATTGTATGTAATGGCAGAGATTAGGGATTCATAAAGTACAACCATAACCACAATCATATAAACAGAAATCTACGCATTGATTTATATGAAGACAAGTCCAGATATTGTGGCCAAGGTTTAGCAAATTGTTTTTATTTAGATAGCACAGCAATTCATTTTTATACCAAAATATTGGTGGGGGGGGGGTACATTTTAAGCATATTTGAATATTGGGGGGGATGTCTATTATAATAACGGACTTGATGCACAGGAACTCCGAGGTATGAAGACTCATTTCCACTGTTGGGGCTGGATCTTGATGGGGGGACATGAACCCCTGGTGGGAAGGAATACGCACACATGTCAACTCATTATCAGTGCCCTACCTTATTACAGACCAATTCAGACCTTATCGGTCACCCCGTGCCCCTTAGAAATCTCAACGTCCATCCTACAAAGAAACACAAATAGACAAAAAAATAGTATTTGCCCCTTTTGAAACGACTGTACGCTGTTTGGACCTGAATACTATAATTTCCCTGCACAAGAAGACGGAGTAAACCGTATGGGTTGACAGTATGAATACGCTGTACAGTAACATTAACAGTACAATATTATTAGTAGTTAAAAAAAAACACAAATATAAACGAAAAATCATCGGGCACGTGGAAGGGGCAGGAGGCTGCGTTGCGCAAGCGGCGATGAGGAGGCGAGGGGGGTGATGAGAATGAAATAGCAGCGGCAGGAAGAGGAGGAAGAGGAGGAGGAGGAGGAAGAGACGATTTGAGGAAGGGAGAATGAGAAGCGGGAGAGAGGATCGTGTTTACGACTTGCGCACAGATCCGGTGTGGGGGGGGGGGGGGTGAAGGTGAAGAGGTGGGGTCTGAGGAGTGGAGAGTAGGAGACGTGATGAAGAGGAGTGAGGAAGAGGAGTGGAGAGTAGGAGACGTGATGAAGAGGAGGAGTGGAGAGTAGGAGACGTGATGAAGAGGAGGAGACAGAGGAGGAGGAGTGGAGAGTAGGAGACGTGATGAAGAGGAGGAGTGGAGAGTAGGAGACGTGAGGAAGAGGAGGAGGAGACAGAGGAGGAGTGGAGAGTAGGAGCCGTGATGAAGAGGAGGAGACGTGATGAAGAGGAGTGGAGAGTAGGAGACAGAGGAGGAGGAGTGGAGAGTAGGAGACGTGATGAAGAGGAGTGAGGAAGAGGAGGAGTGGAGAGTAGGAGACGTGATGAAGAGGAGGAGACAGAGGAGGAGTGGAGAGTAGGAGACGTGATGAAAAGGAGGAGGAGACGTGATGAAGAGGAGGAGACAGAGGAGGAGGAGTCTCGCTGCTTCTCATTACTGCCCCAACGAGAGCGACCCCTGGGTTACCGCTCAGCCTCACATCGAAGTCTCGGCCTCTGTCTCTCTACCCCGGGGTCCCTGGCTCCCCCCGCGTCCCCCTCATCACCCCCGGGGTCCCTGGCTCCCCCCGGGTCCCCCTCTACCCCAGGACCCCCCCAGGACCCCCCCGACCCCCACACCTCACCGCCGTCTCCTCGCTCGCACCGCCGCCTTCCCGACGCGGGCGGAGCGGCCTCGGGGCCTGGGGTGCTCTGTGTGGGGGTCTGTGTGGGGGTCGGTGTGTAGTGTGTGGTGGTGTGTAGTGTGTGGGGGTCTGTGTGTGGGGGTGTGTGTGGGGGTCGGTGTGTGGTGTGTGTGTGGGGTGTGTGTGTTGGTGTGTGTGTGGGGTGTGTGTGTGTGGGGTGTGTGAGGTGTGTGTGTGTTGGTGTGTGTGTGTGTTGGTGTGTGTGTGGGGTGTGTGTGTTGGTGTGTGTGTGTGTTGGTGTGTGTTGGTGTGTGTGTTGGTGGTGTGTGTGTGGTGTGTGTGTTGGTGTGTGTGTTGGTGTGTGTGTGTGGTGTGTGTGGTGTGTGTGTTGGTGTGTGTTGGTGTGTGTGGTGTGTTTGGTGTGTGGTGTGTGTGGTGTGTTTGGTGTGTTGGCGAGCCGGGCTCCTGCCCGCGATGTCGGAGCGGGACGGGTGGCCCTTGCAGGGCGCCATGAGGATGGTGAAAGCGGCCGTGCAGCTCGACGCCGAGGGGAGAGCCCTGGTGAGCGAAGGGGATCGGGATCGGGGGTTCCATTCGTATCGGTTACGGTGGGCTAGGGGCTTGACAGAACCCTTGGGGTGTATCAAGGGGATGGTGGTAGCGAGGTTGGGGCTCACTACCCGATCCATACCAAACACCTGTGGAAAAGAGCTTTGTTGCTCATCGGATTTCTCCTGCACTCTTAAATAGAATGTCCCGATTGTAAGGGATGGGGATGACGGAGTGCTGGAACAAGATGATCCCCAACAGTCGGGACGCATGGTTATCTTGGTTTATTTTTACACTGGCATTAAAACAAAATAGCGTCGTTTATTCTTTAAGTTAATGTTTAATCTGTTATCGTTGTTCGTATCTAAACATTGTTCAGCCTTCCTTTTCAGATGACATTTAAAAGTGGAAAGACAATTTGACCAAAGACGAACGAGTTCAATTCACGTTTATGTATGCCAAAGAAGGCAGCTGTAATATTTAAAAACAAAGTCCTAAATTAATTTCAGAAGATAATTCAAGCATGCATTAATGTAAATGGAATTCAGTCCGAACATGTTGTTATAATGCATGAAATAATCCCGATGTGATTTGTTCAAATAATATAATCGCCCTACGTGCCCTGACTTTTGGGCCATCCTGTATAGTTCTGGATGTGGTAGGATGAGTAGGCACTGTGCCTAGCGCCTACTCACCCAGCCACCCACTCACCTACTCACCCAGCCACCCAGTCACCTACTCACCCATTCAACCACTCACCCAGCCACCCACTCACCTACTCACCCATTCACCCACTCACCCAGCCACCCACTCACCTACTCACCCAGCCACCCAGCCACCCACTCACCTACTCACCTACTCACCCATTCACCCATTCACCCACTCACCCAGCCACCTACTCACCTACTCACCCAGCCACCCACTCACCCACTCACCCATTCACCCACTCACCCAGCCACCTACTCACCTACTCACCCAGCCACCCACTCACCCATTGACCCACTCACCCACTCACCCATTCACCCACTCACCCAGCCACCTACTCACCCAGCCCCCCACTCACGCAGCCACCCACTCACCCATTCACCCACTCACCCATTCACCCACTCACCCATTCACCCACTCACCCAGCAACCTACTCACCCACTCACCCAGCCACCCACTCACCCAGCCACCCACTCACCCTTTCACCCACTCACCCATTCACCCACTCACCCATTCACCCACTCACCCATTCACCCACTCACCCAGCAACCTACTCACCCACTCACCCAGCCACCCACTCACCCAGCCACCCACTCACCCTTTCACCCACTCACCCATTCACCCACTCACCCAGCCACCCACTCACCCACCAGGGCCGTATTATCCAAAAGGCCACAGTAGGCACCGTGCCTAGAGCCTACAAAAACAAATGTAACCATGTTATTTTGTTTGTATGATAAAAAATGTAACCAACATATCTTCTTGACTAAATATATTTATAAAGCAAGGATAGGCACAGTGTATATACACAGAGGCAGAATCATTGCAAAATTAGCAAATGACACCTTCAAATTGTGTTTTTCGTACAGTCAAGCGAATGACCGGCGGCAGCAGTGCCAGCTGTAGAGAGTTATCACTGAAAGCCCTCGAAACACAAGTGTCCAGGGTTTACAAGAACCTTCATCCGGTCCTGCTAGAGGGGGGAATCGCCTTCTACCTGGCAACCCGGGGTGCATGTTCAATCAATTAATTTGTTCGTGCTCCCAGCCGATGTGTGACACCACAGGGCGGCCCTGTCCAAGTGAGAGACAGGGAATGTCCCGTGCCCTGCTGTTAGAGTGGAGCCAGCCTCCCAATGCATCTTAGAGTCCTTCCTATTCGATCCCCAACAAGGGAAAAAAAAGTTTCCCCACGCATATTATACCGTAGGCCATGTGTGGTATTGAACAACTAATGTTGAGATGTATAAGATGTGTATGTAGGGGATGGGGTGTGTGGGGGGGTATAGGAAAATGTGGTTATCTTTGGGGTGTGTACGACTCTTAGGGTGTTGATGTGTCAAACGTAGGAGGTGTGTGTAGGAGTATACAGTGAGGGAAAAAAGTATTTGATCCTCTGCTGATTTTGTACGTTTGCCCACTGACAAAGAAATGATCAGTCTATAATTTAAATGGTAGGTTTATTTCAACAGTGAGAGACAGAATAACAACAACAAAATCCAGAAAAACGCATGTCAAAAATGTTATAAATTGATTGGCATTTTAATGAGGGAAATAAGTATTTGACCCCTCTGCAAAACATGACTTAGTATTAGATTTGAAGCTTTCGTGACTGCAAGGATCCATACTCATTGGTTCTATTCGGTAAAGTCACGTAGGTAAAAAAAAGAGCATGACTTAGTACTTGGTGGCAAAACCCTTGTTGGCAATCACAGAGGTCAGACGTTTCTTGTAGTTGGCCACCAGGTTTGCACACATCTCAGGAGGGATTTTGTCCCACTCCTCTTTGCAGATCTTCTCCAAGTCATTAAGGTTTCGAGGCTGACGTTCGGCAACTCGAACCTTCAGCTCCCTCCACAGATTTTCTATGGGATTAAGGTCTGGAGACTGGCTAGGCCACTCCAGGACCTTAATGTGCTTCTTCTTGAGCCACTCCTTTGTTGCCTTGGCCGTGTGTTTTGGGTCATTGTCATGCTGGAATACCCATCCACGACCCATTTTCAATGCCCTGGCTGAGGGAAGGAGGTTCTCACCAAAGATTTGACGGTACATGGCCCCGTCCATCGTCCCTTTGATGCGGTGAAGTTGTCCTGTCCCCTAAGCAGAAAAACACCCCCCAAAGCATATTGTTTCCACCTCCATGTTTGAGGGTGGGGATGGTGTTCTTGGGGTCATAGGCAGCATTCCTCCTCCAAACACGGCGAGTTGAGTTGATGCCAAAGAGCTCCATTTTGGTCTCATCTGACCACAACACTTTCACCCAGTTGTCCTCTGAATCATTCAGATGTTCATTAGCAAACTTCAGACGGGCATGTATATGTGCTTTCATGAGCAGGGGGACCTTGCGGGCGCTGCAGGATTTCAGTCCTTTACGGCGTAGTGCGTTACCAATTGTTTTCTTGGTGACTATGGTCCCAGCTGCCTTGAGGTCATTGACAAGATCCTCCCGTGTAGTTCTGGGCTGATTCCTCACCGTTCTCATGATCATTGCAACTCCACGAGGTGAGATCGTGCATGGAGCCCCAGGCCGAGGGAGATTGACAGTTCTTTTGTGTTTCTTCCATTTGTGAATAATCGCACCAACTGTTGTCACCTTATTACCAAGCTGCTTGGCAATGGTCTTGTAGCCAATTTCAGCCTTGTGTAGGTCTACAATCTTGTCCCTGACATCCTTGGAGAGCTCTTTGGTCTTGGCCATGGTGGAGAGTTTGGAATCTGATTGATTGATTGCTTCTGTGGACAGGTGTCTTTTATACAGGTAACAAGCTGAGATTAGGAGTACTCCCTTTAAGAGTGTGCTCCTAATCTCAGCTCGTTACCTATATAAAAGACACCTGGGAGCCAGAAGTCTTTCTGATTGAGAGGGGGTCAAATACTTATTTCCCTCATTAAAATGTTAATCAATTTATAACATTTATAACATGCGTTTTTCTTGATTTTCTTGTTGTTATTCTGTCTCTCTCTGTTCAAATAAACCTACCATTTAAATTATAGACTGATCATTTCTTTGTCAGTGGGCAAACGTACAAAATCAGCAAGGGATCAAATACTTTTTTCCCTCACTGTATACAGTCGTTGTGCGCATTGTACATGGCGGTCCAGATGTCTTGTGACCCCAATTTCACGTTATCAAACTTAATATTTTTTTAAACAGGAATGCATATGCAAAGGAACAAAACTGTTAGGGGTCAATTAATTGGGGGGGGGGGGGGTGTCAGAAGACATCTGCATCACCCTGCATTACATGAAAACTCAATAATGTTATGAGTTAGTACTGTAGTTTAAAATAATCGAATTGTGTACGATTATTTTGTTAATGATTTTCGATTGTCATTACAGACATTTTTACGTGCGCTGTTACCATAAAAAACACACAACGTTGTATAGTACAATGTTGTGTTGGGCATGTATCTCGTATAGGAAATCACCGTGCATTCAACCCTCGAGTTTATTACAGACTTGTCATTCTGCATAGGCTTAGTCTACTGTCCCCATGTTTTAGATGTGCGGGCAGATATGTACGTTAGGTACAGTACCACCCCTAACATGAAATTCTTATGCTTAACCTTAAAACCTTGTTCCTGACCCCTAACCATTGACTCCTATTGCTAATTATTAACTGCATCTTAATCCTGAGCCCACAAAACCCAACGCCTAACCCCTAAAGACTGACTTATAATCCAACACCCTTACCCTTATCCCAAAACCCTACCCTTAAATCACAACCCCATATCTCTAACCACTAACTCCTAACTCTATAACGCTAACGCGTACACCCTGACCCCTAAAGACTGACTTATAATCCAACACCCTAACCCCTTATCCCAAAACCCTACTCTTAAATCACAACCCCATATCTCTAACCACTAACTCCTAACTCTAAAACGCTAAGGCGTACACCCTAACCCCTAACGACTGACTTATAATCCAACACCCTAACCCCTTATCCCAAAACGCTACCCTTAAATCACAACCCCATATCTCTAACCACTAACCACCAACTCCTAACTCTAAAAAGCTAACGCATACACCCTAACGGCCTAACCCCTACCCATAAAGCTGTAAAACGAAACAGCTCCCAATCTTAACCCCTAAATCTTAAGTTTTAAACAACACACAAAAACGTGTAACCCTAAACCCTAACGCCTTAACCCTACACAAAAAAAAACTATTTAAATGACATCCCTTAACTACTGTATTTCATGAACTGACACTCAAGAAATCCCTGTGGTCTAAAAATGTGGTCTATCAGTTAAGACAAATCTGTGGTGAGGGCATTCGTAGTGCCAGAGGCTCAGATTTTTCGTCGTCTCTTCTCTAGAAGGGAGCAGAAGATTCCGAGAGAGGAAGGTTTGTAGAGTTGTCTTGGCTACTCCATTCACTCTGATGTACAGAATTCACACTTAGGCCTTAAGATAGATAGATCAGATAGATAGGTAGATCCTTTATTGTCATTGTCACCAGTACAACGAAATTTAAAGTGCTCACCAGTCAGTACATCATTCATAAATTTAAATAAAACAAGAAATAAAATAAAAGATAATCAATAAATTTTATATATAAAAACTACCCAAGTATACCCACATACCCACATAAAAGTACACTTTATCATTGCACATCCTTATTTTACAGTCAGTTGTATACAGTATTACTTAGTAATTAATTAGCAGTATTGAGTGTGGTAATTGCTGTAGGATAAAAGCTGTGTTTGAATCTGTCCTTGTTTTGACTGATCTGAATCGTCTGCCTGATGGCAACGGCTCAAACAGAGAGTGTCCAGGGTGAGAAGAGTCCTTTATAATGTTCTTCGCTTTTTCGATATTCTCGGCTACACATGAATCTTCCATTAACTTTTTGAACAAGGAATAAGACATAATTACACACAATCACATTCATTTTTAATGCTTTTTTATGTGTACGGTACAAGTGTCATTAAAGGGATGATGTATCTTTGTCCTCATGTGGAGATGAATTGGGGTAGGTGCATTAGTTGTGACATGTGTAGTCCATAATAGAGGTTTTCTGGGTAAGGTCGCATAAATATAAATGAATCGTTAAACCCGCAAACACCCGACAGCCAATTAGTAAGGTTTGTCACGGAAACAAAACGTGCCAATCCATTAACTAGTACAGCACACCGGTGTGTTGGAGAGTAAACCAACAACAACGTTTACAATTTGAGTACTGTGACGTTTTGCAGGTGATTACAACAACCAGCATCGTCAGGCGACAGCCAGAGTTGTGCAGTGCTTGTAATTGTCAACACGTGTAGTGCTTGTAATTGTCAACACGTGTAGTGCTTGTAATTGTCAACACGTGTAGTGCTTGTAATTGTCAACACGTGTAGTGCTTGTAATTGTCAACACGTGTAGTGCTTGTAATTGATGTCAAGCGAAACGTGTTGACGTGACGGCGTGCTTGGATGAGGGGTTTTCCACGACCACTGGGCGGTGAGCGAACTCGGTTCGCGAGATGTTACCCCAAGGTGGCTCGGAGCTTGTGAAGCATCGGGAGATATACCAGACAATTCTGGGCCACTGAGCCCGTCTCCCGGTGGCCGTGGAAGTGTCACGTGAGGTTATGTTCAGAGTGCGGGCTTATCTAGCGGTACGTGTGAATGCATGCGCTGCATATATATGGGGAATTGCCCTCTTATTTAAACTATTTAACCAAAAAAACATCCATACCAAGAGGAACGCAACCTATTTTCAAGCTTGTTACAGTATTTGTTGACGCACAATTCAAGGGATGCTGATGGTCACATTCTGTGAACGCTGTGCCAGCACTTGATGCTTATGCGTGTTTACGTTTTGGAGGGCAGGGTTGGGAGAAACCCACGGTCCCACGACCACAACGTCATTTCATACTGCCCCCGGCCACATGAGGCCTGCATCTCAGCTGCACTGATTGGGTACTAGAGGGGAATAGTTTTCAACCTGGCAACATCGTGTCTGTGTTTTTAGCACACTTTAGTCACTTCCGTCACTGCAAAGGCCTCATGCGGTGGCAAACGCCCCCGTACAATTTGCGTTATTATTGGATGACGCCGAGTTGTGAGTTAACGTGGGACTTGCTAACGATATTTGAAATTCCTGTTCGGCCCTCGTGAATGAAAAGGTTCCCCACCCCATGTTGTATGGTGTTTGTAGACCGCACTATGAACACAACAGAACGCTCTTAACAAATTAATCAATAACACTGCCTTAAATAGAAAATGTATAATCAGCGACGTTTTGGGCAAGGGAATTGTCAAGGGAACCTATTACAATTTTTAGTCGACGGATAAACTTCATCTGCTAATCGTCCCAGCTGTACAGAGCAGTGTGTGTGTGTGCTTAATATCTCAACCATTATTCGGAAGGAAAGATCTCACCAAGAAGATGCTACTCCAAATGTGGCCATTTCATTTCTGGATGTTTTAACAGCCAATGATGATACATTTTAATTCCTGCCAATTCATCTGTCTTTTTTCTCGGGTTAACTGCTCAGAGACATCTCATTTGGTTCCCACTCCAACCGCCTTTATAAATGGTACGAGGACTCTGCACCTCCGATTAGCACGGTTGGCTACGCACGGTGCGAAAGAAGTTCAGCATACATGCAGTACATACATATGACCCCTTGTCATTCTCCTGGCTGCTCTACGAATGTCTCTAGAGTTGTGTGCGAGTTGGCGATGTTGAAGCCCCACAAGGTTGTATCCGGAGCTGATGAGCACGTGTGGGTGTCTGCAGGATGCGTACCGCGCCTACCTCTCCAGCATCGCCCACGTTAGCCAGGCACTGCTCACCGTTGCTGAAGAGAGACCGGCAGCCAATGGGGCCACTGCTGGTAAGACGTGGGGGCGAATACAGCCACACTGATCGCATTGCACGGTGGGCCAGGAGATTGCGGTATAGCAAGTTGGCTTCTGACCACCGTCTGTGCAGACCTTTGAATGATATCTGATCGAATGTGTGAGGTTTTTTTTCTAGGTCCTCCAATATCATCCTGTCTTTTGGCAAGACTGACCCTTGCCATAGGAACCGAGACACATATGCATAGCACAGTGATAGTGTAGTTTTCGTTTACACAAAGGCATTTTACGTAAGGATATTATTTGCTATAGTACCACACCAGGTCAAAGCTGGGTATACCGAGTAAATGCTTATTTCATACAAGTTGTAAGCACAAAGCATAGCTTATTAAGGCTTGTTAGGTTAGAACAGCAGGGGTACTTTGGAGATGGAGCAATAAAATCAACTGGTGTGCAGGTGGCTGTATGGATTGTTATATCACGGGACCATGAGAGATGGCGACTTGCAGCATACGTATATCCTTGTTTGTTTACATGTTCGTATAATAGTCACACATTCTATTTAATGTTTCTGTAACTTAATTTATGATGTTGACTTAAAGTTTTCGTGACTGCAGGAATTTATACTCTTTGGGTCTTTCAGTAAAGTCACGTAGTTAGAAAAATAATAAAAATCACGACGTTTCAATCGCAACACGAGCAATCGTCTTCAGGTGAAAAAATACAGCAGAAGTTAGGAGAACTATCCTGCCTCAACAGCTCGCCTGCTGTTTTTTTTTCATCTGAAGACGATTGCTTGTGTTACGATTGAAACGTCGTGATTTTTATTATTAATATGATCAGTATAAACATAATCTGCCCGAGTCTACTCATGCTGCAAGTAATTGTTTGACCTGTATATATGAGCAATATTTTTGACTTCTGATATGACACAGTTGTTTTTATTCTGATTCTATTTGCTTCATTGGCTGATTTATTGATTTGTTTTGCAGAGTAATATTTGTGACCCAGGTCACTTGCACATGAGACTCATCCTGGTCTCTTGAGTTTTCACCTGGTTCAACAAAATAAACTTGGCAGCTTGGAGATGTGTTACATTTTATCTATGTAGTTTATTGTAAAAATTCGGTCACAGTCCCTGTGATCACTGTTACGTTGCAATTATGGCTTTAGTTTTTGGTGATTTGGAAAAGTTTTTTGGTTTGGACATGTTTGTTTTGTTGTAGTACGGAGTTAGACTGATGGCTTTAATCTAAGTTTTCTTGTGGTTGTTGTTGTTTGACTTGCATCCCACTGGGATTTTTTGCAAACAGCGTTGGTGTACGGTGCTTTTTTCAGGAATATTTTGCTGTTTTTTCATGGATTTTCTGTTTGCACAGTCACACATAGTCACTTTAAGATGTTTTTCTTGTTCGTGTTTTTTTGTTTGTTGTGGTTGCACCCCATTCAAGAGCCGAATGGCTCACAGGGCTATACCAAAATAAATAAACAAAACTAAACCTGGCAGGTGAATTATCATGGATGATGATTATGATGACGACGAGTGGCGTATCGCTGCCACCACTGTCCTGTGCAGAGTGGTGTTCTCTTTACCATGCAGGCCTCTCTGCCCTGGAGGACAAGCTGCTGAGGCTGGTGGAGCACAGCGTGGAGCGTGCACGGGCGACAGGCACAAGTCTGCCGGCGCAGCGTGACCACTGTACCGGTGAGGCAGCGGTGGCCACTTCACCAAACGCTGTGGTCAACCTTTTGGTGGATCTCAATGAGCCCTGCAATCCACCAGAAGGCAATGACCAACAATTACCCACATAATATACTATAGACATATACTATAGATATATACTATAGACATATACTGTAGAAATACACTGTCGATATATACGATAGACATACAAAAATTACTTGGGCCATGTATTGGTAGTTTTTTATTTATTTATGTGTATGAATTTTTAGTTGGGGATTTTTACTTGCCATCGGTCGTAATGAAGGTTGTCGTCTGCTTATTCACGTATCGGCCACCGCTGCGGTAACACCAGCGCGTCGCGCCCCCGTGTAGGATCGCGCGCGATGCGGTTTGCAATTCTTGAAAAGGTTCACCGCAACATCCCTGCAGCCTGCCCCCTGCTTCCCCCCGACCAGAGTCGGTTGACCATTTCGTCGCGGTTAAGGATCGTGACTTGATTCGGAATTCGGTGATTTTCCCGTTGTGCATTACGTCAACCGATCATGTTAACTCTCGCCTCCGTGGAAGATGTCAGCGAGCACCGAGTACTTATCACTGAATACAGGAGGTTCCTGCTTCTCTGTGATCGGTATTCATCTATCATCGTACTTAGGCATCTAATCATCGAACGATTTATAGATTAAAATAAAAAAAACATTGCTAGCACAGACGATACATGCACCTAATTGTGCATATTAATGAAGAGTTTCAATTGCATATGTCGTATTTCAGGGTTCGGGTAGCGTCTGCTCACGGACCACGTGACATCATATGGCACGGATCATAATTCATCGACGGGGAAAATGATTACATTCCTAATCAAGCCCTGATTAAAATGCTTCAAATGACGCGCAGTGTGTGTGGGCGTGTGCACGTGCGCCGGTGATGCCTGGTAGTAACCTCCGGCGTCGCTGGACAGATGGGTGCAGAGACGTGCACGTGGCTGGCAGCGCAGGAGAACGCGGCGCAGACGCGGATGGTGGCTGCCCTCCCAGCGTGAAGACTGCGGCACAGCCAGGCCCGGAGTCCACAGTTGAGGGCGACCGGCCGCTGCCCAAGCCTTGGACGAACATCCCCTGTGCCTTCCCCTCCCCGACGCTCTTCCAGAAACAGCAGCAGGAAGCATCGGTCTCCTTTAAGAGGTGTTTTATTTTTCTGTCGCTGCTGTTGAGCACAGTATCCGTGGTAGTAGCAGCTCATCTTTATTTTAACTTGGGCAGGGTAATGATTTTTTTTGGAAGAGCAATGGCAGAGTAGTTCTTGCACCTCCGCTATGGATCGGTGACCTGAGCCGACGGCGAGTGGTGTCGCGGCAACTTATCTTGCTCGTGCCGTCTTGCTTGGATTGTCGTCGTCGTTTCTTCTGTCCTGTTCATTCCGTTATCTTACACGTTTGCCTACGGTTCACATAAATGTTACACGATTCGAGGGGGCCACGCTATTCGATTGTTAATGCAGCTGCCTGGCAATAATGCCACTTGTTTTGGTGATGACAAGATGGCTGTTGTCAGGGACGCATCCTCAACGTTGAATTGTTTGCGGTGGCAGGAAGTTGGGCCCGGTAGAGGAGGCACGTGTGCAGAACATGAAGCTGATGGCGGCATACCGCGCACGCATGTCTCGACTCGACCCACGGCACGCGTCCGCCAAGACTGCGCTCGTGAGTTATACACGCGCCTCGTCAAGTCTCGCTTCCTCTGCCCATGGCTGACTGTTTTCGTCCACTGGTTCCCAATCCAATCCCGAATCAATTTCAAGATCGCAAACCGTCTTCAGCATTCTCCATCGACTCACCCCCCTGCTTACCTCTCCCATCTCATCTCAACCCACACCCCACCGTGCGCTCACTGCCCCCGCAATGCAGTTGGCGGTAAATGAATTAAAGTACGCATGAGCTCAGGATTGTTGCGTGTGACCCATACAGAACCTGAGCTTGGAGCGGCGAATGATGGAGAATCTTCTCATTGCCAAGGCGCAGGAGACCGCCGTATCCTACCCCCTGGCTCTTAATCTCCGCGGCCCATGGGCGCGCCTCTGCTCTCGAACACCACTCGGCGTTGGGGTTGGGCGGCGGAAGTTTGGCAGTGCAGTGGTAACACTTCAAGTGTCTCGCAGCAAGAAGGAGTCCGAGGTTCGATTCCCAACTCCGTGGAATTTGTCTGCCCTCCCTCCTGTTCTGCGCAAACACTGTGGCCTGTTCCTACAGTCGTGCCTTGACTAGAACCATCTCTCAGCTGCAGCGGAAGATGGTGGAGCGAAGACAGAGGCTGAGGGAGGAGGCTGACAGGTGAGCTTACTGGAGGTCCCCTGGGAATTCGCTGCCTCCCTGTGTGGTAAATCTGTTGGGTCTCCCCAAAGCTCCCCTAAACAAATTGTCAACGTCCCCCCCCCCCCCCCCCCACCAAAAAAAACCCTTTAACAATCCCCAAAAAACCTTCCGGAAGGAAGTTTAAATCTGTAAATGATGAGGAAATTCATCACAACATAAACGTTAGGGCAAGCCCAGAAACAAACGGTTTCGACAGTACACTACAACGTGCACTGTATGTACAAAGGCTCTCAGCCTCGTGCATAATGCACAAGCCACCAGTTCCTGAAGAACTGCATTTTGGTCATCTTGTTTGAAGTCAGCATCAATAAAATTGAGATAATGTGACCAACCGACGGATAGCAGTTAGACAAGGCGACAACTGTAGCCCGGCTTCGTCATTATTAGGACTCGTGAGTACAGCCACCAGTGCTCACGGCTGTCTAGAGTAGGCCCAGGACTGGATTAAATATCATCGCTGATGTTAGCTTTGGCCAGGAATTGAACTCTCGTCACCAGGCCCGTAGCGCGGTGTGCTTACTACTGCGCCACCGCTCCACCTTCAATACAAGTTTCAAGTTTTCAAGTTTCATGTATTAGGTATAGCCCTGTGAGCCATGCGGCTCTTAAGTCGGGTGCAACCGCAACAAACAAAATTTGAACACAGAACATCTTAAAGCGACAGCGCGTAACAGAAACATCCTGGAATAAACCAGCAAATATTCCACGCAAAAAAAACTTATAAAAACGCTGTGTGCAAAAATCAGTGTGGTGCAAGCCAACACCAACAACCATAAGACAATTTAGATTAACCATATGTTTTCAAATCACCAAAATAAAGCTATAAAAACAATGTAACAACAGTAATCATAGGAAATGTGCACACACGCACGCACACACACACACACGCATGCACACACACACACGTACACACATCCCCACCGATCCCTTCACATTCTCGGGCGACGTTCACACAAACGCCAAACGACCGCGCAAAGCAAACGCGTTGCCGACGTCTCCTTCCCCCCCTGTGCGTGGCAGGCGCCTCTCCCAGAATGCCGCACCATCGGCCACGGAGCCGGAGCGACGCAGCGTGTTGGCCCGCGTGCTGGAGTACGAGCAGGACAACGTGAGTCTCTCTCCGCTACTCCGCTCGCACGGCTCCTCCACTCTCCTGGTGGAGCCAAAGTGAACGAGGGCTCTTGGAGTTGTTCACACGGGGAGCCGGCCACCAATTTGGTGGCCTTAACCGTGTTTCGCTCGCGCGTTTGTACATCCTTTGATTTCTGGTGTCGTGTGTGTGTGTGTTGGCGTGTACCGCTGCTTTCAAGTAATCTTGTGTTTGTGTATTATATTTGTTGATGCCTGTGCGTATGTGTTGTTTTGTGTTTCATTGTCAGTCCACGTGCGTGTTGGCTGGCAAAAAAAATAACCCCCAACTCCTCGGGGTGGTTTGCCGGTCGGTAACGCTGCGGTGGCTGTGAGCAAATGCTGTTTGGGGGAAGGCCGATGCTTATCATCGGCTGTTACCCTCCTGGCATTTGCAGCCACCACAGTGGCCAATGGGGGCTCACGAAGGGTGAGAGGGGCTGATAACACTATGTAACACAATTTTTATTCCTGGGGTAGTAAGGGTTATTTCGTAATTGCTTATGCCTAAAAAGTATAGAAAATGGCTATTATTCCCCACAAACTTTGTTTTTGTGACCAGGACAGTGATATTTAGAAATTAACCTATTTTCAATGAGAATACAGGAGAATTTGTATATTTTCGTTCACATAAAGTCAGAAAAAAAGAACAAATAAAAATGAACATGTATTTATACAAAATTAATACAAAAATGACTATAAAATATTTTGAAGTGAGTAGTTTTTCGAGATTTACGATTATACTATAAATCACTTTCACTAATTAGTCCCCAAATGTAGTCTCCCATCATGTTCTCGTTATACTGTCCTTGGTAGCGGCGTTCAAAGTCCAGTATATCCTGGTGGAAGCGCTCGCCTTGCTCCTCCGAGTACGCTCCTATGTTCTCATTGAATTTATCAAGATGAGCATCAAGAATATGGACTTTGAGGGACATTCTACAGCCCATTGTGCCGTAGTTCTTCACCAGAGTCTCAACCAGCTCCACATAGTTTTCGACCTTGTGATTGCCCAGGAAGCCACGAAACGCTGTGACAAAGCTGTTCCAAGCCGCTTTCTCCTTACTAGTGAGCATCTTGGGGAATTCATCGCACTCCAGGATCTTCTTTATCTGTGGTGCGACGAAGACACCGGCTTTGACCTTTGCCTCAGACAGCTGAGAGAAGAAGTCTTGAAGATACTTGAAGGCTGCCGACTCCGTATCTACAGCTCTGACAAATTGTTTCATAAGGCCAAATTTGGTGTGCAGTGGTGGCATCAGCACCTTCCGGGGGTCCACCAGTGGCTCCCACTTGACGTTGTTCCTCCCCACAGAGAACTCGGTCCGCTGTGGCCAGTCCCTCCTGTGGTAATGCGCCTTGGTGTCTAAATCTTTTGTAGTAATTTTTGTGAATTACTTTAGTATAAAAACATGTTAAGTTTGATTCATATGTTGGTTTTTTTTCTGACTTTATGTGAACGAAAAGACACAAATGCACGCGTTTTCTCATTGAAAATAGGTACATTTCAAAATATCACTGTTCTGGTCACAAAAGCAAAGTTTGTGGGGAATAATAGCCATTTTCTGTACTTTTGAGGCATAAGCAATTAGGAAAAAACACTTACTACCCAGGAACAAAATAAATAAATTTGTTACACAGTGTAACTCCTTCACCTTCAACTCCGTTACCACTAAACCATGAGTGACGCTCACAACGAGCGGAGTGCCGGGTGGCTGAAATGCAGCAAGTTGCCACAGCAGGGAGCACAGATGGAGAATCTTCCAGTCATTCTCAGTCAGGCAACCCACGGCACCAGTGTCTGTTCCGTGACCTCCTGCCAGCGAGCTTTCCGACACTTCACGTGGCCTCAAAGTGCACCTAGTCTGGCACAAGCACCGTGGTGACGTTACCACCACTTGGTGGCGAATGGCGGGTTGTTGTGCGTTTAAGCTCCGTGTGTGTGTGTGTGCACGTCTGCGTCCTGTACGTGTGTGTGTGGGTATGTGTGCGTGTGCTTATACTCTGTACTTACGTGGTGTGTACGTGTCTGCATGCATGTGCCCGTGTTTTTGTCTTTATGCGCGCGTTCGGGATGCCAGGAGTGGCCGAGACAGTGGAAGGCTCGGCTCAGGGAGCGCCCGGACGACTCCACGCTTGTCTCGGCTCTCATCTCCACGCTGCTCAGGTGCCGCTCGGTCTCCTTGCTCTGCCTCTGGTACAACTCCAGAGCGACGTGGCTCGCGGCGTCCCCCCTGCTCAAGCGACCACGAGGGAGGGGGGGGGGGGGCAGCGCGCTCATCACCACTCGCAACCCAGAGCCAGCGTTGGAAATTTCACATTCCGATAGAAAAAGCCAGTCTGTCCGTCACGTGTTTTTCTTATTTATTTTCGTGGGGCGGGGAGGGGGGAGGGCAATCCCCTTAAAAATTTAATATAATTAAAATAATAGTTTCCTCTCTCGAAGATGAATAATTAAATGGCGTGCAAAGCAGTGTTAGCTGCGTCTCTATGCTACGTATTAGACGCGACGCACCCAGGACAGTCTGCCTGTAAGGCCGACGAGGAACTGACACTTGCTCCTGTTGCCTACAAACTTTCCCCCGTGTGGTCGGATCGTCAAAGCTTTTAACCGGCACCTATATTGGGCTCTGCAGACCGTGCCAATTGATGGGAATGTTGCAGTTTCCCTTAGGTGGTGGTGGGGGCGATGAATAGCGGGCAGTGTTGGGCTATAATAACCGTGCTGTTGAGGACGATGTGGGTCGTTATTTCGGCGTTTGAATTGTCTCCGCAGTATATACACGGCGTTGAAAATAAAGCGCTGCAATAAACCCTCTTATTGACTTTGAGACGAGAGAATTTTCTACCTTTTTAGACTTGTTGGCTTTTCGTTTTACAGCAGAGCTTGTCTTAAGAGCTGTGTGTGTGTGTGCACGTGAAGTTGTGTGTATGCACGCATTCATGCGTGTGCGTTTGGAATTTCAGTCCCAAGTCTCGTCGGTTGAATTCATGTCATCACTCTCTTAGTCTGGTCGACTGAAGCAGTCAAACATCGTGTCCACTCTTGGTGATTCATTGTAGAATTTGGGTGCACGATATCCCCTCCCGTTCCCATATCATAAGCTCAGCATATCGGTGAACTCTGTACAGCATACCCACTCCACTTAAGGACGGTAATTGATTCCATGAAACTCGTTAAGTGATTTGGTCGTTATGTGAGTATAAGAGATGCACGTTATTGGCTTAATTCGTTCCGACAGCATAAAAAGTTACCTTTTCACCCAAAAAACGTACTTTACATTATTTATAAACAATGTAAATTAATACGTAAAGGTACTAATAAGGAGGTCCCATGATGATCCTAATAACATTATAAACACATAAGAATAGTATTTTTCCCCTTTTTTCTGGCAACAAAACTGAAACCTTTTTACAATAAATCATGTCTGCATTAACCACAACACTTGTGGTCAAAATTCAAACAAAAAACACTCTGATAATCTATGTGGCATTGTCCTTGAAACTGATTGGTCCACACCAGAAACAGCTTTCTTTTGAGCCTCGTCTCAAACGGTGTTAGACCAGAGGACGCCAAAAGGCATACACAGCACAAAGACAATGACACTATCAGAGTGATGAGGGCTCAGGGTGAGCATCTACATCATGGGACCTCCTTTTGCCAGTACCAAAATATAAGAACAGGTTTTTCCTCTTTTTTTTTCTGGCAATAAAACTGAAACCTTTTTACGAGGCATCATGTCTGCATTAACCACAATACTTGTGGTCAGAATGCAAACAAACATTATAAAGACATATCTTAAAACGAACATGATCAATCGATGCATTAACATTTACCGTTCCGACAGCAGCCCGTCGTTAACAGGGGAAAGGTTGGTAAGCGAGCACGTTGGGCTGTATGGAGGCCCGTCGTTAAGTGATTAGTCATTAACATTGGTGGTCATTAAGAGGTTCTACTGTAAATCCTTTCATAAACACATATGGCCCACTACCGTATTTGGACTTCCTCCGTTCACTTGCGGTCTCTAACAACGTTACTAATTTATCGCAGTCTGCGTCTTCATTTGGACTCGATCATTTTGTCCCGTCAATTTCGTCTCGTCAGTCGGGCTCTGGTCTGGGGTGGGTTACCGTCGTCATCATCAGCGTTCCACCATTACCGGTCCACTCGCAGCCCTCATCGACTTAAAATCGTCGCAAATTTCACGACGATAATTGACACCTGCTTGGCGTTTCATTGCCCGCAGCTGCGGGGAGCACCCCCTGACTCAGCTGCTGCAGGAGCAGCAGCTGAGAGTCTACAAGAAGCTGCACCCCCTTGTGAGCAAATCCACCCAGGGGCAACTCGGGGACGGCGGCGACGGTGGCAGTGGCAGCGGTGGCAGCGGCACCCCGGAGGCAGCAGCAGCAGCGCCAGCGCCCAGTGCCCTCTCTCCCCTCGGCCCAGACGTGGCTTCGCACGGCGCGGATTGTGGGATAACGGAGAGAACCAAGCGGGCCGATGACGGCCACGCAGTCGTGGTGCAGAAGTTGGCACCAGAGTCTTGGGAAGAGAGACCGAGCGTCAAGGCAGGCTGGGAAGCGTCCCCAGACTCCCGCGTGGAAGGTGCGTACGTGCGTGTGCGTCACAAGCTCGCAGCGAATAATCGCGACGAGAGGCGCTGTCTGCGCAGAGTGCCCATGCTGAACCCCACCAGCTTATACAATCGAAGTCTCTCTGCTCGATTTGGCATCGCGCGGCGTCTTTACCGTTTGTGGCTTGAACATTCCACGTTTCTACGGCTCTTTGCGACTGTGATTTCAGAAATAGACATGGGTCAGATTCATGACCCCCTTTCACCCAACCCACACTGATCAGTTTGGTGAAGTATGGGAAAACACGGTGTGGGGGATGTCTTCATCCAGCAGTGGATTGACGTAGGGGATATGTGATTAGAAATGTGGTTTTGTATTTTTGTAAAAAAAAAACTTGTTTCTCTCGTCCTTCCAGCCAGCAGTCTATTGGCATCCTTAACGTTTAGAAATCCCCCCCTCGGGCAGTGGAACGTGCTTTAGATAAGGCTCTCAAGGGCCGATGTGTACATTGAGTGGCCGGCGCGTCCCGTCTGCCGGCAGACGTCCGAGGAGTGTCCAGAGACGGCTCCTTCGAGGAGCTGGGTGTGGAGCTGACCGGGCGTGAGGGCGAGCTGCTTCGTGGCGGCGACGAGGAGGGGGGGAGGGGGAATGCGGCCCTGCGCTTCATGGAGGAGCAAGCATTGCGAGAGCACCTGAAAATCATCGTCAACGATGTGCACACCTGCATGGGTGAGTATACCCCGCGTCATCATCGCCACCATCCATTGCGTAGCTCTGCGTGCGTTTGATAGCCTTCGTCATCATCGTCTACACCTGCACGGGTGAGAATCCTTCGTAAGCATCGTCATCTGCGTCATCATCGTCGGCATCTGTATTATTGTCATCATCATTTATCACGTACCGCCTGCTTGGGTGAATGGTTTTAATCATCTACATCTGCATGGAGTATAATTCATGGTCGTCGTAACGCGCGTAAGAGGGCCTTTGTCTGGATGGTAATTAAGCACCTGCATGAGTGTCTGCTCTGTGTATACTGCCTTTTCTCTGTGTGCTGCAGACTGCTGGGGCTGTGCGTGCGCTCCATTTACTGCATGTACTGCACTCTGCTGGAGCTGTCTGTGTGCTGTGTGTACTGCACTCTGCTGGAGCTGTGTGTGTGCTGTGTGTGCTGTGTGTACTGCACTCTGCTGGAGCTGTGTGTGTGCTGTGTGTGCTGTGTGTACTGCACTCTGCTGGAGCTGTCTGTGTGCTGTGTGTAGTGCATGAACTGCACTCTGCTGGAGCTGTGTGTGTGCTGTGTGTGCTGTGTGTACTGCACTCTGCTAGAGCTGTGTGTGTACTGTGTGTACTGCGTGTGCTGCAGACTGCTGGAGCTGTGTACTGCGTGTGCTGCAGACTCTCTGCTGGAGCTGTGTGTGTACTGCATGTGTACTGCACTCTGCTGGAGCTGTGTGTGTGCTGTGTGTACTGCACTCTGCTGGAGCTGTGTGTGTGCTGTGTGTGCTGTGTGTACTGCACTCTGCTGGAGCTGTGTGTGTGCTGTGTGTACTGCACTCTGCTGGAGCTGTCTGTGTGCTGTGTGTAGTGCATGAACTGCACTCTGCTGGAGCTGTGTGTGTGCTGTGTGTGCTGTGTGTACTGCACTCTGCTAGAGCTGTGTGTGTACTGTGTGTACTGCGTGTGCTGCAGACTGCTGGAGCTGTGTACTGCGTGTGCTGCAGACTCTCTGCTGGAGCTGTGTGTGTACTGCATGTGTACTGCACTCTGCTGGAGCTGTGTGTGTACTGTGTGTACTGCAGACTCTCTGCTGGAGCTGTGTGTGTACTGCATGTGTACTGCAGACTGCTGGAGCTGTGTGTGTTCTGTGTGTACTGCAGACTCTCTGCTGGAGCTGTGTGTACTGCATGTGTACTGTGTGTACTGCAGACTCTCTGCTGGAGCTGTGTGTGTGCTGCATGTGTACTGCATGTGTACTGTGTGTACTGCAGACTCTCTGCTGGAGCTGTGTGTGCTGCATGTGTACTACATGTGTACTGCATGTGTACTGTGTGTACTGCATGTGTACTGTGTGTACTGCAGACTCTCTGCTGGAGCTGTGCGTGTACTGTGTGTACTGCAGACTCTCTGCTGGAGCTGCGTGTGTACTGCATGTGTACTGCATGTGTACTGTGTGCGCTGCAGACTCTCTGCTGGAGCTGTGTGTGTACTGCATGTGTACTGTGTGTGCTGCAGACTCTCTGCTGGAGCTGTGCGTGTACTGCATGTGTACTGTGTGCACTGCAGACTCTCTGCTGGAGCTGTGTGTGTACTGCATGTGTACTGTGTGCACTGCAGACTCTCTGCTGGAGCTGTGTGTGTACTGCATGTGTACTGCATGTGTACTGCAGACTCTCTGCTGGAGCTGTGTGTGTACTGCATGTGTACTGCGTGCACTGCAGACTCTCTGCTGGAGCTGTGTGTGTACTGCATGTGTACTGTGTGCACTGCAGACTCTCTGCTGGAGCTGTGCGTCCTGGCGTTCGAGCAGCTGGAGTCTCCTGCGGGGCGGGATCAGTGCCTGGCGAGCCTGGAGGAGGCCTTCTTCAAGCCCCTGTGGCCCCCCCTCCTCGCCCTCTTCAGGTATCTGTCCGCTTCCTGTCCAAGTCCAGGCTCAAGACCAACGCGTTCGAGCTACGACCGACTGACCTCCCCCTCTCCTCCGGAATAGCAATGTGTCGAGCCATCTGCACGATGGGCATCATCTCACGGTTTCTGTACACCGGTGGTTCTCTTTACCCTGGGGTGTACGCACCCCCTGGTGGTGCGAGATGCCCTTCCTGGAGGGTGCGAGGCATGGGCAGATTTTTTTTTAGACGGTAAATAATGGAAAATACAAATGATGTAAGTAACAATTACTTTGTTTCATCAAACCACCCACGTGTTAACATTATACACGTGTTCACGATTGGGAACCCAAGGGGTGCAAGTCTTCAGTGAAGGTTAAGAACCACTGCAGTACACCGCCTCGAGACGCATCTGTCTTGAGACGCTACCTGAATCCACGTTGTATCTCCTACGGGACTATTGAATGATGAAAAAAAAACGCCACACCGTGGTTCTTAAAACAAACAATATCATCGGCTTTACTCTTTCTGGCAATAAAACAGGTGCCAAGATGTTCAAAACACCCAATAGAAACCCATTGCAGGCCATCACGTCTGCATCGACCAACACGCACTTGCGGCAAAAAAACATGCAAGCAACGGCAACGTCCCTCGTTTTTTTTCACCATCTTGATACTGGCAAAAAGGTCCAGTGGATATGTGCAGACGAAAATCAGCGACGTTTTTGAGCGGCGGGCCCCCCTTCTTCGTTGTGTCGAGCCGCACTAAAAGAAAAGCGCGAGCCGCTGGCAGGGTTGGGTGACTCTCTCCCCCCCCCCCCCGAATTTCTCCCCTTCCGCTTAGGATGGTTCACGGCGAGGAGGAGCGGGCGCTGGCGACGTGGATGGCGGCGTACGCCCTCGCGACGCCCGGGGACCTCGGGGTGCCCCCCGAGCTGCGGCTCGTGCCGGGCTCCGGCCGCCCGGGTGGCCCCCGCGACGCCGCCGCGACCGACCTCTCCTCGGAGGGCGACGGCCGAGTTGATTTCCCGTACGGCGCCGCGGTGGAGGAGCTGAGGAACCTCGCCCAGCACTGCTGTCCGCAGCGCAAACTCGACTGCATCGGTAAGACTTGGGCGTGTTTGACAAAGCAGTGGCTTTCACACTTGCTTGGTGCGGCGGCCCCCCTAATCAGGATCACTTGGGGCCCCCACACCCTCCTTCTCAAAGCCTGCGCACCCCCTAGCTTACTGAAGTCACGGTACGCAGGTCGCATGCCCACGCCTCTATTAAATGCAGTTCGGCATGTTTCATGTCGTGTATCCGTGTGTTTCGTCGCTGCAATGTGGGACTAATGTACCCCCAAATGTTCTCCTGCACGGTGTGCATGTTGCATCCTGCACCCTTCCCCCCCCCCCCCTCCAAAAGGCTTTTGTGGGGGCACAATCCTTGAGCTGAGTACCGCTGCCTATCAAGGCTCTTTTGGGGGATCTTTGTGGACGTTTTTTTTTTTAAATCAAGATTGAAAACTAATTTCTTGAAAACTCCTTTTTGTATTTAGTTGTACTCCCCCCCCCCCCCTCCCGCACATCCAAGTAGCTCGGTTGGCTACTACGTACGGGCGTGAAACAAGTTCAAGAGACACACGCATGTTTGTGGCGTGTTGTGCGTGCACGTGTTGGCTGCAGTGCGGACCACGAGGCAGGTGTGTGAGTGCGTGGAGAGCTTCTACGAGCACCAGGAAGCTGGCTTGAGTCCACCCTCAATGTAAGAGGAGCGTAGCGCTAACCCAGCACACACACACACACACTGTCATTGTCATCTCCAGTACGGTCCTGTGGGTGTGTATTTACTGTGGTGTATGTAAAGTATGTAGGTAGTTTTCTTTAATGATTATATATATGCAACGTGTGATTGAATAATTTATGCTGGTTGAAATTCAAGACCGTCGCACTACGATAAACATTGTTGGTAATTTGATATTTAAAGCCAGAGCATCAGAATGTGTATTGCTACCATTTATAGGCACGTATGTATGATGTTAAACGACTTTCGCATCCTACCTAGCCAACCGTGCTAATTGTAGGTGCGGGGGAAGGACAACTCTGGTATGGTGTGTTCCCGTGCGTGTGTGTGTGCGTGTAGTGGGGCGGACGATCTGCTGCCCATCCTCGCGTTCGTGGTACTGCGGAGTCAGCTGCCCCAGCTCATCTCCGAGTGCGCCGCTCTCGAAGAGTTCATCCACGAAGGGTAAACTTCTCACCGCGATACGGCAAGGGCGGGGAGCCTACTGCGGCTGACAGGCCAGAAACCGTCCCACGACTTCATTTTACACTGCCCTCAAATTCATTTCACACTGCCCGTGTGCACGTACCAGGCCATGCAACTCATTTCACGAGGCCCGTGACCACACGAGGCCCAGGCACTCTGAAGCGGCCCGCCAAAGGATATATTATTACCTCAGAAATCATGCCTACACTTATCGGCTACAACAGTGGAATATTTTTTTTAAATGGGAAAAAAATAACTTGGCTTCCAATTGTAGTGCAGTAAGTTGTCTTCTTCTTTGGTTCTTTCGGTAAAGTCACGTAGAATGAGAATAAAATAATAAATTGATAAAATAAATAACACAATAAAATTCTCACGACGTTTCGGCCACAACAGAAGCGGCCTTCATCAGGTGAAGGGGACGAGACTGTCTGGAGGACAGCGCTGGAGTGAGAAAGCCACGCTGAGATCACGACCTTTAAGCTGTGTGAGAAGAAACAAAGCGCCTTGACAAAGGAATTAGCATATAATTTAGCATTGAAATGGCTAAGTGATTAGCTTGTGACTGGTCACAGAAAAGGCTATGTTAAAGTTAAAGCATACACATCCGCAAAGGCACCCCTTGACAAAGGAATTAGCATAGAATTTAGCATTGAAATAGCTAAGTTAAAGTATACACATCCGCAGAGGCACTCCTTGACAAACGAATTAGCATAGAAGTTAGCATTGAAATAGCTGAGTGATTAGCTTGTAACTGGTCACAAAAATAGCTATGTTAAAGTCAGAGCATATACATTCACCGAGGCAACTAGTACAAATCAAACAGGAGAATTTAGCATTGAAATAAGTTACGTCTTGCCACTACAAGGCTCTCGAACATGTGTGTAGTGCATGCCTGGTTTGTGCATATTTATGTGCACGTATATGTAGCGGTTAACGCGCTGCGCTACGAACCTGGCGGCCCGAGTTCGATTCCCGCTCACGGCCAACACCGGTGGCGATTATCTGAACCGGTCCTGGTGCGGTGTGTAAACATCGCCATTGGGGAGACAAAGGCGGTCGGGCGTGGTGCTGGCCACCCACCCCCTCGTGTACTGTTCCGGCCTTCATAGGTGCTCGCTAACAGCACTTGGCCAAACAGTCTGTTCAGGCTATACGGAGGATCTTTGTCTTTGTTTTTTGGCAGTGGGGAGCACAGGTGGGGGCATCTGCCAACCAACTTGGTCGGTCAAACCATAACATCTGGGTCTGTTGTCCCGTGACCTCCCGCCAGCAGAGCCTTCCACACCTCACGCGAAGGCCTCCAAAGTGCACCTAAGCCGTGGTGATGCCACCGCCACTTAAGAAGCGAATGGCGGCTGTTGTTGTGTGTGCATGTGACCCTGGACAGATACCTGATGGGGGAGGAGGGCTACTGCCTCACATCCGTGCAGACGGCGCTCAACTCGGTGACATCTCTTCCCATACCTTGCGGACAGACGCCAACGTAGCGCCACCTCCTCACAGTCGCGGATCCACGCCTCGGCACTGTCTCTCCTCGGGGCCGCCGCCGCCGCCACCGCCACCAAACACCGAGTGGAAGCGCGACAGGGGAGACCCACGTGCAATCTGGGGTGACGAGTGGTAGGCATGGGCCCTGGTACAAGGAATGAAATGGGACCCCTCCCCCCCCACCCCTCCCCGTGTTCTGTCTTTACGCGTCTCCAGCGGTTTCTGCCGAGACGTCTTGGTGCCACGCGAGGAGTTCGTGTGACACCAGCGGCGATCGCAGCCACGCGGCTGCAGGGTTTTAACGCTGCTGCCCCTACCCAGTTGCAACAATCGGCCGCCACCGCTCACCTGCCCCCCCCACCCCCCCCCCTCCTCCTTTCTCTGCGTGGCTCAGGCAGCACGATAAATGACATCACTGAAGAGCAGGAATTTCTCAGTTTTGGCTCCTCTCCATCAATGGAATCAGTGGGGGAAAAAAAAACATCACGGCTGCAAGAAGGCCGATTTAGTCACGTGATCTCATGTACAGTACAGCTATATCCCTTTCATGAATACACTTTTGGGCTTGGGCCTCCTGTCGTATGGGGATCGTGGTGAGCAGACCAACGGGAGCATAGAAGTACAGTACAGCAATGTGTTCTGCTGCACTTCCCCTCTGTCGCCCATAATGTAGTCCTGCCGCCGATAATACCTTGTATACATACTTGGCAGTCACATATCCATGGTCAACCCCGATAGGTTTTGGAGATCTGCCGTATTCCAGACGATTTGATCATAGGCAGGTCAAACCAAATATACCGTACACAATAATGAAACAACTTCCGATGCAGTGGTACTTGCCACAAATCTTAGAGGTACGTAATTGTAAAAAAAAAAAACTGTGCACCAATGCTGCAATTACAATTTCTGTAAAAGAAGGAATATATGTAGTTTTGTGCAATTATGTTATTGTTGATGTTGCGGTTAAGTAAGCCATATTGCTGCTTGCTTTTATGGCAAGTGCAGCGGATGGGGTTCATCGCATGTAGAAGATGGCCTGAAGCACAGCAAACCAATGTTGCGTCATGAAGAGACTTGTCATCCAAACAGATTATATAAAAAAGCCTAATGGTTATGCAGTTATGTAGTGTGCATTTAAAAAAAAAACACATTTGCAAAGATCCCCAAAGCTGCAACATGCCAAGCAGGTCAGGCACGATAGATAACGGTCAATAGGTGTACTGAATTCAGGGGTCAGCGAATTGGAGCCCATGGATGACCGAGGTTCACGATGACAACGATTAGTTTGATGGGATGGACAATTGATAATGATGACAATGGGTGGAGCCCCCCCCCCATGGAGACTGAACTTTGCCTTTCACTTGCGAGTCAGTCGCTGACCGGACACAGCCACCTGTAAAGTAATAAAATGATGCCCGTGGGTTTAATAATGGACACTGGTAGAGAGCGCTGGGTTGATGCACTTGTACTGGTTACACCACCAGCCCACAGGGGATTATTGTGTCCGTCCGTCGTGCATCCAAAAATGGGAGGGGTGGGGTTGGGTGGAGAGGGGAGGGTGGGGAGGGTGGGGCTGGGTGGGAGGGGTGGGGCTGGTCACCCCGTGGTGCCGTTATAAAACTCAACGTTTAACCTACTCACGCCCCCATGTGACCCTGGCCATTGACCGAGCAACCCAACGTTCCTACCAGCTCCCTCCGCAGGAATGTGTTATTCAAGAACAGTGGGTAACGAGAGCTGCGGGGACGGCAACTGTTCAGCGAAAACACAGAAACTGCCGCAAGCCCGTGACCGCTTGCCTGTAGTCGCGAGGTCAATGGCTCCAAATGGGTCGCCCCTTGCCACTCGCCAGGGATTGCAACGGGTTACAACCAACAGGATGGAACGTTGCCCCTCTCTTTTTCCCTTCCAAATGTGAATGAAACCATAATACAAATGGTACGTTTTATTTACTCTTTTTGTTCAATATAAGACCAGTTTTATGGAGTTTTACTGGATACAGAGAGATGTAAATATCAGGCATGTAACGGACACACCTGGCGCACCACGAGGTCAAGGGGTTTACCACAATTTGGGACTGCGATTATCTTAAAGAATTGTATTTTTACCGTATCATGTATACATTACACGATGGGGTATTTTTTTCTTCCCAGTGTCGTTTGTAAGCTGTCGCCGAAATGTAAGGGTAACCTATCGAGGAGATAATATAAATCCCATGTTTGACAAGGCACTGCCGGACGAGGGCCTCACTACGCACCGCGGGTTGGTGAAGGTGCGGAGAGTACAGAACAGTGGACTTGCTGCACTGTTCTCTGCTGCCCGCAACACAGACTGCACCCGTCGTTGGTGCGTGATGGTCGCCCATCCGAACAGTATCGAGGCTTCAAACCCTTGTTTAGCTTCTCTCTGACGAGATCGGCACGTTTTGGAAACCTGGTCAAAATTGCAGGACTTAATTTCGGCCGGAGCTATCTGGGCCTGAGCCCCAGAAATGAATTTCACGAAAATGCAAAGCTCTTCAGATTAACATCATCTGCATGTAATTTTCATGCATTGCAAATAGTTGATGGCTATTGCAAACGACCCAATGATGCATGGCCATGTTCAACTTGTTTCGCACCGCACGTAGCCGCCCGTGCCAATCGTAGGTGCGAAATGATGCTCGTACCGTGAGCGCGAGTATCGATTTTAACAGGTGCATCGTCGTTACGTGCCTGGATATGCAGACGTAATGTCCCGAACAAACCACATCAGAAACCACAAGCTACCCACGCAATGGCTGTGGGCACACTAGCTATTAAACGGCATATCAAATATTAAATAAAAACGTCACAAACCAGTATTCAAAATGACTATTGCTCAACACTAAATGACTCGTACATGAAGACTCGACAATTACATCCGCAGATATTTAGAAACCTTAAATGTCTCGAAGGAATCACATCGATTACGGTTTTCTTCGTTTCTCTAGAAACCAAATGAGAAATGGGGGTGTGTGTGGGTGATCGGGTTAGGGGGGGGGGGCGATTGAAGCACTATCAGCTAGTGCTACAAAGGGCGCCCCAACTTGCTGAAGGCGAAACCACACGGGGAAACTACGTGTGAAAAAAACCCAATCATAAACTCTTCCCCCCACCGCCCCCTTCCCCACAATGGATCAAACTTAAAAATGAAGACGAACGTGAACATCACAAAGAACACCTCCCAACGGCAATGGCTCGGGGTTCGTAATCACAATTAAAAAAACGGAACAAAAAATTCACCCCGGCTCAAGGAACACACAACGCATACAAAAGGGGGTGGGTGGGGAAGAGGAGGTCTCTGTTGTCGTAGAAAAGCGAATGGCGCGCGGAGTGGGGGGGGGGGGTAAGCGTGTGGCGGTGGCGATTTTTCAAGGTGAAGGAGCGTCGCGCCAAAGTGTCGTCAAGTAAGCACCCGAGAAAATATTTTTTTTTTCTTTTCTCCAGAATATGAAACCTCAACTGCACTCACCCGCGAGAAAACGTATCCGCCCGCTCTTAATTTCGCAAAAGCGGTCGGGGACCCTTCGCGTCGGAGAACGGCGCGCACGCAAGCGGGATATCGCAGAGTTGCCGCTCTGAGATCTGTTCCAAGCGATTTCTGGGAGCGGCACGGTCGAGGAGGGCAAAGCTCTCACGCGCTCAGAGTTGGAATTTGGCCGGATCATGTGCGGGTGAAAATGTGTTCTCGTGGGGTGTTTTGTTTTGGTGCCGTCATTGGTGACTGGGTCGACTGTAAAAAAAAAACTCATTTTTTATCACCGTTAATTTAAAATAACTATATATATTCTTAGTTTTTTCGGTAAAGTCACGTTGAAGAGAAACAACAAAATAACAAAATATATATAAAACAATAACTCAAACGGTCATCATCAGGTGTGATAATGACCGTTTGAGTTATGGTCGACACGTCGTGAGAATTTTTTATTGTTTTATATATATTTTGTTATTTTGTTGTTTCTCTTCAACGTGACTTTACCGAAAAAACTAAGAATATGAATTACTGCAGTCACGAAAGCTTTAAATCAAAATTTAAAATAACTATTTAAAATAATTTTCTAATTTTTCCCAAACTCGAACGAGCACCGGGTAAGTGCCTCATCATCTCCATTGGCAGCGTTGGCGAGCCAGTGGAGGCTTCACAACCCGATGGTGGTGGTGGCCAGATGGACCGTAGGCCGACCACTTAAAAGTACAGCTCATTGCCAACGGCACGTTGACGATAACACCACTTGGCCCGATTATAAGCAAATACAAATAGGTCATCGGGTCGCCGGGGCCAACGCCGTGCTAACGCCGCCTTCACCTCGAAATCGCTTCCACCGTTCTGCCACATCGCTTCCGTATGACAAGGGGCGACGGAGGAGTGCGCGTGGCAACTCCCCCCCCACCCGCCCCCCCCCCCCCCCCCGAAGGTAAACGCGAGCCTTGGACTCTTCGGCCGCCCCTCGTGTGTACGCGCGCAATACCAACTCTTCCGAGGACGGTCGAAAGGGAATGATTTGACCGATAAACATTAACCGCCGACGAAACGGATTCGCCGTTTTTGGATCGGGAAGGGCAACTGAAACAAAAATCTGCCAACGGCTGCCACGCCGGTGGTGGTGGTGGTGGTGGGGGTGTGGGGGGAAGCGCCGGCGGCAAACGCCGCGGGGCGGCTCCTCCTCCTCCTCCTCCTCTCACTTCCTCAGCAACATCCGCGCAAAGTCGGCGTTGCTCATCATGGGCCCGGCGGCGGGCGTGGCGTCGCCGCCGGCCGCCGCCGGCGCCGCGTCGCCGGCCCCGTCCAGCGCGCCCGCTGCCGGCGGCCCCCTCCCCCGCCGCCGCCGCCGTGCCGTTCTGGGACTTGCTGCCCCCCGCGCCCCGCCGCTGCAGAGCGCGGGGGACGAGCGCCAGCTGCGTGCGGCCCTTGCCCCTCCTGCGGGGGCAGAGAGAGAGAGACGCGCGCCCGCTCGTTAGCGGAGCGCCGGGGATGCCCGGGAGCCCGGGGCGGCGCGGAGCGCGGCCGTGCCGGGCGGCTCGGGGCTGGAGCAGGGGAAGAAGAAAGCGAGCGGAGTTTCTCCCTGGGAAGACTCTGCCTGTGGGATGCGCGGGAAGAGAAACAATGCCCAGGTGGAAAGCCTCGCTCGCTCTCAGGAGGATCGTGCGCGGGGGGGGGGGCATGTTTGGTCAATTCCATTCGTGAGAGTTTTCGCTGCGCGTGGTTAATATATACGCCCGCAGGATTAACCGGGGTGGCTACGGGGGCTCGAACCGCCGACCTCTGCAACGAGCGGCAAGAGAGGCAAACGCGCCCCGCCGCTCAGCCACGTCGGTCGTTGGCTAAAGTCACCATCGGGCCGGTCATTCGCCCAGGGGAGGGGGGGGGGTGGTGGAGGAGTTGGGCAGTGGTGGGGCGTGTGGGGCGGGGTGGTGACGTACGCTCCGTACACGCTGCGTGCTGGCACCGCCGGCTGCTGCTGCTGCTGCTGGTCGGCGCGGCGCCGCGCCGGCGGGTTGCTGATGGCCACGCTGACGACGCTGTCCCTCACGGTGGTGCCATTGAGGTTGAGCACGGCCTGCGCCGCTTGGCTCACGGTCTCGTACTCGATGTACGCCAGGCCCTGCACAACGGAAGCGGACGATGCAAGGCCCGGCAACCTCCACCCCCCCCACCTCCCCCCGCTTGGCCTTGTGTACTGCTGCTGCTGCTGCAGGAAAACGCCACTACAGCCGCTATAGCCTCTAAACGGGCAAGGATAAACTACGCGCACGGGTGGATTCCGTCACGCACACCACCGTGTGTTTTTTCCCTCGGCGGCACCGAGGCTGACGGGGTATTCTTCAGGGCAAATTGCGTTTTTGCCAATAGTTATTTTTGCTCTGGGTTTTGTCCGCAAGTTTTACGCAACCCAATCATCACTCCGCCCAATGTTCCTTAAGGAAAGAACCAACATGGAATCATCACTCAACACGAAGGTTGAAATTATAATGTATACGACAGTAAGTCGTGACTGCCCACCCCCCCCCCCCCCCCACCATGCTACAGACATTGCGAATGCATTGATCGATTTCAACCTTATTTGGAAAAGGTAAAAAGATATAATTCACAAGCCTCTTTCAGTCCACTTGTTGATCAAGGCCTCCCCACACCTTTTGGACATTGGGGTTGTGTACCCATACTGGGGTTGTGTACCCATACTGGGGTTGTGTACCCATACTGGGGTTGTGTACCCATACTGGGGTTGTGTACCCATACTGGGGTTGTGTACCCATACTGGGGTTGTGTACCCATACTGGGGTTGTGTACCCATACTGGGGTTGTGTACCCATACTGGGGTTGTGTACCCATACTGGGGTTGTGTACCCATACTGGGGTTGTGTACCCATACTGGGGTTGTGCACCCATACTGGGGTTGTGCACCCATACTGGGGTTGTGCACCCATACTGGGGTTGTGCACCCATACTGGGGTTGTGCACCCATACTGGGGTTGTGCACCCATACTGGGGTTGTGCACCCATACTGGGGTTGTGCACCCATACTGGGGTTGTGCACCCATACTGGGGTTGTGCACCCATACTGGGGTTGTGCACCCATACTGGGGTTGTGCAACAACGAACGGAGCACCGAGTGACTAAATCACAGCAAGTTGGCATAGTAGGGGGCACAGTAGAGGGCACTGGTGGTGCATCGGCCAGTCATCTCAGCCAGTCAACCCATGGCACCTGGGTCTGTCCCGTGACCTCCTGCCAGCGGGCGTTCGACACCTCACGTGGCCCTTAACGTGCACACAGCCTGGCACAAGCGCCGTGGTGACGTCACCGCCACTTAGTGGCGAATGGTCCCACCAACCCCCACCCGCCGGGCGTCACCTTGAACTTCCCGGCGCGCGTCGTGACCATCCTCGTCTCGCGGATGCTTCCGTGCTTCCCGAACATCTCCTGGAGCTCCTCTTTGGTGCAGGAGAATGGGAGGCCCGACACGAACAGCTTGTGCTTCTCCAGGTCTGTGCTGTACTTGAACGCCTGCGGGCGATAATTTTGTTGGGACCGTGTGACGAGGCACGGACGTGCGGCCGCCGCCTCCCGTTGTTTTTTTCGCGGTCGGGCCGCGTGACTCTACCCAAGGGTTTTGGGGTCGCGCCGCGTTTTATTCGGCACGACGTCCGACCTTTCACCCCGCCACCCCCCCCCCCCCCCGGGCGTGCCCCCCATGGGAGTTCGGTTTTTCCGAAGGAGCGCCCGGCACGTGGAGGGAAACGGTGGCCGTCGCGGCGTACAAACCGCGGTACAACTCGAAAACACAACGGAGAGCTATCCATGGAGTGAATACGAGAAAGACACCATAACAACCTACTTAGCAATCGAATACTCCAACAAGTAGAAACAAAGAAGCGAAGGAAGACAAAGAATGAGATGGACTAAAGAATGACACTGAACCATATGGGTCCAAAGTGCAACTGAAGCATCAAAGTATGAAATATAAGAATAGGGTTTAAACTTTCTGGCAATGAAACAGCAAGTGCTAAGATCTTCAAACACCAAAACAGATACCTATTTGGTGTTTGAACGTAAAAAGAAAAACACAAGGTCACGCAGCATCGCGAGGTCGCGATTCCGACCAACGGCTCTCGCTCGCTTAACGAGCCACAGGACACAACATCATCGTCAGCACGACCACCGCGGTCGACTCCCTCGCCTTGTTGGGCTGCTGCTCCTGCTGCTTGGTCTTGTCCACGCAGGGGCTGATGAACATGGGCCGCCCGTCGATCGACGTGCGGTCCATGGCGAGCGCCCCGCGCGCCCCCTCCTCCGTGTCGAACTGCACGTAGCAGTAGCCGCGGAAGTGGTGGGAGCGCGAGTAGACGGGGCGCACCTCCACGATGGTTCCGCACGGCGCCAGCGCCTCACGCAGGCGAGCGTCGGGGTCCGCCAGCGAGTAAGCCACGTTGCTCACGAACACGGTGCACGACTCCGCGCCTGCGTAGGGCGCGGCGGCGGCGGTGGGAAATTCCACATTAGTATGGCGGGCGGGGAAGCGGCGTGTCATGCTGAAGGACCGCTGTGGACTGGCGGTGGGTGCAGGAATACTGCGGAGATGATTGATGAGATATTGAGCCGTGAGCAGTGAGTCCCATCAGTAGGAATGAATGCAGCATGGAGTTCGATGCTCACGACATGGGCCCCGGACCCGGAGTCGTGGAAAACTGTTTTTATCGTTCATGCAAATTATATGGTAATGTTAACCATTAAGCTAATAGAGGTAACAACACTATACTTGTAAGATGTAACAAAAAAATACAAACGTGACTGTAAAACAAAGAATCCGTGCATAAATCGAATCGTGACCCTGTATTATTTATATGGACGTGACATTGTTGAGTGATATTGTTATATTATTCCTGTTGAAGTTGATATGAACGATAATAATATTGTTGTTGATATGTGATATTATGGATATTGGTCATTTTGTCATGTCAAATCGTTGTTTGGTATCGATGTAGTTGATATGACATGATAGATGTTGCTGATAGTTGTCGATATTGAAAGAAGGCCATCGAGTATCACCGAGAAAACGAATCGCAATAAGTCCCACACAGCTTGCATTTCACTTGAGTTCTATCCCGCGCAAATGCGTAGGCAGTGCCAGCTCTTTCAACAAACACATCGCACGCACAATCCTCATACATGACGCGCAACACAAATAATTCTTGCAATCCCTTTCCCGTGGTGGGTCGAGTTGTAATGCTCTCACGACGCAGGGCAACCGGTTACAGGAACAAACCCCGGGAAGTCTCCCATCAACATCCCCGCCACATTACCCATCATCACCGTCAGCCATAATCAAACCTCCCTCCCTCCGCATAAAAGCCTCCCCAAAAAGCCATCGGCCACCTCTCGCTTGCCCTGCAATGTGCTACGTTACTGCAGCGGGAAAACATCGGCATTCTTCGCACCCGACGCACGAATGACAGCTGTTGGCAATGACGCGCGGCGGTGAGAAACGTCCTGCAGGAGTTCGTTATTTCCTGAGAGCGCAGCTGCGTCGGAGAATGGGTCCACAGGCCGCGTAGACGTGCACGACGGAGACTTCAAATGCAGCGAGTGGCAAGCAGTCAGAATCGTAAGCAACAGCAGCAGCAGATAGCAGCAAGTGCAGCAGAAACAGAAGAAGCAGCAGTAGCTGCTTTTGCTACAGCTGCTCAGTACTTTACTCACATGTTCCCATGTCCACGCTTGCCCGCCTTCACCAGCATGCACTGGTATGGTCAACAACCGTTATGAATGGCAGGGCGTGAGGAGGCCTTCATCCAGCAGTCGATAAACAATAAACTGAAAGTTATTAATATTATAAGGGACGACTCACTACCAAGCGGGCGATTGTCCACAGCGGACGCCGCCACCGCTGTCACGGCTCAACGGGAGGGGGGCGAGGGGCCACTTGAGTCGGCTGTCGACGTTCCAAGTGAGAGACCGCGACCCTCAAAGGAATGGCGCCCCCTCCACCGTGGGCGCCACCCGGCATGATCCGCAGATCAAACAAATCCCTCGAGACGCCGGTGCACAGCAGGCCAAGAGCAGCTTACGGGCGAACGCTGCGGCAAGGGGTTGCATGTTTTGGCGCAAGGGCCCTTCGCCGACTACGTGTGACGAATGAACGAGGCGGGGGGGGGGGGGCGGGGGGCAAGGCCATCGTACCTGGGGTGAACTTGGTGGTGGTGGGAGCTTGCTCGGCCGCCTTGCCCTTCTTCTCCGCGTTGCCCTTGGAGAAGCCGGGAGCGGCGCGCGACGGGCCGGGCCTCGCGGAGGACCCCGGGCCGGACGCCCTGCCGGCGGCCGACGGGGGGGGCGCACCCGAAGAGGCCCAAGCTGGCGTGCACCATGGCGCCCGCGTCGCGGCCCTTCGACTCTTCGTCCTCGTCGTCCTCCTCCCACGGGACGCCGCCGCCCGCCTCCTCGCGGATGCGCTTGCTCGCCTGGGCTGCGGGTCGCCGGGATTAAAGCAGCCATTCGGTCGACGCTCGTCCGTCGCCTCTTCCTGACGCGCACGTTTTAATCCGGGCCCGCGGCGCCGACCGGCGGGCCTATCGCGGGACTAAGAGGCCGCTCGGCGCTCCCGCGGATGTCGCGCGAGCGGCCGCCGTTGCGAGCCGCTGGCGCCGACGCGGTTATCCCGCCAGGATGCCCTTCCAGCGACCTTTTCAAGAACTTCCCCAACCGCCCCGCCACAGGAGAGCAATATTCGTCGCGGGCAAAATGATTACGAGCTGGGAATTTTTGACAAATCCGATAGTATCGAAAATCACCCCTTTTTCACCCAAAAAAGTACTTTATAATATAAAAAATATGGATATTAATGCATAAAGATACTGACAACATTATAAACACATTAAAATAAACATGGTTAATGCATTAATTAATATTTACTGTACTGACAACAGCCTGTCATTAACAGGGGAATGGTCGGTAAACCAACACATTGGGCTCTATGGAGGCAGTACACTACTAAACACTACACTACTATACACGACACTACTATACACGACACTACTATACACTACACTACTATACACTACACTATACACTACACTACACGCTACACTACTATACACTACACTACTATACACGACACTACTATACACTACACTATACACTACACTACTAAACACGACACTACTATACACTACACTATACACTACACTACTAAACACGACACTACTATACACTACACTATGCGCTACACTACTAAACACTACTATACGCTACACTACTATAGGCTACACTACTATACATGACACTACTATACACTACACTACTATACACTACACTATGCGCTACACTACTAAACACTACTATACGCTACACTACTATACGCTACACTACTATACATGACACTACTATACACTACACTATGCGCTACACTACTAAACACTACACTACTATACACTACACTATGCGCTACACTACTATACGCTACACTACTATACACGACACTACTATACGCTACACTACTATACACTACACTACTATACACTACACTATGCGCTACACTACTATACACTACACTATGCGCTACACTACTAAACACTACACTACTATACGCTACACTACTATACACGACACTACTATACGCTACACTACTATACGCTACACTACTATACACTACACTATACGCTACACTACTATACGCTACACTACTATACGCTACACTACTATACGCTACACTACTATACACTACACTATACGCTACACTACTATACGCTACACTACTATACGCTACACTACTATACGCTACACTACTATACACTACACTCATCTGCATACTATACACTACACTACTCACACTACACTATACGCTACACTACACTATACGCTACACTACTATACGCTACACTACTATACGCTACACTACTATACGCTACACTACACTATACACTACACTACTATACACTACAATACACTACATATTGGAGGCACTACGTCAAGTGGTTAGTCATTAACAAGGGTGGTCGTTCAGAGGCGTTTGACTGCACAACCCCAGGTCATTATTGCAAATGAGACTTAACCACGGTCCCCGTGAGTTCTCGGCTGCTTAAAATCTAAAATCAACTTGGAAGAGGAGGAGGGTACTCACCGGCTTCGTGGCCCCACTCGGGCTCGGCCTTGCGCTTGCCCGAGGAGACGTGCTCCTTCTTCTGGGACTTCTTGCCTCCCTTGCTCTCAAGCTTGGCTTTAGAGTGTTCCTCCTCCTGCTTCTGCCTCTGCGCCTCCTTCTCCGCAGCCTGCGCGGAGAACAAGCACAGTCGCACAGTCGCACAGTCGCACAGTCGCACAGTCGCACAGTCGCACAGTCGCACAGTCGCACACTCATCTGCATGCGCGTGTGCACACGCAGCCACGTGTAAAGCCACGTGCGCGCACACACACACACACACATGTACACAAGACAAAGACCCCCTCCATATAGCCTGTAACGGGACTGTTTGGGCAAGTGCTTTTCGCGAGTAGCACCTGTGAAGGCTGGAACGGCACACGAGGGGGTGGCCGACTCGACCTAGGCGACAGGCCCAGGAGTGATTCAGATAATCGTCACCGGTGTTGGCCGTGAGCAGGAATCAAACTCGGGTCACCGGGTTCAGAGCGCAGCATGCAAACCGCGACACTAGCGCTCCCCATAACCATACACGGGCACACACACACACTGTGGACACCATCATCTCCTGAAGGTCCATGACTCTGAATGTGATCAATTACAGAATCTCGGGGTGGGTGAATCGTACAATAGTCACCGGCAAAAGTCGTCGGGAACGCGCACAGCACAACCGCGAAAAACCTACGCAGACGTACGACCTGGACGCTGTACTCCGAACGCAGAATCTACAGCGGCGCCACAGGGATTGGGGGCCGTCCCTCACCTTGGCCCTCTGCTCGCTCACGCGCTTCAGCTTGGTCTCGATCTTCTGGCAGGCGGCGTCCCAGTCCTCCAGCGTGCCTGCGTACCGTCACGACGGCAACCGCAGCGTTACCAAGACCGTGCTGGCCGCCGAGCCGGCACCGCCGGGCATCGTGGGGTTCCAGTCCGGCTTCCAGCCGCCTGTGACTACAACCGGGCTCTCGGGGATGCAGTGAGCCGATGGTCTCATCTAGGTCGCCAATGACGCACATCCGACTAGCATGGCTGGCTACGTACGGTGCAGAAGAAGTTCAACACGCGTACGTATGTACGCACGTGAAAAAGCCATCGCGTTAAATTTGGTTTTGCACTTCATTTTCCTTCCGCATTTAATTTCAGCTCCTGAAAATGAACACATCAATTGAACTATGATGTAACAAAACGTTACTCTCAGTGGCAGGGCGCTGCTGATCCCCGTTGAGAGTAACAGAGGTCACTTGAGAAGAGATCTCGGAAGGAGTTCTTTGATATCCACTTCTGTGGGCCATTGTCCAACACGAAGGGTCGCACTGCCGTGCCAAACATTTGAATGCGGGAGTGTCCTGGAAAATAGTCTTTTGGCACAGTGGGGGGCTTACCTGGGCTAATTAAGAGGATAACATTATTTCAATTTTCGGGCTGTGTGTGTGGCGAGTGAGCTCAACGCACCCTCCTCCCTCTCGAAGGTGAGCAACGCCTCACAGATGTGCTCCGGGTAGTCGCTGGTGCACTGCACAGCACGGTGCAGCGCCCTGCGTGCGTGCTGCACGTCGCCAAATGCCCTGTGCAGAACCCCCAGGGTCGCGAGCACAAAAGAAAAAATACCGTGAAATAAACTACTCGCGTTCTACGCTTCCTATTTTACAATTTCCGACTAGCAGAGTTGGCTAGGTACGGTGCGAAAGACGTTCAAAAGACAAAGATCTCCCGTATAGCCTGAACAGACTGTCGGGGCAAGTGCTGTTGGCGAGCACCTATGAAGGCCAGTACCGGTACACAAGGGGGTGGGTGGCCAGCATCACGCCCGACCGCCTTTGTCTCCCTAGTGGCAATGTTTACACACTGCACCAGGTACTCATTTGAGGCTGAGTCGACCTAGGGGAGGCCTGGGACCGGTTGAGATAATCGTCACTGGTGTTGGCCGTGAGCGGGAATCGAACCCGGGTCGCCAGGTTCATAGCGCAGCGCGCTAACCGCTACACTATCGCTCCCCACACACACACACACGTACACACACACACGTACACACAAACACGTGCATACGACAGCTGAGGCTGGGATAAAGGCACCGCGCGGAAAAAATCTCGCGCTGTACCCGTGGTGTGGTGCTCGTGGGGAGGCCTCACCTCTCCAGGTGGTAATACTCGAGCCACATGTTGCCGTACTTTGCGTTCCCCTGCGACATCACCTGGTCCCAGAGCTCGCGCGCCTTCTGCACGTTGTGGCAGTGGTTCGCCTGCTCGCCGCGGACACGCACAGACGGCGTCGTGCCACCACGCCGCGCGGCTTTACCTCCGCGGGGAGGGCTGAACGTCTCGGCCGCTGCCGGCAGAGCGGGAGAAGAGCACTATGTGCGTGTGAGTGTGTGCGCGTGCGAGTGTGTGCGCGTGTGTGTGTGTGTGCGTGTGTGCCTGTGTGCCTGTGTGCGTACGTGTGTCATCGTCGTCGTCCCGAGTGGTGTAGCGCAACTGGGAACCTACCCTACTCGGGGCCTACCCTTCTGGTGATTTACCCAACTGGGGGTTCTACTCTACTTGGTTTCCTACCCTACTGGGGACCTACCTGCCCAATTGCAAATGGGCCACATCGATCTGAGGTTTACTCAATAAACAAACACTTGAAAGACAAGCAAACGAAAACCAAACAGTTGTGAATATGCAAACGTATTGTGGCACCGACAGCTTCCGCCCGTCAGCTTTCGTCACTCGAGTCAAGACATCTCCGCGCGACGCGTTAGAGGGAGCGTTACACGAGCAGAGCAAAAAAAACCTCTCACCTCTATCCTGGCCCAGTGCTGCAGGATGGCGCTCGAGGAATCCCCTCCCTCCGCACAGCCTGGAACACGCAGCACAGGCGGGGAAAGGGGGGGGGGGGCGCGCGGGGCGCGTTGGCCACAGTGTCCCCAACACCGCCGTCACCGATTCAACGTCCCACTCACTCACACACCATCGGTACAAACCATCGTCGTCGTTAGAGATGCCCCTTGACGTCGCTCTCAAGAGTAGACCATTGTGTGCCGGCCGTCACCGCGCACTTTTGTCAAATTCAATAATCACCCGCGAAATGTACTCAACTGGGATAACATACATAGCAGCTACCATGGCCTCCCTACTCCCTTGATGAACGCCTCTTTGCAGGCTAAGTGCCGAGTCAACTTGCGCGCGCGGGGGACAGCTGCCGCTGGGGGGGCATCCTTTCAAATGTGCTGAGATGCGATGTCACGTGCTCCGAGAGTATATTAGGAGGAAGCCATATCGTAAGCAAATCCACATCTTCATCATCATCTTCAACGGTGAGATGTTACTCACGCTGGGCCACCTCCTGCCGGATGCTCTCCACTGCGCGATGGAAGGTCATCCGCAGCTCCTCCAGCTCCTGGCTGGAACCTGCACACAGCGACCACGAGCACAGACAAACCGGCTCGGCTGTGCGTTCTGTGCGAGCGATGGTGATAATCGATTGACGCGTCGGGTCAAAACAATCGACACTTGCAACCAATCGGCACGACGGTGAACGCCTGTAACCCGTATCCGGGGATAGTACAGGTCGACAGCCACAAGCGGCCTACCACCTTACAGGCGTATCGCCCCCACCTTGCGTGAAGTCTACGCGGCGTCGCAGGTAGTCAATGTAGGTCTGCCAGAGCTCCGTGTAGTCGGTGGCCTGCATGAAGCCCGATTCGAGCGCCTTGTCGAACACCTCTGCCGAGAGAAGCCGTCGTTAACGGAACCGCACGGGCAGAGGCTCGCGAGGACATTCGTCACTAACACCGCCCTACGATAGACAAATATACAGCATGCGTATATGCTTTGGGGAATGGTCCTGAAGGGAGACGTCGCTAGGGGGGGGAGGAGATGTCGCTAGGGGAGAGGAGACGTCGCTAGGGGTAGGGAGACACCATTAGGAGGAGATACCACATCGCTGTGGGAGAGGAGACGTCGCTAGGAGAGAGGAGATACCACTAGAAGGAGATGCTGCATCACTAGGGGGGAGGAGACGTCGCTAGGGGTAGGGAGACACCATTAGGAGGAGATACCACATCACTAGGGGAGAGCAGACATGGCTAGGAGAGAGGAGATGCCCATCACTAGGGGGGAGGAGACGTCGCTGGGGGAGACGGACCGCGCACTGTGTCGTGCTCCGCGTGATGCCGCTCCAGAGCCAGCAGGAAGGACTTCCATAGGCTCGTGGCCCAGGGGCAGTTCCTGGTGGCGCGGCGGTGAGCAGGCAGCACCACCTCCTTGATCTTGAGCTGCATGTCCTGCGCGCGACACACGGCAACCGCTCGGGCTCGCACGGACGGTGACCGGGGGGGGGGGGGGGGGGGGGAAGGGAGGGAGGGAGGAGGGGGGCCCCCCCCCACCATTGTTTCCTTAACAATCAGGCTGTGCTCTGATCTCTCTCTTAGTTTGATTAACGTTGCTGCGAGTTTTTTTTAGTAAAGAACTATTAAACATTTTATTTTTTACCATGAAAGGCCCCACTGAGCTACGTAGCTCTTTTTCAGAAGCGACCTGGCCACAAATGATAGCTCAACGAAGTGGCTTATCACACGGAAATTGAGTTTGACTCCGTGAGCCCTGAAACAGATGCTGCTTTACAAATGGTGCCCCCCAAAAGTCAATGCATCAAGTTGCTTGCTACACTTTGTTTAATCGGGTGAGACTTCAAGAGGCCAAGGGTGAGTCACATGAGCTGCGGTGAGCTGGGCCATAAAAATTACAGACTCGAAATAGCAACGAAGCCAAGCAATCGGAACAATCGTTTGGGTCCCCGGCAATAAGCCTCGAGCACCGAGCAAACCCGACTCCGTCAGGCATTTAACTCCTCTCGATCATCCACAGCCTAATATTCCAATGATCAGCAACCAGGCTGCAGCCCCGTGGGCTGCGCAACTTCAACAGCCCCGTGGGGCTGCATGCTGCGCACTCCCTGGGCCTACTCAGAGGGCTTCACGTCTTGAATCGTCTGCATGCGGCCCAACATGTCATTGCGCTGCGTGCCTCGACACCGCGGACTGACGAGTCGCGCAGCCAGCAGCGATACCAACCCCCCACCCCCCGCTCCCCGCGTCCCCACCCGATCTCACGCCACCGCTAGGCGATCTCACATCCGGCGCGGCAGGAGAAGCGGCGGTGCATTTCTTCTGTGGCGCACTCACGAGGTACTTGGTGTACTGCGCCCAGAGGTCGGGCACCAGGCAGTTGTCGGCGAGCGCTCGCTCGAACACGAGCTGCACACGCGCCGGGTCGCCCTCCTTCAGCTCGCACTCGATGTAGGCCTGGTACTCCGCCATCTTCGGGGGCTCTGCCACTAGCTGGGAGGCAAAGCCAAGCGGCTCGGTTGCTGCCGCGTGGTAACGCGGTCACTGTACGTACGTACCGTATTTACTGCGTCACTTGTTGAATGCGTAGTTTCGTTTAGCCACCAATTACGAAGGCGCGTGTCAATATTTGTCCAGTGGCATCATAACATCGTCTCCATAAGGAAAACCCATTTATATTTATACTGCATGTGGAGCTTCTTTAGCACCGTACAAGCCAACTGTGCTCAGCAGATGCGCGGGGTAAGGAGAAGACATTAAACACAAAAAAAAACAGTTCCATAGAAATTATTATTATCAGAGACTCAACACATTTGTCAAAAGGAGAGGTATGCAACAGGTGACGTTTCCCGGCAATGACGCTTCTTCATAGCACATTTGCAATGCGATGGAGAAGGGTCAGAGACGTTACGTTTTATATGGATTTTGGCTTTTAAGGCCGCACGGTGTTATTGAAGAATGTGCGGAGTTGTTTTGTCATTCGGCCTTCAGCGACCACTGCAAACGCAGCAGCGGCGGCGGCATCGTCACCAAATCATTTGCTTACTTATTACCAGGGTTGTTAAAATAATTGTTTTCGCACGGTTACCGGTTTTGCCGCACGTGTACAAAGTGTGGGTACGCCCACCTCCTGTCCCAACAACATCCGCTCGGTGCGGAAGAGGAGAGACTTCGACCTGCCGGTGTGCGGTTTATACGTTTTGGCGCGTGCCAATCGATGCGTTCCTTACTAAAATTCCACTGCTCCCGACTTTTCAAAGTTGTAAATAGATTATGAAAACCAGTCATTGGTTTACCGGTCATCGTTCACCAAACCATCCTTTTATTATCGAGCCAACACAATCACGACCTGGGCCCCAGGGAGCCCAGCAGAGGACCTAGGCAAGCCAAGGAACGACCTCGGCCTACGACGACCTTTGGACGACCCCGACTAGCCAATCGGGAGCGTGTGTGTTTGCAAGTGCAATGAAACGAGTTTCCATTAAAAGGCGCTTGAATAAAGTCCCTGGGTGTTGGAGATCCATGGCGAAGCGACGAAACACACCAGCAATGCGTTTACTGGAGTCGTCGTGCCGCGCGTGTTTTGGCGGCACGTGGTGGGGGGGGGGGGTGGTGGTGGCGGTTACCAGGGCGTTCTCGAAGGACTTGTACTTCTCCAGCTGCTTCAGTGCCTTGCCATACGCCTGCCTCACAGAGGCCTCCACGGGGCTCTCCAGCCACTCCTCGTACTCCGTGAAGCACGCCTCCATGTCTGGACAGACGCGCGCAAACAACCCCAACTCGCAGCGTGAACTCACGTGACTTGCGTACTACAACAACAACGACAAGCGTACTGCACGACATGCTTCTCTGTGACTCAAAGATAAAGATTCACCCCGTATATCCTTGACAGACTGTTGGGGCAGGTGCTGTTAGCGAGTAGCACCTACAGTGAGGGAAACAAGTATTTGATCCCCTGCTGATTTTGTACGTTTGCCCACTGACAAGGAAATGATCAGTCTATAATTTTAATGGTAGGTTTATTTGAACAGTGAGAGACAGAATAACAACAACAAAATCCAGGAAAACGCATGTCAAAAATGTTATAAATTGATTTGCATTTTAATGAGGGAAATAAGTATTTGACCCCTCTGCAAAACATGACTTAGTACTTGGTGGCAAAACCCTTGTTGGCAATCACAGAGGCCAGACGTTTCTTGTAGTTGGTCATCAGGTTTGCACACATCTCAGGAAGGACTTTGTCCCACTCCTCTTTGCAGATCTTCTCCAAGTCATTAAGGTTTCGAGGCTGACGTTTGGCAAATTGAACCTTCAGCTCCCTCCACAGCTTTTCTATGGGATTAAGGTCTGGAGACTGGCTAGGCCACTCCAGGACCTTAATGAGCTTCTTCTTGAGCCACTCCTTTGTTGCCTTGGCCGTGTGTTTTGGGTCATCGTCATGCTGGAATATCCATCCACGACCCATTTTCATTTGCCCTGGCTGAGGGAAGGAGGTTCTCACCCAAGATTTGACGGTACATGGCCCCGTCCATCGTCCCTTTGATGCGGTGAAGTTGTCCTGTCCCCTTAGCAGAAAAACACCCCCAAAGCATGTTTCCACCTCCATGTTTGACGGTGGGGATGGTGTTCTTGGGGTCATAGGCAGCATTCCTCCTCCTCCAAACACGGCGAGTTGAGTTGATGCCAAAGAGCTCCATTTTGGTCTCATCTGACCACAACACTTTCACCCACTTGTCCCTTGAATCATTCAGATGTTCATTGGCAAACTTCAGACAGGCATGTATATGTACTTTCTTGAGCAGGGGGACCTTGCAGGCGCTGCAGGATTTCAGTCCTTCACGGTGTAGTGTGTTACCAATTGTTTTCTTGGTGACTATGGTCCCAGCTGTCATGAGATCATTGACAAGATCCTCCCGTGTAGTTCTGGGCTGATTCCTCACCGTTCTCATGATCATTGCAACTCCACGAGGTGAGATCTTGCATGGAGCCCCAGGCCAAGGGAGATTGACAGTTCTTTTGTGTTTCTTCCATTTGCGAATAATCGCACCAACTGTTGTCACCTTCTCACCAAGCTGCTTGGCAATGGTCTTGTAGCCCATTCCAGCCTTGTGTAGGTCTACAGTCTTGTCCCTGATATCCTTGGAGAGCTCTTTGGTCTTGGCCATGGTGGAGAGTTTGGAATCTGATTGTTTGCTTCTGTGGACAGGTGTCTTTTATACAGGTAACAAGCTGAGATTAGGAGCACTCCCTTTAAGAGTGTGCTCCTAATCTCAGCTCGTTACCTGTATAAGACACCTGGGAGCCAGAAATCTTTGATTGAGAGTGGGTCAAATACCTATTTCCCTCATTAAAATGCAAATACATTTATAACATTTTTGACAAGCGTTTTTCTGGATTTTTTTGTTGTTATTCTGTCTCTTACTGTTCAAATAAACCTACCATTAAAATTATAGACTGATCATTTCTTTGTCAGTGGGCAAACGTACAAAATCAGCAGGGGATCCAATACTTTTTTCCCTCACTGTATGAAGGCTGGCACGGCACAGGAGGGGGTGGGTGGCCAGCACCACACCCTGCCGCCTCTGTCTCCCTAGTGGCGATGTTTACACACCCTACCTAAGTACTCCTTTGAGGCGGAGTCGACCAAGGGGACTGGTTCAGATAATCGTCACTGGTGTTGGTGAGCGGGAATCCAACTCGGGTCGCCAGGTTTGTACTGCAGCGCGCTAACCACTACACACACTTACTCACAGCATACATCTACAGTCTGATGCATGTACAGAAAATGAGTAGCATGAACTAATGGTTCTCGAACATACAACACACACTCAGCACGAATCGGCATCTCACAATATACGCAAGCACAGCAAGCCTCCAGTGGTGGATCAGGGTCACGGTTACTTGGTGATGCTGCTGACGCTGCGTTGGTGGTAGTGCAAAAAAGCACAAACAACGAAGCTCCTCAACACATTCGTCAATAAGCACTGCGTGACCTTTAAAAAAAAGGTTTATAACACGCGACGTTATGGGTAACGGCCCTTCTTCACAGCACAGAGCCAGCCAGTTAAGGTTTAATTTTTTTTCTTTAAACATTCATTATTCTTTTTCGATGTATACGTAGATCATCTTAGTGAGAGTTATTGTGACCCACAGTTAAGAGGCAGTCGACCAGAGAGACGGACGGTGACAGCGGAGGACAGACGGGCGGACGGAGAGGTTGTGAACAAGGGCTCCGTTGTTACCACTTGGACTCACCCATGAGAGGCAGAGACAGCTGGCGGCGGAACAGGGTGTTCAGGCGCTCCGTCTGCGCCTTCAGCTGCTCCTGCTGCACGGCGCTCAGCACAACGCCCAGCACCGGCTGCGCTAGCGCGACACGACGGCACGGGCAGCGACGCGCAGAGGCACACATATCAGCGGTGGTGGTCGTCGCTGGTGTTGGCCGTGAGCGAGAATCGACGCGAAAGAAGTTCAACATACATACGTGCACGGTGACACACCTCGGCAAAAGACGAAGATTCCCCCCCCCCCCCGGATAGCCTGTAACACACTGTTTTGCCAAGTGCTGTTTGCGAGCACCTACGAAATGCCGGCACCGCACACGAGGCGGTGGGTGGCCAACACCACGCCCGGCTGCCTTTGTTTTCGCCAGTGGCGAGGGTTTTCACATCGCACAAGGTGCTCATTTGAGGCTGAGTCTACCTAAATGAGGCCCAGGACCAGCTCCAATAGTCGTCCCTGAACTCGGGTTGCCGAGTTCGTAGCGCAGTTCGTGAACCACTGAGAAACAGCGGACACACCAAATATGACGCACATGAGACGCTCCGCAGTGACGTACTCACGGTGACATGCAAACGTGCACCACAACACACACACACAAGGTGGCACACAGCAACAGACCAACGGTGATGCACAGCGACAATAACAACCACCACCTTTCGCTACTAAGCGGCGGTGAATGGGGCCGTCCCTGGGCCGATGGGCACGCTCGCTAACGGTGGTGGAGGCACATTGGGAGGCCCCCCCCCCCCTCTTTCCACCCCCTTCCTTCTACTCCCAGCTGCACTGGACTGGACTGCGCTGGGCTGAGCGGCATTGTGATAAAAGTGTAGAGTAGGAGTGAGTGACGTCATGTCACGCTCGCCCTCTGGTACAATGACGTCACGGACGGTGACGTCATGCACAGGGGCCGGGACGGTGACGTCATGTCCCCCTGGGGGATTTAAGCTGGAACCCATCACGGGTTCAGGGTCGTCTGGAGAGTCCGGGAACGTGAAGGGTGAAAGTCGGGACCCCGGGGTAGGGGGACATTGGCACCAGGCTAGGGTAGCCTGTGGGTGTGCTAGGAACCTCCCCAGTACCCTTCCCCCGGGGGAGCGATGGGACCCAGGGTAGGGGGAAATTGGCACCAAGCTAGGGTAGCCTGCGGGTGTGCTAGGGAATCCTCAGTACCTATTCCCCTGGGGTGTGGAGTGTAGGCAGTGAGCGTGCAGTACACGGAGTCGTGTGCGAAGAGAGGTCTTTAATAAAACAACTTGCGCAAGCCCCTACACGAAGATCTGCCTCCCAGTCACCATTTACGCCTCAACAAAAGTAGTACAGCATTGAGCTATTATAGAGAAGCGGTCATTTATGCGCGTGGCCGCTGCTGGCGCCCCCCCCACCACCCACCCCCACAACCCCGACCACCCCCTACCGCCCACTACTACCCCCATCCCCACCCACCACCCCCCACTATCACCCCCCCCATTACTCCTCCACCCACAACCCCACCCCCCCACAACACCCCCCCCCCCCCCATAACCACCCCCCCTCCACCACCCCACCCCCGCCCACCACCGGACGGGTGACTACGGAGCGAGCACCTGCATCATGCCGAGCACGGCGTTCTCGAACTCGCGGTAGGCGTCCCACACGGCGCTGCCCTTGGTGACGTGGAGGCCGACGGCGGTGAGCGCTCGCTCGAACACGGCGCGCACCCGCTCCACCCCGCCCGCCTGGCCCATGCCGCCGATGGAGTACTGCGCGTACTCCAGCCAGATCTCCGGACCTGCGGCCACACGAAGACGAAGAGCCACCCGCCGCTGGAGCCGTGCACTTTCAAATCACCGAGACTGAAAAGTCATTCATTGAGAACTGCTTCTTGCGTCAAGTTTGTTGTCCTTCCCCACAACGTCCGATTAGCACGGATGGCTACGTACTGTGCGAAAAAAGTTCAACACACGTACGGCACGGCGCACGAGGGGGTGGGCGGCCAGCACCACGTGGCCACACACTGCGCCCACACGCAGACGAACGTAATATACATAGGGATGGATGTATTTATATATCCATCCAAAGCCTCCCGCAAATCACCCGACCCCTCTCCCTGCCGCCCCCCCTGTGAAAACAAGACGCCACTCCGATTTTCAGCTCACATCTGCTCGCTCTTTCCTTCTCGCTTCTCCCTCCCCTCCTCTCCCATCAACACCCGCTCCTCCCTGACATCTTGGCCCGGTCAATCCTTCTCCCCCTCCTCCCCTTTCCCGGCCCGGCGTTCGAACTGGGCCGAGTCTACGGAGTCTCGCTTCGCCAACAGCCCGTCGTGCCGGGGCGATCGCCAAGAGGAACACCGTTTAGAGAGTCAACAGCCTCTCGGAGGACGTCTGACGTAAAGCGCGACCCCGGTCGCGGGCAACGCACGGAGTCCACCGCTCACACGGGGAGAGTGTGGAGAGGGAGGGATACTCACACAGGTAGTCCTTCACGGCTCTCTCAAACAGGCTTGACACCCGGTCTCGCTCCGCCTCGTCTGTGCCCATGCGGATCTCGTCCTTGAGCCAGTCCAGCCACAGCTCTGCCGGGAGCAGCCACGTGGGCGGGGGGGGGGGGGGGGGGTGGGGGGGGGACACGGGGGGGGGGACACGCGGAAGGGGGACACACGGGGGGGGACACGGAGGACATGCGGGAACACGCGGGGAACAAGGGCGGGACACGGGAGACACACGGGGGACACACACGGGGGACACACATTGGGGGGACACACATTGGGGACACACATTGGGGACACACATTGGGGACACACATTGGGGACACACATTGGGGACACACATTGGGGACACACATTGAGGACACACATTGGGGACACACATTGGGGACACACATTGGGGACACACATGGCACACACGGGGGACACACACGGGGGACACACACGGGAGACACACAGAGACGAGGAGGAACACGCGAGAACATGGGGACACACACGAGGATGCACAGGAATATCCATGAGCGTACGGAAACAGACATGGCCATGTGACACCAGTTATCTTTCCTTCGATTTCTATCTCCGTCACCTCCGCACTTTACTTTGCGTGTATATACACGTTCTGCTTTCCGTGATTTTGGTGACCCCCCGGGATTGCTCTCGACCCCTCACCTGGCTTAAACACAACAAAAGAATGAACCTTTGGAAGCGCGCACTCACCCTCGGTGAGCGGGAAGAGCTCGCTCATCTTCTGCCGTGCCTTGGCCAGTCTCTCGAGCTCCCCGAGCTGCTGCAGCAGCTTGATGAGGTCCGTGTGGCAGTTGTAGTCATGGGCGTTGATGGAGAGCTGCGCCACACAACGCAAACAACAACAATAAACAACAATAAACAACAACAATAAACAACAACAATAAACAACAACAACGAGGAGGATTCGCACAGCATGTAAAATACGGCAGCATCTCAAGGCGCCGTCCAATTTTTGTTTTATTACTAAAGTACACGTACAGCCCTTTTGTCAATCCACTGCCAGATGAGCACCTACCATGGGGATGGGTTATTTGACCACAATGGTCAGTGGCAGGTTGGTGAAGGTGGTGTATGTTTAACATGTAGGCTTTCGCGACCAATATTATTCATAATAAAAAGGTTTTTGGGTTAGATCGCGTGATTTATAAATGTGTCGAAACCCTCCACCACCCGACACGGCCAATCAGTAAGGGATTTGTCACGTAAACAAAAGGCCAAATAGTGACGACTTCATCCCACCGGTGTGTTGAAGAGTGAATCCACAACATTTACAATCTGAGGACGACATTTCGCTGGTAATTACATCCAGCATCATCAGGCGATTTGCCAGAAGAGTGAAGCCATCCACCTGCTTCCGGTCTTAAATAGAGCAGCAGGACGACGTCATCACTGAACCCAATCCACCTGTAGGTGTACATCCATACAAAATAAATAACTTGTTTGGGGGAGTGGAGAGGGGGGGGATCGACAATTGCTGTAAACTTGTTGGATAAACTTTTTACCCCCACATCTGGGGTGGAGGGGGGGGGGTCCCCATTTTCGATAACTTTTTGATGCAGGCCTTCTGAAAAGCCCTTATAATTTAGTTGACGGACAAACGGAACGCAAGTGCCTTTATAATGGATGGTGGCCGCACCATCGTAGCGAAAAGCTGGTTAAAACCGGCAGAGTCTCCGAGACTTGACGGGGCTGTGCTCATCCCGTCCCGGGAGAATTTGGATTGAAAATAATAAAAATAGTCCAAGCATTTCCCACTCCCCCCTCCACTCAAAAGAGCTTGAGGGGCACTCATCCCTCTTCCTATTTTATAACCCAGAAGCCACCGTGGGCGTTCATTCCGGTTTTCTATGGCGGAGGCGAATAGGTCCGTAGGACAAACAAAAAAAGGTGCTTTGCTTGTGTTTTACGAATGCCCAGAAAGATTGAAGGGTCCGATTCCATCGCAGACCGCAATTTTTTGAACTCGCACATTTCTGATTGAAAACCCGTGCTCCTTACCGGAGGCGCACACACACACATATATATCCGGTAGAAGATGGCTGGTGATTGATAAAAACGCATAGGGGGAAGCCCTGCAACTGGCCACATGCGCCACTGCTTGTGGAAGAACCTCCACTAGAAAGAGCTCGAGAGAGCCCCCCCTTTCCTCGAGGGGGGTCAGACGTCTGGGAATAGATGGGAGCACTCACAATTTACCCCCCCCCCGCCCCCCGGATAAACACGACCGGCCTCTTGAACTTAATCCATTTATAACGCCGGGTGGACAGAGGCGGTAGGGGGGAGGGATTTAAGACACTTGCCACCATTGTTTCAAACCACCTTGTCACTGATAATGTAAAAAACAATTCCTGGTGTGACAGGGCACTCCACCCCCCCCTGCCCGTCAAAGGGCCATCAATTCCGCTCGAGCCGATGTCGTTACTCAGGGCGAGCCTCTGGGGTACGGCGCTCCGAATGAAACTATCAAGTGTCATCAACGCTCGCGATGATCTGTGCCGCGGCCGAATTAATCGTTTAAAGGAGATCGCACCCGCGGGCGGGAAGCCAAGGCCTAGGGCCTTTCACAAACAGCCACCGCTGGCCGTCCCAGGACGCGCGCGACACCATGCACAAGAGGTTTTTGTTGGGTTAGATCGTGTAAATAATATAGATGCATCGTTAAACCCGCCGCCACAGGACACGGACAATTAGCAAGGTTTGTCACGTAAACAAAACGTGCCAATTCGTTACTAGTACAGCACCACCGGTGTGTTGGAGAGTAAACCCACAACAGCTCCAATTCATGCACATTGGCGATGGAACTGTTGCAAACGGCAAGGAGGAGGTGCCAGGCGAAACAGGCCTAAACAGACACAAGCGTCGCACCCAACACCTACCGACGATTGACAACGATGATTATAATTCACAACCCTTGAATGAGGGTTCTTCCCTATGCCACGTCGGGATTAATTGACCATAAACTTGACGACGCAGGGCCTGGGAGGCCGGGGGCCGGTTCGCACATCACTCGAGTGGAACTCGGGTCGCCAAGTTTATAGCGCAATCCACGAACCGGTGTGGTGGGTTCAGTGCAGGTTGGTCAAAGGTGGGGAAGCAGAGACCTGAGCGTTACACATACGCGTGCATCTATTTTATGTTGAACTTCTATCGCACCGTACGTAGCCAACCGTGCTAATCGGAGGTACGGTACACAAATGGACATTGCTGCACTGCTGACAGCGGGACCCCACAGCAGCTTATGTGCACGACACCCGTTGTATGTGCAGTGGTGGTCGTCCGTCAAGATCACGTACCAAGGCTGAAGCCTCCTTAGCTTCTGAGCTTCCGATGAGATTCCAGGCAATCTGGTTAAAGGCCATGGAGGTTTGTACGAAACGATAATTAGAATGTATAGCCCTTTCATCCAATCCACTGCCGTATTGAGGCATCCACATGCCGCAATTCATTTTGTTCACTTACAAGGCGGTGAACCATCTTGCCCTGTCTACATCATTGGTATGCTGCACCCACGTGTCCCCTCAAGGTCCCTAAGATCTGTGGATGCAGATCTTCTCTGCTTTCCCAGCTGCTTCTTTGGCCCATGGGTGACCCAAAAAAATTCCCGTGTAGCCCCCAGGCTACGGAACGCCCTTCCACAAGATATCAGGGATCTTTGAGTCTATGGACATTTAAAAAATGCGTCTTAAAACCAATTTATTACGTTTATTAAATGTTTTGTTAATTTAGTAAATGGATTATAACATTATATCCTTAGTTTCACACGTAGGCTTCCGCAACCAATATCATCCATAAGTTTTTTTTAGGTTAGATCGCGTAAATATATGTGTCGTTAAACCCGCCACCACTCAGATTGTAAATGTTGTGGCTTTGCTCACACATTGGCGTGCTGTACTAGTAACGAATTGGCATGTTCTGTCTACGTGACAAACCCTACTAATTGGCTGTGTCCGGTGGTGGCGGGTTTAACGATACATTTATATATTTACGCGATATAACCAAAAAAAACCTCCTTTATTATGGATATTGTTAAGCTGATTGTCTGCTGCTGCTGTGTCCCGTACAGCGCTTTGAGATCCTTGATGGAAAAGCGACAAATAAATGGTGTTATTGTTGTTGTTGACTTTAGCGTGTGCGTTGGCATGGGAACGGAGCGCGGCAGATGAAATATCGCTCTCGAGAGTTGGGAGGTAACCGGATCCACTTCACAGGTTGACGATGAAAACGGCCGAACACGGATCGGCGTTGCCGATGTGCCGACCGACTTTGCTGCAGCTGGGCGCGGTGGCGCGCAGCTGCAATCCAACGCGCTCCGAGGCGAGGGTCAGCGGATCGTGCGCCGATTTTGTGAGACTTGCCGTGGATGCGAGGTGGCCAGGAGACTCGCCGGGCACGGAGGCAGAGGTCGGATACGCGGCAACATTGGATGTGCGAACATCGACAGAATGTGCACGACCATTTGTGCACAAATAGGTTACTGGACGGAAATAAATACAGCACAAACTGCTTTACACACGGGAGGGACGTGCTTTTCTGTGCTTGAGAAGGGAACAAATGTACGTATGTATGTATGTATGCGAGATTAAGAATACACTGTCGTGCGGGAACATTTATTAAAATAAATTACAGCTGCACCGCACGCAGGCACCGCACTTGGTGTGGGCGGCTAATCTCGCTTGACTCGCCATTAAATTGGCCACCGACAAGCAAGTATTCATTAAAACCGGTGCTCGCCGAAAGATCTTTAATTATTATTTTTGCAAGCAAGCTTTATCTTGACACTCGGGTATGATCCACACGTGGGTAATTGAGAGTTGACTTTCACTGTCCTCAGCAGAGCCTCCGCTGCTTTGCTCTTCCCCTTGTTACCGCCTCTTTCTATTAACGAATCAAAACCATTCCCTGCAATACCGAGTTGCTAAATGCTACGACATTTAAACTGTGTCACGATAAGACACAAACTCGGTGGCTGTGATGCGCGGTGCATCAATTTGCTTCGACGACGTGCTTGTTACTAACATGGCAAAAGTAGGGCGATGCCATCCCATGCCAGAGCAAGCAGCACCAGCACCGAAGTTCCGCACTACATTTTTGCCACGATACCATTTTTTGCACGTAACCGTGCGACGTGAAATGCCACGCTTTGACCATTGTCGTGACATCGGTTGCTCTTAACTTGAGAACTGTTTTTAACATTTTCACATGTTGTTTTTTGTCCTTTTATGTACATCAAGCACGAATGATGATTGCTTAAAAGTGACTCGTTATCGGGTGCCACTCATAATCCGTGTTTGTTGTTTGCAAGGCTGCACTTTCTGGTCTTTATTCGTTTGCTGTTAAACTGTAGGATGGCTGCGTAGGGTGCAAACGAAGTTCACCAAAAGCTCGAAAGAGTTTAAATATGCATGACGGTCGATGCACTCAAGAGGCATGGCAGAGGCATAGATGCAGAGAAGAAGAGGGGGGGGGGATCTTGCGCATCCTGTACATAAATATAAACAGAGTACAGTGAGATTCTCACCCGGTGACTTTTACATCAAAGGTAACCATTTTGGGAGGAGGGTGTGATCCAATACAACTGACACTTCACTTTTTCAGGCACATGCTGTCAAAAACTGATGTTGTCACATTATCGACATAACCCGTCGATTACTCTGGATTTAAAAAAGAAAGTTTGACAAATCACTAATTTTACTGGTAGAGCCATTTCATTGCACAAATGATCTGTGTGCAAGTGGCATTACGTCGTTGCTTTGCACGTGTCATGTGACATCTTGCGCACCCTTGCGAACCGTTCCATCTCAATGAAGGGATCACCGT